GCCCCCTCGCCTCGCGCCGCAGGGCAGCTTCCGCCCGCCGTCACCGACGAGGGCGACGCCCGACCCGCGGGTGGCGAGGGGCAGGCGCGGAGCGCGCACCCGTCCAACCTCACCGGGGCGCTGGCGAGGCTGAGCGCGAGGGTGTCCGAGGAGGAGGACGGCTCCAGCGAGGCGGCGGCGGCGGACGACCCGGACCGGGCTCCCTCTCCGCCCGGCCGAGAGGTGCCGCAGCCAAGCCCCGGCGTCGACGGGGCGGGAGCGGAAGATGGGGCGGCAGCCGCGGCCGAGGACCCCTTGGACAAGAGCAGTATGACTCACACCGGGTCCGATTACGGCGACGATGACTATTTTTAGACCTATGCAGACCTTCGAGCACGAGCGAGTTGCGATCCCTCAATGGACAATGCCCTGTGTGCCTCCAACATCCACATAGTCCAGCGCATGTCCACTATGGGTTCATCATAAATGACATGCACATACGTGCGAGACCTCGGGCTCGCGGATGCGAATCACGCCCCAACACTGTTCACACAAAAACACAACCGGACCCAAGACGGGGGTACAACACTGTTCACAAGGAGTGCCCATTATGCCGTCGGCCCCTCACGGATCCACAAAGGCATCAGCCGGTTGCCGCGCTCTGTAAGCGGCAACCACAGCCACCGCTAGTGCTCGCCGCACGTATGGCATCGGTCACCTCGCTGCGAAAGCTGCTCGACGCCATCGTCGGCGAGGAGGGTTCAGCGAGGTCCAAGTTTGTCGACGGCACTGTGCTGCAGACCATCTCGACGCTCACGCTTGGCCAGCCGTTTGAGGTCTGGAAGACGCGGATGGGACGGCACAGGACAGAGACGACCGTGGGCTCATTCAGGCACATACTGCACAGCGGAGGCGTCCGCGCATTTTACGCCGGCACTGGGCCGAAGCTGGTTGAGAGCGCCACAAAGGGCGGCGTGCTGCTGGTCGCCAAGGACGCGATCCAGGAGAGCTTGAAGGGTGCGGGCGTCTCGTCAACCACCGCTGGCTTCGTGGGCGGCGCGGGCGGCGGCGTCGCGCAGACCGTGGTGATGGGGCCCTGCACCTATCTTGTCACTGCGATGGTGCTCGGCAAGGAGCAGTCGGTGTGGGGCATCATGCGGCGCACCTGGGCCAGCAAGGGCCTCCTCGGCTTCTACCCGGGCGGCTCAGCCATCGCCGCGCGGCAGGCGAGCAACTGGGCGAGCCGCGTCGGCTTCACCGAGGCGGTGCGGACCAAGATGAAGGCGGCGCACGGCGACCCGACGCGGCGGCTCTCGATACACGAGGAGTGCTGGGCGGGCATCATCGGCGGCGTCCTTTCGTGCTGGAACCACCCCTTTGAGGTCGCGCGGATCGAGATGCAGGCGCGCGCGCTCTCGGGGGAGCCGGCAGTGGGGATGATTGCGGTGCTGCGCCAGGTCCACGCAGAGAGCGGCGTGGGCGGCCTCTTTCAGGGTCTGATCCCGAGGATGGGAACCAACGTGTGGCTAACCCTGTTCCTCGTCTCGGGGGCGAACATCGTGAAGCAGTGCCGCGAGGGCTCCACAGAGGCAATCTGCACGGCGAGCGCAAACCCGCAGCACCACTGTGCGTGACCGAGTCCACCCTAGAGTCCACCGAGTCGCGAGACCGAGAGTCTGCCCCCGAGAGGAGGCCTCGTCGTTCTCCCGTGAGCCGTGACCTGAGGTTTAGTTCCTTGACACACACCAGACCTCGGGAAACCGAGCCGTGTGCAGGTACAGTGTTGCTATTATTTTGTCCAGTACTCTGTATATTGTTGCAAGTCTCGTAGAAGTTTGAGAGTGAGAAGTGTGTCGGAGATCGCTCGCTCTCGCCACTCGCGCGCATCTCCAGTTCTCCACACATCGAACACGGTTACTGCACAAGGCAGCTGCAGCCGCCCGCGCCCTCGACTTGCGGGGCCTCGTCCGGCACGTCCGGCGCCGGGCACGGCGTGAGCTTCGCTGCCTCCACCACAGAGATGTGCATCCGCGCCCTCGCCGGGCGACCCAGGAAGTTCACGCCGCGGCTCGCTGCTTGCGGCGAGTCTCGGGCAGCGCGCGTGGCGGCGAAGCTCCCCTCCTTCCGCGCCTTGGCGAAGGCCTCCGCGGTCGAGCAGATGCTGAGCGTTGTGAAGAGGTCGGCCCACTGCTCGAAGCCTATCCAGAAGGTGCCGTCCGCCGCCGCGCTGAAGCCCACCGCGTCCGCTACCTCGGGGTGCCTCCCCCACAGCGGCGAAGCGTCGCCCCAATCGCCCCTCCACTCCACCTCATTGCCCCACGGATTGCGGAGCTGCAGCAGTCGGAAGCCGCCCGCCTCGACCGCCCGCAGCACCGAGTAGGCGTGGTCAGTGACGAGCTCGTCGCGCCGCCGCACCTCGAGCGTCCGCTGCCCGGCCACCTGGTGGACAGCGGTCGGGGCTGGGGGTGGGCTTGGGGCCAGCGGCGGTGAGGGGTTGCGTCAGGTTTGGGGTTGGGTGTCGGGAGAGGGGGGGGGAGATCGCCTTCTCCACTCCTCCGGTCGTGACGACGTGCCGGCTTGCGAGCGCGTCCAGCACCCCGCGCCAGATATCGTCGGCGCCACGCTCGTCGCCTGGCGTGCCGATCAGGAAGACCTTTCCCGGGCTGCGCGCCGCGCCGCTCGCAGCGAGCCGCTCGCGCTCGAGCCGAAAGGCGCCCCACCGCAAGCCGCGCGAGTCGACCCGCTGGAAGACCTGCACCGGCTGGCTCGGCCCGAGGAGCAGCTGCAGCGCCCACGCGGAGGAGCCGCCGACCAGGGCGCCGTACGAACCGCAGTACTTCGCGACCGCCTTTTCGAGCAGCATCGCCCACTCCTCGCCGCTCGCGCCCGGCGACGTCGCGTTGCTGCCCGCGAAAAGGGTCTCGGGGTGTCCCCAGTTCCAGCTGGAGGGGATCGTGTCGTCGATCGTGGTGCTCACCCACTCGCCGGCCTCCGCCGAGAACAGGCGGAGGGTGTAGGCGCCGGTGTCGCTCGCCTGCTCCTCGAGGAAAAGCGACTCGATCAGCTCGGGATGCTCCGCCACGCACGCCAGCGACGCAAGCAGGAAGCAGTCGCCAATAGAGCCCTGCAGCAGGTCGCCCGGGCCGATGCCGTCGAAAAGGTCTGAGTCGGTGCCGGCGAGGGCACCCGCGCGGAGCCAGCAGTCGACCTTGGTCGGCGCATCCCACCCCGCCGCGGACCCCAGCGAGCTCTGCTCTGGCGGAAAGCTGGCGTCAATGTACTTGCCGTCGCTCCTCGGGTCGGGCGGTGCCGGCGCGCTCGTCACGCAGCGGATGTCAGGAGCAGCGAGCCAGCCGCTCTGACTGCTCGCGACAAGCCAGCCGTGCGCAGGCGCTAGCTCGGGAAGCCAAGCGTCGGTCTCCACGCGGACGTAACCCCCGGCCGACGAGCCTCGCGGGAGGGAGTCGCCAACCCACCAGCTGCCGATGGCGTAGAAGAGGTAGCTGACGTTGCCGCCCGTGACCTTGCGGTACACATAGCGCGAGTTGAGCAGGTCTGCGCCACGCACGAACTTTCCAAGCGACCCGGAGTTGACGCCGCCGGGCGTCTTGCCCACGATGAAGACTTCGGCGGCGGCGGAGGCGAGCGGGCTGGTCGCCACACAGCGAAGATTAGGAGCATCGAGCCACTCGCCGTCGTAGACCTTCCACGTCGCCGTGATCTTGTCGGGCGTAGCCGCGTCGTCCTCAACGTAGAGGTAGCCCGACCATTCGCCGGGCGTCGCCCCGACCCACCAGCGGCCCCGCGAGTAATGCAGGAAGCGGGACGGGTCGCTCGTGAAGGTGTAGACCTTCGCTCGCCGAGTCCGCTTGTACTCGCCCAGCAGACTCGCGTTGGCGCCCTTGGGGGTCGATCCAACGAGGTACATAGACATTGTGCGTGCTCAGCGCGCAGCAGAGTCCGAATCTAGCTGCGTGCAGCTGTGGCTTTGTACAGCAAGGCGGGGCTACGAGGACGTGAAATGCGGCGTTGCGCTCACATAAAAACGCAGTCACGGCCCGGCTGAGGCTTGGAACCACCCACCCACCCGACCTCACGGCCCGGCTGAGGCTTGGAACCACCCACCCACCCCCACCCACCTCACCTTTTTCTAGAAAGAAAGAAAGAAAACGGACAACCCAAGGGAGGGATGGGAGGACGGCACGCCGCCACCACGCAGGGATTTTAATCACCTTTTTCTCGGTAGTGCCAGTGCGCCGCGTGCACAATTCTTTCTTGCAGATTCTTTTCTCTGGACCCCTGCCACTGTGGCCGCGGCGCAGGCCAACAGACCACGTCGCTATGGTGCAAGTAATTATCATGACCGCATGCGTGATAATTACGTAAGACCCCCATTAACCGCAGAGTTGCAAGGCAGAGTTTACAGGATTCAGCTACGGAGCAGCGCCCAGTCAAATCCAAATTTTGCCAACTATGTTGATGGAGTTATTGGCAGGGGGTTGGGTAATTACTCTGACAATGACAATCACGATACACGGCTAGATTGGGCGGACTACTCGGCTGCAAGACAGGAGTGGTCACAGGTGCAGTTTCTTCATCGTTTTGGAAACGTCGTGCAGACGTTTAGGCAGGCGGTGGCACGGATCGTACGGCGGGCCAAGTGGCGCCGCATCATCAAGGCCCTGAGAATGCGCGCAAGAATTGGAGTAATACCAACACTCGGAATGCACGGGCAAGAGGACGAAGTAGCAAGAACAAGCTGGTCCGTGCGTATGTGGCCCCGAGTACGTATGCCTGCGGACTCAACTCCAGCACAAACACAGTCTTACATACAGATGATGGGATTCAACCGACCTGACTTTAGGGCTGGGCTTCGTGGGACTGGTACGCGGGGATTCCAATTTTGACAAGAATTCTGACGTAAGGGGGAGAATGAGTCTAGATCAATGGACCCCTGCCACTGTGGCCGCGGCGCAGGCCAACAGAGCACGTCGCTATGGTCCTCGCGGCTATAGCAGTGTGACAGGTAGACCACCACTTGATGCACACGTGCAAGGTAGACTTTACATATCACACCTAAATGACAGTTTAGACAGAGTAGCTCCACCAGGGCATCCACGTCGCCTAGACATTCTTACCTGGCTTGCCGATGTTGTTAGTCGGGGACAGTCTGGTAATTACCGGGACGACTCGGGAAACATACGGCAAGATTGGCAGCGCTACGCTGCTGCAAGAGCGGATTGGTCAATGGTGCAGCACGTCACTAACTTTGGGCGCGTCGTGCAGACGTTTAGGCAGGCGGTGGCACGGATCGTACGGCGGGCCAAGTGGCGCCGCATCATCAGGGGCCTAAGACTGCGCGCAAGAGTTGGAGAAGTACCAACATTTTTGGGGCCATCGGGAAGCGACATTTTTCGGGCCCCTAGTATGTGGCCCAATGTGCCACACCCAAGTACCGCGACTCCACAACAACAAGCGTCATTCGTTGAGCGCTTCATGAGCGGACGGGGACGAACGAACACGAACGGGATTCGTGGGACTCGCGAAACTTGGCAAGAAACGGGATAGTAAAAAGATGTTACCGCAGTATCACGCGACCCTTATACACACGGCGCCCCCCTGAGATTCGGTTGAGATGCAGATGAGCTCGCCAGCTCGCGCGTGTAATTTGTCGATCACCCGTCCTATTCACACATCTCATTGAGATTGTTATCTAAATTGCATGTTCACAGCAATTGTCTCCTCTTTTTTTTCACCACCTGAGATCCCGAATCTCAGCCCTGCAATTATGACCCCAACTGCCCTGCCCTGCCCTGCCGTACTGCCCTGCCCGCGTACTGCCGCACAACTGCCCTGCCCTGCCCTGCCCAATCCCCTACCTGCCCCGGGTGTGAAACCCACACTGCCCTGCCCTAGCCTGCCCACACTGCCGAGGTGTGAATAGCCGGCCGCTCCCGAGGTCTCGAACAAACTTCTCCATGGCGTATATCGCCGCATGTACATACACATATGGGATCTAGCGTGACGCCGGCGTGACGCGGGTGTGTCCTCGAACACCATCAGGATTCCTCCCTAGTCAGGATCCTGCGACTGGCGGTTGATACCTCGCAGGTTTCACACCCACATGGACATGTTCATGTACATGTCACCCGTGCTCGCGACGCTCGCCAGCGTGGACCCGACTGACCACACATCGTGGCCGCAGCTCGACGTGTGCTCTGACCAATCGCAGGGCAGCCTGTTCTATGCGCTGCGGCACATCGGCCTGCAGGGTCGCGCGCAGGCCGTGGTTGGGCCGATGCAGGACGACGAGGCTCTGCTGCTGTTTGCGCTCACCCGTGCCGCCGGGGTCAATCGCGCGCTCGAGCTGGGAGGGCTCGGAGGCTTCTCCGCGAGGACACTCCTCGAGGCGGTGCAGTGCACGCGACAGCCGGCCGTCTACACGGTGGACCTGGCGCCGGTGCCGGTGCTCGGCCGCCACCACAGGGTGCTGCAGAAGGGAGCCGAGCAGGTTAGAGTTTGCATGGTCCTGCTCCCTGCTGCGCGCCGGCTGCTCGAGCCGCGCGCCTCTCCCACGCCCAACAGGTGACGGCGGCAGACTTGGGCGGCGAGCCGTTTGGCCTGTTGGTGCTCGACTGCCACCACTACCCGGCGACAAAGCAGCTTCTCAAGAATGTGCTCCGCTGGCGGCTGCTCCGCCGCGACGGCGCGCTCTCTCGACGACACCGGCCGTGTCCACGGACACGTCGACTGCACGTCCATGACCCGTCCATGACACATGCCGCAGGCATGCTCTTCCTGCACGACACGGGCCGGCACTCCAGACTAGATGCACGACACAGGCTCCCGCCACCGTCTCTGGACTCTACTTGGCGGCCGCCACGCCGACCATGCGCGACATTACAACGCCGTGTGTGGCCCGATGTGGCCACCGGAGGTCAGTGCCGTCTACCGCGGCCCCTGCGTGCCGGCCCTTGCATGTCCCCCTCCCTCCGCGCCACCGCGCAGGCACCCCGCGGGCGGCGCAAACTCGAGCGGGGTGATCCACCAGCCGGTGGAGAGGCTGATCGCCATGTGGCTCGAGCGGTACGACTGCGCCGCCTCGTGGCAGAGGCTGGTCGTGCACGACGACGACGGCCACGGCGCCACCCCAACCAGGCACGGCGTGACCGTGCTGCAGCGCAAGGTCTCCCTGGCGGTGCCGCAGCGCGTGTGCCAGCAGGGCGCGCACGGCTTCGGGGGCACGGGGCCCGAGTCGGTGCGCGAGTGCCTGCGGGTGCAGACTCGGCACCAGTGCTCACGGCAGGCAGCCAGAGGCTACGACGCCGACGACATAGCGGATGACTTTGAGTAGGGGGAGGATGTCCGGAAAAGGTCCTGCCCGGAATGCGGAAACGGATGTCTCAGTGTACACGTAACACAACCACCATGCCCATGGGACTTGACTGTCGACACGCTCCTAGACACCACCGCTTTTGTCGGGGTACGTGAGCATCATGTGAACTATATCGTCCATCGAACAAAAGACATTCCGAGAAGCGAGATTGGAGAAAAGGTGAAAAAGCAGAAAAGGCGATACTCCCATCCTTCTCCGAGGAGCGAGGTGGACGATAGAGAGGAATCCTATTGCAATCAATAATGATAAGACCAAGTACTTGGAGCACTTGGAGTGCAGTCGGTAACCTCACATCCAGGGCCGGGGAGCTCAGAAGCGCACCCAGCGGGCCGGATGATCGGCATCGGGTTACGGGCTAGAGAGCCCTGACCCCTAGGGGGGTGCGCGTTCGCAGGGAAAGGGCCATAAAGTAAAGCGCGCGCATTCTTTTCCTTGTTTGGATTTTGGCGGCGCTCAGAGCTTGAGTGTGCTGTCTCGGAGATACATGGGCGTGACAGCCACCGCCCTCCTCGTCCTCGCGGCGGGGATTCGCGAGGAGGACCATCATCGCCCTCGCGGCCCTCCGCGACACAGGCGACCGGTTTCGTGTCGACGCTACTGAAGCTCTGCCTCTAAATCAAGCCCGCTTTGCTCTAGGCACTCCATGCTCCGAGTCGGCGACCCGGCGCCCGATTTCTCCGCCACCTCGCACACGGGTGCCACGGTCTCGCTCAGCGACTACAGAGGTAAAAAGTTGATGCTGTGGTTCTACCCGCGCGCCGGCACTGGCGGGTGAACCGCAGAGGGGCGGGCGTTCGAGAGCCTGCGCTCCGAGTTTGCGACGCACAACATTGCCATCGCGGGCTGCTCGAACGACCCGGTCGACGCAAACCTGAAGTTTGCAAGCGGCAACCACTTTGATTTTCCGCTGTTGAGCGACACAAAGATGGCGGTCGCGGTCGCCTACGGAGCGGCCGACTCTCGCACCGCGAAAAAGGCGCGACGCATCGCCGTCCTCATAAACGAGGATGGGCGAGTGGCGAGGATCTACGACCCCGCCGGCACGGCAGACTTCCCGGCTAAAGTCCTCGCCGACGTCAAGAAGGACGAGCTGTAGCTGCGTGCCCGCGCGAGGCATTGACCCGTGCCGTCCAGCGCCGGTGTGCGCGCTTGCAAATGATGGCTGCCGCCTGCAAACTTGAGGTTTCCTCCTCGTCGCGAGAGAGGGGCCGCAGGCGTGACGCCGGACGGCACAGCAAGCGCACACCCGACGCACGGACCACGGGCACTTCACCCCATGGCCGCATCTGGGGGCACACGGTGTTGTACTTCATAGTTAGTCGTCTGAAGAGTGAAGTGGGGGGAGGGGATGTGATTCAATATATGTGTGTGCGTCGTGGGTGTAAAGGCCCTGGAGTCGCCAATCAACCAGTGCACGTAAACACTACTGACGAAGTCTGCGAGTCTCTCCGAAGTCAGCGCGCGTACTTTCTGTGGTGATAGTACTTTGGCCTGCTGTCCAGCCTCACATGCAGCCACGGCACTCCGCTTCCCTCCGTGCTCAGCCACACGGGCGGGGCAGACGCGGCCGCGCCGCCGAGCATCCCATGTAGCGCCTCGCCAACCGCCTGCCAGACCGCCACGCGCTGGCTCTCGGGCGCGGCGCGGCAAAAGGCGGCGAGGTGACCGTACGCCGCGCGCGCCGCTCCCGGCGCTAGCTTCGGGTCGCCTATAAGAGCCGCAGCAAAATGTGAGCTGTGCGTTGAGGTCCCGCTATGAGTGAAGCGTGCCTGTCGGCGCCACGAGCGTCGCGTCACCGCCTAGGTTTGCAAATGTGACCGCGCCCACACCGCTGCGACCGATGTGCTCTGCAAAATCGGAAGGGTCGGCGCGTGCAAAGCCGTGCGCTTGCACCAGCACAAATTCAAAGGGATCGGCCGCCGAGGCCGCGGCGAGGGGCGGACACTCAAAGTAGAAGGAGTCGAAGGGGCAAGCCGCCAGGACGGCCGTGAAAAAGAGAGTGAATGCGGCATCCGTGCGCCAGAGAGCGATCGCTTCCTCCCACCGCAGGGCAGCGCCGCCCCGGTGCGAGATGACTTGGCGTTGCGTGCGACTGCCGAGCTGCTCGGCGACGGCGACAAAGCGCTCGTCCTCCATGTGTATTGTGTGTATCGATTCGCACGAAAAAGAGCGCCAAAAAGAATTTCGCCCACGCCCTCCCTTGGGTTGTTCGTTTCGGTTGTCTGTTTTCTTTCTTTCTTTCTTTTGTTCGTTTCTTTATTTCTTTTTATGATTTTGCGAGTAAATCACAACCCGGACCCCCGACGCAGGAGAGAGAACGACGAGAGTGGGAAGAACGCGAGGCGGCATGAAGGTCGCTGCGAGAATTGGTGAGAAACTGTGAAGAATCTCTTCTTATTGAGATAGGTCATAGGAAGAGGTAGACGCCCGAGGGTTGGCGACGGCTAGCACCACACCTCTCTCCTCAAAATCCCTGTGTGGTGGCGGCGAGACGGCGTGCCGTCCTCCCATCCGTCCCTTGGTTTCTTGAGCACTTGTGACTTGAGCACTGGATAGGGTCGATTCCGCGTGGTACGGGACCCCTCGATCGTCTCGCCCTCCCTGCTCCCTCACTGGTATGTATGTATGTAGGAAGGTGAAGAACAGTCAGGCTCGGACTGGACAACCGACGCGGTATGGGTGGACGCTGGACAGATGATAGTGTTCATCCTTTCTTTCTTTCTTTTCCCCCGACGCAAGCACAGACAGTCGAGAAACAGCAACGACAGGCAGAAGTCAGCACTGGGTCCCAGGAAGGACTTTTCTTGGCACGGGACTGGCGCGCACTGGCACTAACATACACCACGGGGGAGCCACCTCGAGCACTTGAGCACTGGATAGGGGTCGATTCCGCATGGTACGGGACCCCAAGTAAGCGTCTCCTGAGGACGGCGAGCCAGTCCCGTGCCTATATAGTGTCGTGAGAAAAAGAATTACAAGAATCATAAACCCCTCTCAGTTCGTTGGCAGCCTCAGAATGCCTAGGCTGGCCGATTTTTTTCGCGGTATCCGCGGCGGGATATGGCGGGATATGGCGGGATATGGCGGGATATGGCGGGATATGGCGGGATACCGGGAGATACACGCGGATATGATGAGATACGGAGCCCCCAAGATGTGTTCACGACAACGTCCGTCAAGCGTGAAACCGCAAATCGGACGCATTCGCGCTTCGACGGCCGCTTGTCGAGCGCTTGTCGATTCCCATGATTCACGATATACAGAAAATTTCCGCTTGAGCAGGGACCAGGGATCCGTCGCGCTCTGCGGCCGGAGCGCGGAGAGAGGCCGGGCTGCTCGGCGTGAGGCGGGCAGGATACGGCGGGATATGGCGGGATATGGCGGGATATGGCGGGATATGGCGGAATACGGTCAGATATGGAGAGATACATCAAGATACCGCAAAAAATCGGCCAGACTAGGCCTCTCAGACACATCCAGGGCCGGGGAGCTAAGTCCTAAGAAGCGCACCCAAGCGGGCCAGATGCTCTCGGGATCGGGTTACGGGCTAGAGAGCCCTAGCCCTGTGGGGGGACGGGTGCGCGTTCCCTCGGCGTTCGCAGGGAAAGGGCCATAAAGTAAACACGGGTCTCCGAGGGTTGGCTCCTTGGGGCACTTGGAGCACTTGGAGTGCAGTCATCAACCGCACGCCCAGGTGCCAGGACCGGGGAGCTAAGAAGCGCACCCAGTTGGCCAGACGATTGGTATCGGGTTACGGGCTAGAGAGCCCTAGCCCTGGGGGGTGCGCGGTCTTGGGGTGTCTGTTTTCTTTCTTTCTTTCTGTCTTTTCTTCTAGCTTTTCCTCTCACACGACACTGGGGGCACGGCACGGGACTGGCGCGCACTGGCACTAACACTTGACAAAAAGAATTTCGATTCTCTGTCAGCAGTCCACCTCCGGGTATTCGTAAGGACGCGGACTTGTATCCGCGAAGTTGTCTACGATTGGACGGACGGAAAAACACCCCCTTCTATGCCTGACCCTGGCCATGGCCTCTCTGGGGGTGAGCTGGGCCGGCCGCCTCCGGGTCCGCCACTCGCACGATGGGCTCGCGTCCGGGAGAGCATCCGAGACCCGCGGTTGTCCGCTCGCTGGGCGCGACCTACATGGAAATCCACTGCACACAGATCTGTGCTTTTGGCGCCTATTGCTCGCTCTCTGTGCAATCGCAACGCCAGAGGCCGTGCTTGGAGAGTGTGTCGCAGTGCTGCTACGTCAGTGGATTGAGCCGCGACGCAGGCTCCATCGGTGAGCTGCGGCGGCGCACCGGCCGCTCCATGCATGCTCTCCGGCGAGCCGTCGCAAACGCGTTTCCGTCCGCCCGTTTCATCGAGTTTGCCCGAGTGGTAAAATGCAATCGAATCTGCCCGAGTGGTCAAGTAAAACTTTGCCTTTCGTAAAAGTTGCCCGAGTGGTCGAGTGGTCAAGTAAAACTTTGCCTTTCGAAAAGTTGCCCGAGTGGTCTGTGGGGAAAAAACGAAAATCGAGACGGACTTCTTGAACGGCCGGGCAACATGTCTTCCTTACTATTATTAATTGATGCTTTTTGCACGGAACTTTGACAATTAACAAGATGGAATTCTGACAATTAACCAGCTGCCTCTCGCTGGCTGAGCCCCTGCCACGCCCGCCCCCCTCCCCTCTCTCCCCCTCACTCCCCTGCCCGCCACACGGTTGATATGGCACACATGACCACGCCACCTCGCGCGCAGGTGGGAAAAGGCACAATGAACGATGGGCTTGCCCATCCCGGAGTGGTTCGATCCCACACAAACCCGAGACGGTGACGGGATGCTGGCTGGTGGTCTCAGGCCCAGTGAGGTAGTGCATCAGACTATCCCGGATCCTGCTGAACAAGCTCCTCTTGTAGCTCGATCGGTCACACCGCCATCGCCGTCGGGGAGAGGGGGGACGACACTGCTTTGGCAGCGTGCACCTCGATCCTGTACCGTGTTTGTTATGACCCCCCCCAATGAACACACCAGTGAGGGTGGGCGAGACGATCGAGGGGTCCCGTACCATGCGGAACCGACCCTATCCAGTGCTCAAGTGCTCAAGGACGCGGAAAAGCGGAGGGACGCACGCCGGGGGGCGTGTCTAAGTCGCAAGGGACGAACCCAGCCACACAGCCTCGAGCCCACAGCCTCAGGGATGCCACCGAAGTCTGGCACCGTGGTGTGCGACGGCGAGAAGTGTGTGATCGGCAACTACAAGCCGACTAAAGATGGCACAGCCCATGAGCGTCTTGCAAAGGCTGCAGGCATGGATAAGCCGAAAGTGGCGGGTTCCATCAAACCCGACGGCCGCGTTGCGTTGAGGTCGGAGTCGATCAACCGTACCAACGGACTGGGCTGTGATGCTGCTGGAACGAAGCTTGGCCAATGGGCAGAAATGAAAATGGCCCTTGGCGATGTCGAGGGCGTCAAAGAGTACAAGAGGAAGAGCCGGCGCTCCCGCACCTGATGCATCACACACGCCGAGCGAGCGTGGTGTGGGCGCGAGAAAGCTCCCCGCCGTTCATAGATAGGAGAGCGCCGTTCATAGACACTGTGTCGAGAGCCGATGCGTGAGGTGTTTTCATACACGCTAGTCCGCTAGCCGGCGGCGGTCGGGTTCCTGGTTTCATGCATGATTTGGAGGGCGGCCCGCGGGCGCCGACGGAGACGTCGAGGAAGAATCAATGTCCAAAAGCTCACCGATGTTTTCGCCCACTTTGTCGTTTTGCAGACTTTCTAACAAGCACCTCACTCAGCCGGCAGCGCGCGCAGAACCCGGAATGGCGCCGCCGCATTGCCGGGATTGTACTCGAGGAGAGGCAGGGGGAGCCCGTTGGCGACGCTAGCGGCGTCCTGCACGGCGCGAGCCAGCGCAAAAGTGACACGGCTTGCCCGCGAATCAATCGCGACCGCCTGGACAAAGTGCGCAAGCGCCGCTCTTGCTCCCCACCCTCCGTCTCGCCACACACGTCGAGAACGAGCTCGTTGTAACCCCAAAAGCCATCCGAGTGATCCAAGCAGGTCTCGAGCGGGACGTCCCGCAGAGCATTGGGCCTGCACCGAGGAGTGCAGTGCACGTCAACTAGTTGCTCCCGCCGTCGTGCGGGTAGCAACAGTTCATCCGCTCCAGCGCAGCGGCCCGGCGGAGGACGACTCGAGCATCGGCATGTATGTGTACTCGATCATCTGCTCACCGATCCGGCGCAAGGCTGGACCCATGATCCCGCTTCTGAAGATCACACCGGGTCTGTACGTCCCTTGATGCAGGTAGTTGATTATGCTCACGATGGTCCTCCCATTTGGCTGGGTTCGGGCTGTCTGTTTTCTTTCTTTCTTTCTGCAGGGGATGGTTGTCGTTTGTGAGTTTGTGTGATTATGTCAAAAGGTAAAAGCCACACCAACGAATATCAAAGCCCTCGGCTGAAGAAAAGGAGACGCGGCACTCGAACGCGGCACCGGCACGAACGAGGGCCACCACCAGTGCGCAGTGGCAGAGAGAGCAATATTAAAAGGCTGCTCCGCCCGCCGCACCGACCTCAAGCGGCTAGCGGTAAGCGACCTTTCGAAAACAAGCACCTCAAGCCAACGCAAGCTGCTCCGCCCGCCGCACCGCCCGCGAGCCCGCGACCCAGGCAGGCCACTTTGTCTGAGCCCTGGCTGTCAGGCTGTCAGGTGCTGTCAGGGGTGATCTGTCGGGCTGTCGGGCAGCTGTCAGGCATTGTCAGGTGCCTCTGCCAGACCAGCTGTCAGGTGCTGTCAGTGCTGTCAGGTGCTGTCGGGTGCGTGTCTGACAGTCGAGGTGCTCTGTAGCTGTCGGGTGCTGTCAGAGCTGTCGGGTGTTGCTGTCAGACGCTGTCGGAGCTGTCAGAGCTGTCAGGCTGCTGCTGCTGTCAGACGTTGGGCTGTTGCTGTCAGGTGCTGTCAGGTGGTGCTGTCGGGGTGCTGTCAGGCTCTGACACACACCAGCCACACTTATGACACTATCAAGAGGAGACCAGCAGGACTCTACTACACATACTCTCAGCCTCTCCTCCTACACGGCGTGATCACGCCGGCGGCGGCGGCCGCCTGGGGAGCGCGCATATGGCGGCGCAGGCGCAGGCGGCGGCGGCGGCAAAGACGGCGGCGGCCACCCCCACCCAGACGCCGTAGGCATATGACTGTAGGGCCCCAGAAGGCTAGCTGGTAGCTCCATTTGTAGTAGCACAGCCGCTGGTGCTAGAGAGGGGTCCCCGCAGACGCGCAGAGGTGTGGGACGCGGACGGGAGGGTTGAGAGAGAGACCCATGACCATCCCATGACTACATGGACCACACTCACATGTCTTTGCATGTAATAGTTTTGTTATACCCTCATGGGGCACAAGAAAGAGGCTCTATGGGGTCTGACTGTGTACGGTCTGTGCTGCTGTCGGGCTGTCAGCGCTGCTGTCAGGCCACTGTGTGCTCTGTGCTGTCGGGCTGGTCGGGCAGCTGTCAGGCTGTCACGTTAGGGCCTGACAGCGACGGAGCACCTCGACCGTCAGACTCTGCTGTCAGGCTGTCAGATACGTGCTATCAGACTGTCGGAGAAAGTGCTGTCAGCGCTGTCAGGCTGTCGGGCACTGTCAGGCGCTGTGTCCGGGGTTTGCTGTCAGGCTGTCAGACCAGGGCTCAGCACTTTGTCAGCCTCTCACTTTTCGCTTGCTTGACTGAGATCGATCGCAAAGGAGCGAAGCTAAACCTGGGACAAATCAGGAACAAGATTGCGCACGACGCGCCTTTTGTGCAAGACTCGATGCCTCAAGGGAGAGACCTGATCATCCGACATGTTTGAGGCAGTAGTCATGTCGAGGCAGTAGTCATCGATGTAGTTTGGCATCGGTAAATGCGGGAGCGGTGGGAGCAAAAGGCCGAGGAAGCAAGCAAGACAATGATGGGCTCCCGTGTGAGGAGAAAAAAAGTGGGAGGCAAGTGAAAATCTTCGCTTTCCCTGCTGACGGGTGGAGAAGAGAAAAGACGCTCCGGGGGCGCGGAGCTCGAGGCAAAATTTATTTCTCCGAGGAGCTCTTACTACACGATGCGGCGAAGGACATCCCCCCCCTCCTCGACAGCCATCCGACCGCTTGCCCTCGCCGCACCACCTTGTCGCGGAGAGGGTCGTCCTTGTCCTCCTCTTCGTCCGTACGATCACGTCATCACTGAATGCTTGATACTAAGGCCGCGAGCTATGCAGGTGATCAATTGTGCATCATGGCACGGTCAGCTGCGCCGACAGGCTGTCGCAAGGCGTGATAGCATGGCCGCAAGTACGCCGAATTCCCATGAAAACAAGTAAAAAATCGCGAAAAAAGAAAAACTCCAGTGATCTCGGATAGTCTCGGGTAATCTCGGGTTATCTCGGGTTATCTCCGGTAACGTCGGGTCATCTCGGGTCATCTCGGGTCATATTGCAACTCGCGTAGTCGGTACACACACACTCACATACACACACACACACACACACACTCACAGGTTCGCGCCAAGCGGAAAGAATTTTTGTTGCGCAGGTTCAAGTATTCGAGGAGAGAGTGGACCTGAGCTGGCTGAGCAACGATATGACTTGGCGGCAAATGATCGCAGTGGGCGTCAGAAGAGTCGTCCTTGCGCGAGGAGAGCTCGATAAACTCGAGGGGCCAAAATATGCCGCGAGGAGGGCAGAGTTGCGCCGAAAGGCGGGAGAAGCAGCGAGAGAGCAAGGGATCGGCAGGCGGCGGCGGCGTCGCAGGACGAGGCAGACGAGAGCGACGCGACAGAGGAGGAAGCGACAGGAGGGAGAACGAAGAGAGTGGGACGACCGCGAGGTGGCATGAAGGTTGCAGCGAGAATCGGCGAGGGACTGCGAAGGGAGATAGAAAGAGGCAGACGACCAAGGGTTAGGGTCATAGGGTGGGCGACGGCTAGCACCACACCCCTCTCCTTAAAATCCCTGTGTGGTGGCGGCGTGCCGTCCACCGTCCTCCCATCCCTCCCTTGGGTTGTCCGTTTTCTTTCTTTCTTTCTTTCGCCCAATCACAGGCCCCCAAACATTTTTGGGGGCGCGCCGCCAGGCGCGTCCCCACTTTTGTAGCACACCCAAGCGTGAAAGCGGTTATGCTTATGGTGACACACTTCGCGGCGAGGTGACACAGTGTGAAACAATTCATCGGATTCGCTTGAGCTGGGCCACTTGAGTGCTCTCTGCACCATGCAAGCCAAGTATGGGTCCATCCTTTACAACACTGTCGGCGTACTACCCTTCGGGCTCATGTCAGCTGAGATGCTGCCCGAGGTCTGGAAAGGCATCGCGACGGAGACATGCAAAACGGGCTTCGGCGGCGGCAAGACGTGCACCGAGGCGCTCGAGTTTACGGTGGGCAAGGTCTATCTGCAGGTGATCTGCGGTTCGGCGCTATTCTACGCGATGCACCTACTGCTCGAGGGCAAGAGCGCTCTGCTGGCGAGCATGGCGATGCTCATCGGGACGATGGGAAAGCACATCCTCGTCGATGACCTCATGCCGCCGCCGCCGGTGATGGCGATGGTCGCGCTGACCGTCGCCCTGATCCTCCTCGCGCCGGCCGCGTGGGGCAGGCGCGCGTACATCGGCTTCTGCGTCGTGAACGCCGCGACCTTCCTCCTCGACCCACTCACGGTGATCACAGACAGCTTCCCGGCGGGTGAGCCTCTCCTCGCGCCGCCGCCTCCCTCACGCGCCTGCCTCGCGTGCGCCTCGCTCGGCTCGGCCCACTCCGCCTCCCCCTCCGCGCAGTCGAGGCAGGCTCGCCCGCGGCGGAGATCGGCACGTTCGAGTTTGAGGCGCTGCCCTCCCCCATCCCGCCAGCCCTATGGACCCGCCGCTCACGCGTGCATGCCGTGCGCAGGTGGTTGCGCTCTACTTCCTGTGTGCGGCCGTCACCGTCGCCTCTCCGTCGAAGGCGTACGGCCTCGCGTACTCTTGCCAGGTGACCTCCCCACCTCCCCTCCCCTCCCCTCCCAACCTCCCCTCCCCTCCCCTCCGGAGCTCGCCTGCAGGCCCCAGTACTTAACGCGCGGCTCCGGCCCGCCTCCCTCCTCCCAGATGGGCTGCGCCCTGCTCCTCAAGCACATCCTCGTCAACAAGTCGGGCCCGCCGGCGCCGATGGTCGCGCTGTACGCCGTCACGTCGATGGGCGCGTGGTACGAGGTCGGCTGGGCGGACTTCCCGAAGCCGCTCGAGGAGGCGATGCAGGCGGGGCCGATCGTGCTCCACGGCCTCATCGTCTTCTTCTTCTTCGTGCCCTACTTCGCCCTCGAGACCGTCGGCATCTCGCTCCCGTACGTCGGCCTCGCACACGTCGACGAGTCGTACACGCACGGCGGCTCGACCCTGCTCATGACCGGCATGCTCGCAATCTTCTCCGCGATGACCTCGTACGACGAGATGGCCGGCTGCACGAGCGCAAAGATGTTCGCCGCCCACCACTACTTCCTCTCGCTCGTCGTCTTCTTCTGGCAGGTGCAGCCTACCACCACCGCCTTCGGCGCCGCCTTCGGCTCCGTGCCCCACCTCTTCACGGCGTGGACCTGCTACCTCGTCCTCTCCAAGACCAAGCAGGACTGAGGATCCGCGCGGCGACCAGTCGCACCCCATGCCGGTGTCAGGCGAGTTCGGTAAGACTCTGGGCGAGCCTGCTGCCCGCGCGGGGTCTCCTATACTCCCGTACAAGTGCGGATGTACCAGTAGTCTCGCATGTCCATGTGTCGCAGGGGGGGAGCAGGGGTGGGGAGGAGGCGGGAGAGGTGGTGGTGCGCGCTACACTGCACACAGTGACTGCGAAGGGCCATGAGCATGATTCAGCATGTGCGACTCGCAGCGAGGCGGCACAGCCGAGCCTCGCCCGAGCGAGAGAAGAAAAACTTGCTTAGGAGGGAGGAAATATTTTTTCTTTTTTTCTCGCACCTCTTGTGGGCCGCCTGAATGGAGGACCACCATCTCGACGGCGATGCTGCCCATCACGGAGGAGCCGTCCTTCTGTGTCCCCACCGCCGCGCTCATCGAGACGGCGCGGCGCAGCTGGGACGCGCTCTTCCCTGGCGAGGAGGTGCCGCAGTTTGACACAGAGGAGGCGTTCCTCGCTTGGGCCAACTCGGCGCAACTTGGGTCGGGCCACTCTCCGCCGCCGCCTGTCTTCCTGGCTGAGGCCGCACCGCAGCCTGCGCCGCGCGTCGGGAGCGGACGGGGCGCCCGCTCACCGAACGGCGCGAGACGACAACAGAGTCCGGCTTCGCTTCCGCAGCCTCGGGGCAGTGCGGCGGCGCAGCCGCCCGACGCGCGCGCCACCGTGCGGGTGGAAGACGCTAGCGGCATGTCGTGGGAGCACGGGAGCGTCGCACGCGCGGTGCCGCGCTCCGCCGCACACCGATTGAGCGCCCCACCGCCCTGAGCGCCGTTTGTTTCCCACCACCAGGCGGGCAGCTCATGCCAGTCGTGCGCCATCGACCTCTCAGCGGCCTCGCCGATCGACTGGGACACGAGGCGCACAGCCTCTCTGGCCTGCCTACCCCCCACACACACACCCGCTCTGACCCACCCCCACTTTCTCCCCGCGCAGGTTGCGGCTGCACGAGGCCGCCTCCCTCACCTCCTCGACCTCTGCCGACACCTCAGCACGGACGACGCCCGCGGGCATGCCCACGGGCACGCCGCTGGAGCAGCAGCAGCAGCGGCAGCAGCACCAACTCGCGAGCGCATATGGGTGGGCGCGGCGTGACCGCGCGGCGGTGGAGGGGAACACTGACTCGCCCGGTAGGTGGGACCGCGTGTAGAAAAATACGCAAAAAAAGAAGAAAATGGGCAACGCTCAAACCACCTCCTTGGGCCCCTATTTTTTTCTTCCTTTTGACGGAAATGAAGGCCCAGCCCTGGAGGTCTGCATGGCCCTGGAGTTCGTCCCGGCCCTGGAGGTTGGCTCACGTCGCCTCACAACGCCGCCTCAGTACGAACCTCAGCACCAGCCAGAAGACCATCGGTGACCTGGCGCCAACACTGCACCGCTTGAAGAGCGTCGGCGGGAGCGGCTCTCGTCATGTGCTGCCGGCCAGCGCCTCGGTCGGCGCGGCGGCCCATCATCTCCTCAGCGAGCGGCTGTCCTTCTCTCTCATTCTGCGCTCGGATGAGTCGCTCCTCGGCATGGTGACGGAGCGCGACTTGCTGCGGTACGCCACGCAGGCGGGCGACCTGTCTGGCCGCACCTCGTCCCCGCGTGCGTACCGCGTCTCGAAGCCGCTGCCGAGCAAACCGGCGGTGGTGGAGTGGATGACGCCAGCAGATCGCGCGCTGACAGTTCGGCTCGACGACACGCTCGAGCACGCCGTCTCGCTGGTGCGGCGTGGGATCTGGAGGCACCTCCCGGTCGTCGACTACTACGGCCGGATCCACTCCATCCTGGACGTGCGAGACGCGGTCGAGGTCGTGTTCGGCGCGCGCGGGCTCGACGCGTGGCGCGGCAAGACGGCAGCCGACGTGCTCGGCCACAAGCGGAAGCGCAAGCTGGCATGGCCGCCGCCCGGGGTCCCCTTCGAGGGGTGGCAGGTGCCGCCTTCGGACTGGCGGCAGCAGCTCGAGGGCTACTTGCTGCACTCCGCCGCGCAGCACACGGTGTCGAGCGCGGCGAGCGTCGAGGAGGCGGCGCAGCAGATGGTGCGCCACCAGCTCACCTTCTTAGTCGCGACGGACGACGGCGGCGAGGGCGGAGGAGGAGGAGGCGGAGGCGGCGGAGGCGGCGGGGGCGGCGGCGAGGTCAGCGGCGTGCAGCGGCGTGTGGTGGGCCTCGTCAGCGAGCGCTCATTCCTGTCGTACTGCGCTGAGCCGCCGGGTGCCGTCCTCTCGCAGCGCGAGGCGAGGAGCCTCCCCGGAACCTTCTCGGCACCTTCCTGTAGGCTCCGGCCTCTCGCTGGTGGAACGGAGGGCGGCGCCAGGGTCGGGCCGCAGCGTGGCGTCCATCATGGCGCCGCTCGAGGGGGTGCTGCACGTGTCGATCAACGCCTCCGTCGGGGACATCGTCGACCTCTTTTTCGCGCACAACATGCGCCACCTTCCAGTCATCGACCGGGGGAGGTTGCTCGGGATCATCTCCGCACGCGACCTCCTCCTGCCTCTGCTGTGAGGCTGCCTCTGCGGCTGGGCGGCGCGGCGAAGGGAGGAAGCATGGCGGGGTCGGTAGCGGGCGGAGGCTTAGAGCAGGGGCGTTTGGCGCACCCTCGGCAGGTTTGCATCGGTGCACAGGAGGAGGCTACACAGAGACTGCCAGAGGAGGAACCTGCGTCCGGCGCCGCACAAACTGCGGCGACCCAGGCGGGGCGGTGCCGCCGGCGGCTGCACGCTCAGGGACTCGACTCATGGTCATGCGGGTGGGGGACCCGCGACCCCGCCGAGTAGTGCGGATTCCGTATTGGCATGAATAAATAAATAAATAACGGACACCTCTACTGAGTACTGTGCGAGATGGGTAAAAAAGAACAGCAACAGAGAGGTCCCCGCCCGTGCGATCTTTGTGCAGGGTTCTTTGTGGGTGTGTGGTCGGCGACTAGCCGGGCGGGTCGGGTCCTCCCCCGACGGGGGGTGGACTAGCACTAGCCGTCTTCCACACGACATGGCCCCTCTCGGGTCCCTGCTAACTCTTAATCTCTTCGTACATCCTCCTGCTGATCTCCGCAACGTCCTGCTCCCTCCCTCGTCTCGCCCTGCGCGACTGCTCCGCCTCCCCGTCGTCTGCCCTGCGTCGTCTGGCTACGGGTCCTCCATAGTCGGTTGAGGTCGCCGCCCTCCTCGTGCCTCTTCCCAACATCCCCTCGGCGGCCGATGCCGTCTGCTCCGACTCCCCCTTCCCCGGTTCTGCCCTGCTCTCGCCAGCGCTAGTTTCGTCATCACCGGTGTCTCTCCTCTTCTTTCTCCTCTTCTTGTATGCTTTGCACATCGCGTCGATTCCTTTTCGCGTGAGCACCACCCTGAAGTCCGCCCAGCAGCTGAACCGCTCCCTAAGTCGAAGGAGCATCATCAGTCTCACCCACTTCGCTCGCTGCCCACTGTCACCGCTCCCTCCCGCTGAGCCGCCGTCGCGGCCCTCGTTCGTCCCACTGGCTGCTGGCCTGTCTGCACGTTACCTCCGTTATCCCTCCTCCTCCGCGACTCCCTCGAGGCCGGCCGGGCCTCCTTCCACCCAGTGAAGAGCTTCCTCAGCCACTCGATGTGTGTTCCTCTCTCTTCATTATGCGCGCCGTAGCCTCATCATTGAGCTGGATCCACCTCTGCACCGCTCTCGTCGCCGCCTCGGCCACGACTTGCAAGTTCCTCGTGACCCCGGCGCCAAGGTCCCTCCGGCTCTTCTCCTGGCCGAAAAACGTGGGTTCGAATTCGTAGGAGGCACCCAGAGCAAAATTGAGCCCGCTCAGGTGAGAAAAAATATAAGGGTCAAGCAGGTTTCGAACTGGCGACCTTCCGCTTGCGGAAAGGTATCCAGCAAGAAATCGCTGCGAGTAAGGGAGGTCGCTGTTCGAAACCTATTTAGCATACCGGGGGGAATTAGACACCACAGATGCGCACACACCGACGCCCGAAGTGCCAAGAAGGACGTCATTAGTACGAAACCTCAGAAGGCCATGGGCGCCGAGAGAACATTCCCCCGAGAGGACAAAAAGAAAGACTAACCCGAACCTCCTTCCCTGGTTCCCCCCGCCAAATGCCGCCGTTCTCGGGGCATGCTATCCTGTGTAAGCAGGGCAGGTGGGAGGGGGGCAGTCCCTTTGACGTATGTATCTCTGGGTTCTGTCTCTAGCCACTAGCGTCGGAGGCAAGGCAGAAGATAAGAATATTCAAAAAAATTCAGGTCCACTCTCTCTTCGGACACTTGTACCTCCACCGATGTGCGATGATGTTGGCGCTGGGGTCCCCTTCGGGTGCATCGTTACAGCTGACAACGGGATTACCACTGGTGTTTCGTCCTCCTCGGAGTCTTCTTCCCCGGCTTCCCCCCGTTCGGCTCTATTTCGTTCAGCGTGGCTCACCCTCCATGCGCATGCCGTGAACAGACGCCCTCCATCCATATATATATTCTTCTCTCGTTCCTCTGCCCTTGCCTTGGTCTTGTCGTTGTTTCGCACCCATGTCTGTCGGGCAATCCATTCTTTTCCTGACATAAAATCTTTTTCCCTGGGTTCCAACTTTTTCCGGGGTATGGTATGGTAGGCTCGGCGGCCCAAGGGGGGGGGGGGGGGTATGGTCCTGACCGCCCAAGGCTAGCCCTACCATACCCCAAGCAGGTCTTCCAAGAGGCGGGGGGTATGGTCTCGAGGTGGGTTGGCCGGCAACCATGCGATCCGGAAGAAAAAGTTGGAACCCTGAGCGCTGGCTTGGCTTGGAGCTTCCCACCCTCGAATTCCACCTGGCGTCGATTCTGCCCACGAAGTCGCCACACGGGAATCTAGCGGCGGCCTGGCCTCTAGCGACACCGACGAGATGAGCGACTCCTTTCTCCGCGCTGCCCAGATTCGCTCTTCCGACTCGCCGAGTCCACCCGCCGCAGCGGAGCTGATCGCCTCACTCGGCGCAGACGAGCTGCAGGTTATTGCGCTGTCGGTCGACGACCCGGCCATTGTGTGCCGCATGGCCGCAGTCTGTCGTCTGTGGCGTGCCACTGCGCACTCCGAGCCGGTGTGGGCGGCGTTGGCCGCCGCATACTGGGTTGGACCACTCGCCCGCCCACCGACTGGATCGGCGCGAGACGCCGTCGTCGGAATCGAGTCGGCGCTCCGAGATGTTGCGAGCGGACGGCGCCGGCTGGCGATCCTGTTGGAGCAGAATGGCGAGATCCACGTCCCGCTGGCGTCTTGCCGCTGGACTTGCGCGCTCGACGCCTCGCCCTTCCGCATCCTCTCCGTCTTTGGCGGGTCTCGGCCTTTCTGCTCCGTCTCGCTCCTCTCCAACGCAAGCGACGTGGGCGCCTCTGCTGTCGCCGAGGCTGCTGCTGTTCTCGAGCGGGACAAGGACGAGTTTCTCGGCTTGCTGGAGCCTGTCCCCTACTCCGAAGGCAAGTTAGGGCGACCCTTGTTGGAGCTCCACCCGGGCCGCGTGCACGAAGAGGAGGACTTTGACGAGGCGGACGCGATGATGAACTGGGAGGCGGGTGGCAGCCCGGGCCCAGGCCTCTTCCTCTCTTGCCACACCAACCACCGAGACAAGGGACGGCACCAGAGCTTGCAGTGGTTCCACCCCGACGGCGCAAAGACTGTGGGACCGCCCGGTGGTCGCCCCGTCGACGTGCTGCCCCAATTCTACGAGGTGGGCCTGCCCGTGCCCTTCGGCAGGGCCGGGCCGGGCGGGGGGCTCATCCTCTGCCCCTTCTCTGTCCGCTGCTTCAAGGACCAGGAGCGGTGGCATACGCCGACGAGCAGCGGCCACACGCCCGCGATGATCGCAGGGTGGGACAATGAGCCGCCATGGCAGGACGTCGGCGAGTGGAGGCAGGGCGGGGAGCCCGCTGGGTCCCGCTGCCGCTCCCTCTTCGTGGTGGCGGTGCAGCAGCGCGTCTCCGTCGCTAGCAGCCATTTCGTCACGCGGCAGGAGGAGCTGCACCGGGAGTGGTTCCGCGTTGACTTCAGGTGAGTGTGTGACTGTGCGCGACTCGTGAGCTGTGAGCTGTGAGGGGGAGCGATTGAAACTTGAACCAGTCTTTTGTCTCTCAAGTCTCACATGCACGCGCGTGTGGCACGTGGCCGTGGCGTTGCAGGGGGCGCTGTGTCTATTGCCTCGTCCGTGCAGGGTAAATAACCCCTTTATAGGTATCTTAGGTATACTTTTTATTATTACGCCGCTGTTCACAAAAAAACACAGCCGCTGTTCACGGTTGGGTTGACGCGAACGTCGACGAACCCATCCCATCTGTGGCTCGACTTCCGCACATATGCCTTCCGCTCCTGAGGTGCCAGGCAGGAAAGTGTCTGGCACATATGACGCGAAAACGTCTCCGGCGTCGCCGCCGAAGGCTCGCAACTCCCGGGCCGCACCCAGTAGTTCACAACCGAGTCCGCGCGGTCGTCACGTAGCCCGCTAATGCATCCTGTGGCCTGTTGCTCCCAGGTGAAGCGCCGGGATAGCAGCGCCAGCATGACGGACGAGCTATTTCGCATCTCGCGGCAGAACAGCATGACCAGCGTCGGCGGCGAGGATTTCGCGGACATCGAGGTGGCGCAAACGCTCGGGCCCCGTGCCTCGCCGACGCCGGCCTTTCTCCCACCCGATGGTAAAAGCTATCCTCCGCCCGCCCAGGATCCTCACTTGGAGAGAGGTCGACCTCGCTTGCGACCGCCTCCAGGCCGGCAGCTGAGTCGCTCCGTGAGCCGCGTGCAGCTCAAGCGTTGGGCGTCGGACGGCTGGAGGAAGGCGCGCAGCGCCGGCAACTACTGGCTCCTGTTCGGCATCGCGGCGGTGAGTGGAAGGAGGCGGTGCGGGCCCACGCGCCGCCGCGCCCCCAAGCCTCCCACGCACCCCGAACCCAGGCGCTGCTCTGGATTAACCTCGACCACGAGTCCTACGAGTACTTTGTCGGCACTCTCACGCCCGGCAGAGCCACGCTGCTGCCTCTGCGCCCCCAGCCGCTGAAGGCTCGGACACCACCGTCCTCTAGGCGCCGAGCCGGCCGAGCCGCACTACGCCCCCTTCGGCAACAAAGCCGTCATCTTCGACCACCCGGTACCTCTAGACACTCCCGACACGTCAAATTCTCCGCCACACGCAACGCATTCCGCCCGCCCTCGCGTCTCCGCCCTCGCTGCCGCCGCCACCCTCGCCCCTACCCTCGCCGCCGCCCTCGCCGCCACTGCCCTCGTCTCCTCCATAGACCCCCCCCCCCCCCCCCAACACACATCGTCCCCCAGCCCGCCACCGAGCTTGCTGCCTTTCTAACCTCTTTAGGCCCTCGCGCCGCTGATCGCCACCGTCGGCGGGGTGCTCGGCCCGATCGCAGTCTTCACTCTCACGCTGCAAACGCTGTACGGCGGCGGCGCCTTCCACGACTACCTCTCCTCCGCCGCCATCGACGCCCGCCACGCACTCTTGCACATCGAACGCGACGCGGCGCGCGACCGCACGCCCTGCTCCGCCCTGCTCCTTCGCACCTGCACTTGGTCTCTCCCCCCCTCTCCCTCCCCGCCCTCGCCGCCGCCCTCGCCTCCTCCTCCACCGCAGCCTCCCGTCCCCTCCGCCGCCCTCCCGCCGCCCTCCCGCCCCCACCTCCCGCCCCCTGCACACACAGCTGCGCGGCAACGCGACGCTGCCCGTGCCCGCCGTCTGCTCCCTCCACGAGAACGCACTCGGGCAGTGCGCGCTGGCAGACGAGCGCGACTTCTCGTGGGAGCAGACGTGGCGCGAGATGTAGCCGAGATGCAGCCGAGGCGTAGCCGAGATGCAGCCGAGATACAGCCGAGGCGTAGCCGAGATGCAGCCGAGATGCAGCCGAGATGCAGCCGAGATGTAGCCGATGATGCAGCCGAGGCGTAGCCGAGATGCAGCCGAGATGCAGCCGAGGCGTAGCCGAGATGTAGCCGAGACACATCCGAGACGTAGCCGAGGCATAGGAGCAAGACGGGCCGCGGCCACCACCGAGCGTCTCCAGGAGCCCTGTCGCTGCCCGCCTCCTCCGCAGGTTCCACCACGCGGGGTACGGCGCGGTCCACACCGAAGGCATGGACCACGGCCGCCGCTTGCATGGAGGCGGCGGCTGGTTGCTCCGAGGCGAGGGCGGGCAGGGCGGCGAGGCGGGCGGCGGAGCCAGCGTGGCGGAGAGCGTGGCGGAGGGGGCGGCGAGAGGGGGCGGGGCGGAGGCGGGAGCGGCCCATCGCCAGCTCGGTGCGATCGGCCGCCGCAAGTCGACCAAGCCGAAGCCAAAGCCCCTCGTTGACGCCGTCGCGGCGAGATGCAGCCGAGATGTAGCCGAGATGTAGCTGAGGCATGGCCGAGGCATGGCATGGCCCGTCGGTGATGCCGTCTCGGCGAAGCGAGGCAGACTTTTCTCTCGGCGACATCTCTGCGACATCTCTGCGACATCTCTGCGACATCTCTGGACTGCGCTCTCCCCTCGCTGTCGTTAGGCGAAGCGAGACGAGAAGCTCGGCTGGCCCGAGGTGAAGAATGGGTGGGGCGTCCCAACCGCGACGGTGAGCCACCCCTCCCCTCCCGCGTGGTGCCATCTGCCACTCTGGGAGCCGTCTCGGACCCTGCTCGGACCTTGGCACCCCTGCAGGACATCTCCCTCGCCTGGGTCATCGCGCTGGCCGTCTTCCCTAAGGTCCTGCGCCCCCCCCCCTCCCCCCCCGCACCGCGCGCACGGGGCCTCGCCCTGCACTCTGCACATCGTGGCGCTCTCCCCCCGTGGCTCTCCTGCCAGAGTGCCTCGCAGTCTCGCAGGACGTGTGGAGATGGGGCGGATCGCCCGCGTGCGCGAGAGGGCGGGTTCCCCCTCCCCCCCCCCCCTTTGGACCAGAGGGGACCCCCCCGCCAGCGACGGCGTGACCCGAGGTTGCCCCCCCCTCCAAAGGGGCACCCTGCGATCGAGTTCCTGCTCCTCCTCGCCGTCGCCGACGACGCCATCGGCCTCGGCATCATCGCGATTGCCTACCCCGACCCGCACCACCCGGTCCAGCCGCAGTGGATGGGCCTCGCGCTGGTCCGCCACCCGCCATCTCCCGCCATCTCACGAGATATCCCGAGATCTCACGAGATCTCACGAGATCTCCCGAGATCTCCCGAGATCTCCCGAGATCTCGCGAGATGGCGGCCGAGGATGTGCCTGGCGCCGGTCTGCACAGCCCGCCCCTCGCCCCACACGCCGCGTGTGTCTCCTCGCCTCTCAGGTCGGCGTGCTCTTCGCCTACCTCCTCCGCCGCTGCGGCTGCATGTCGTGGGGCGCCCACACCTTGCTGCTGTCGCGACATGTTGCCGCGGACGTGGAGCCTAACCTGACCCTCTCCTCCGAGCCGTACCGCAGGCGCCTACCTCGTCCTGGGCGGTTTCCCCGCGTGGGTGGCCCTCCTCAAGAGCGCACTCCACCCGGCGCTACAGAGTAGCGCGAGACCGCCCGAGATCGATCGATCACGCGAGATGTGCCCCGAGATCACCCCAGATGCACCCTTCCCGCACCCGGCGCCTAGCCCCCCCACAGCACGCGACTCCCCTCGAGGACTCTCTCTCTCACCGCTCTCTGGACCCCTCTCCCAGGCGCTCGCCCTCGTCTTCATCGTCCCCTTCCTCCCCGCCAAGCTGCCGCCCGGCTACGACCCCACCGCCTCGCAGCGCTGCACACTCTGCGGACGCGCTCTCTGAGCCTCGTCCGAGCCCTCCTCTCGACCTGCTCCGCACCTCGCTGCAGGCACTCTCTGCGACGCGGGCGTCACGTGCACGCTCGACTCGCGGCGCGTCTCCGCCGCGGTGCGCAGGCGGCTGGGCTGCTTTGCTTGCCTGCTGTGCGGCGACGAGGACGGCGACAGCTCCCACGATGACGAGTTGATGGGGCGGCACGCGCACGCGCCGCTGCACGCATTCGAGCACGCCCTCAAGGTGGCCGTCGAGCGAAGGGGGTACCCCGCCTTCACCCTGAAGGCCCTTCGTGGATCGTCCTCGGAGCCGCCCCGGTGTAGGTGCCTGTCGAGATCGGCATGTTCTTCTTCACGCTCGCCAACGCGGGGGTCAAGCTCGGCTCCGCCGGCACAACGCCCGCCTAGATGCCGCACGCCCCACGCCCCTCTCTTAGTCAAACTCCTCGTCAAACTCCTCCCTTCGCCTGGCTCCAGAGGCCACACCATGCCGCGTCTAGCGCAGAGCTGCGTGGCCACACACACACACACACACACACACACACACACACACACACACACACACACACACACACACACACACACACACACACACACACACACACACACACGGCTCCACACGAATGCGCGCACGTTCGGTCGAGGCTGCGAGCAAAGCTGGCCGTTCCCCTCCCCCCACACGCAGGCCCGCTGACGGTCGGCGTCTTCACCGCCCTCGTCGCCGGCAAGATGCTCGGAATCACGACTCTCGTCTGCCTCGCGAGCTGCTTGCGCATCGCCCCGCTCGCCGAAGGCATCATACCCCGACGTGGGGAGGCGGGCAGAGGCGCGGAGTCTTGTCGGAGCCCTCTCTGAGCCTTCCCGCGTAGGCATGACGCTGCTCGACGTGGTGATGGTGTCGGCCGTCGCATCCGTCGGTTTGACCGTCGCTCTGTTCGTCTCGGGCGAGACATAGCCGAGACACGCAGCCGAGATGCTTCGACCGTCGCTCTGTCGGCGGGCGAGGGGGATGGACCCAGCTTTGCGCCAGCTCAACGAGCGGCGAAGGGCGGCGCTTCCTCCCCGCCTGATGCCCGTGTGTGCCCGGTTGTGTCTGTCCACAGGCGAGGCGTACCAGCACGAGGAGCTGCAGTCCGAGTCGAAGCTAGGCGCCTCTCTTTGCCCAGCTCTCTTCTCGCACCCCCCCCTTTCCCGCCGAGGCTTGTCCCCCCCCCCCCCCCAGGCGCTCTGCTCTCCGGCCTGATGGGGCTCGTCTGCTATGGCATCTCGAAGATGTCCTGCTGGCCGCACAACAAGAAGCCGTCGCTTGCGGGAATGGACGCGAGCAACACGAGCCAGGTCGGCCCCGCCAACGACGGAGGGGCGCCCGACGCGGGCTTGAGTCGGAAGGACAGCGCATGCAGCGCCACTGCGGTCGTCGACGGCGGCCTCGATGAGAGGTCATTGGACGGGCACGACGCCGCTGGCATCTGGGGTGCCCGCGGGGGGCACAATTCAAGCTGTAGGAGCAGCAACAACGGCGAGGGTGACAAAGACCGATACTCCACGCCCGCCGCGTACGCAGCCACCGCTCAACAGCACGCGTGGCTGAAGCAGGGCGCGCCCCAGAGGCAGAGGTGGCACCATTCCTGAGAGCACCCGCCGAACGGGGCGACGAACGGCGTGCGTCGTCTCGCCCCACCCGAGAGATGGTAGGAGTGGGACAGAGAGAGACGGGCCGGGCAACATCGGACTATCACACCACACACAGCTTCGTTCCCTCGGCGCGGTGTGTGGTGTCGTGTCAGGGTCGTGTGTCGGGTAATGTGGGGCATGTTTGGCTTTGAGTATTGAGACACGTGCGAGTGAGAATTGAAACGATGAGGGAAAAAATCGTATATTCGACAGTGGCGTCGCGCCGCTCTCACGTCTCAGTTTCTCACGCGTGCTCAAAGCATAAGCAACTGACCCCACTTTCCTGGCCCGTGCGGCGCCGGCGGGCTTCCGGCCCGCTGGCCATCCGGACCCGCCCCCCGTCGGCGTCGCCATGCCAATGGCAAGGCGCGGGCAGCGATCGCGGCCGCGAGGATAGCGACCGCCGCAAAAGCCGCAACGATCGCCGCGACCGCGACGCGCTCGGGCGAAGCGGCGCTCCGTAGCGCTGAGAGGAGAGCGGCGTCCGCGTCCGCCGAGCATGACAAACGCGCCTCGGCACAGAGGCCTAGCGCCTCTGGCGAGCGCGGGAGCCGACTCAGCTCCTCGCGGAGGATAGCGGCGGCGGCGGCTCGCGCGGGCAATCCGGCACGGTCCTCCCCCACCTCGAGGACGGCGAGCGCCAGCGCCGGCCGGCGCGAAGCGTAGAGCGAGGGCGGCTCGTCGTAGCCCATCGCGTCTTGGAGGCGCACCGCCGCCTCCAGCTCAACCACCGCCGCCCGCGCCGCGTCGAGCTGGCCCGCCGTTGTGCGCCGCGCCGCGAGCACGGCCGCGCGGAGGGAGCGCACGTAGATGGCGGAGAGGAGGACGAGCCTGGACGTGTCACGGACGCGTCATGGGACGCGTCATGGGGACGTGTCATGGACGCGACTAGACGGCGGGAGAGGAGGACGAGCCTGCCGTGCTCGAGCGGGGTGAGGCGGCGCGACTCGGCCTGCAGCTCGAGGAGGGCGGAGATCGCCTCCTTGTTGCGACCCGTGTGCGCGAGCGCCATGCCGCGAGCGAACAGCGACGCCGCGCGCGCGTAGTGCAGGCCGGCGCGGGGCGGCGGCCGGTGCAGCGCCGCGTCCCAGTCGCGAAAGTAGACGTCCGTCAGCGCGGGCGCGGCGAGGTATCGCTCATAGCTGTTGAGGTCGGCCGAGTGCGCAGACACGAGCAGCCCACGCCTTGCGAACTCCGCGACGGCGTCGCCGGAACGCACGGCGGCGGCTCGGTCTCCCGCCATCCGGGCGCACCTACGGGACGCGTCATGGAACGCCTCTCCCGCCAGACGGGGGACGTGTCACGGACGCGTCTCCGGGCGCGCGCCAGACAAGAGACTCGAGGTTGTGCTCCGGGTAGACCTGCTCGACGAGCGGCCTCGCCGCCGCCGCCGAGTTGCATGACACGCACGCCTCGAAGCGACCGCGGCGCATGTCGATGTGCGACGGCATGTGGAGCAAGTGCGGCGCGTCCGGGCACAGCCCACGCAACGCGTCCGCCGCGCCTGCAGGAAGCGTCCGAGAAGGGTCCGAGAAGTGTCCGGCGGAGGCCGCGCAAGCCGCGCCGTCGGCGCCGGCCGCGTCGGCGACGTGCGAGTCGGAGGCTTCGTTGAGGTGGATGAGGAGGTGGAGGCCGCCTACGGAGACCGCTCCGAGAACCGTCGAGGGAGTAGGACGAGGCGAGGCGGAGGAGAGGGAGGTGCCAGGCCGCCTGGGTGCCCCGGTGCGAGGGCAAGCGTCGCCAGCAGGTGCGCTTTGGCGCGCGCCGCGTGCGGCCGCGCCCTAGTGCCCGCCGGCAGGTCTGCCTATCGGAAGTGTCAGGGACGTGTCAGGGGCATGTCAGAGACACTCGTCCTTCCCACCTCCGGTCGCTTGCCCAATAGTCCCACGGCGCCACGTTCATCCACGCGTCCGCCGCCAGGTAGCGCACGAGCGAGTGCGATTTCTCCGCGCGCGCCGCCGCCTCCATCGCCTCGGCATACGCGATGCGCTGGACAACGGTCGCTGCTGCGTTGGTGGCGTTGGCGGCGTAGCGGACCGCGAGAGCGCGCACCAGCCACCAGCCCGCCGCCGCGTCGCGCAAGCTGCTATCGCGTGCGCTGGGCGGGAGCAGCTGCGTGCTGTTGCCGGGCACGTGCGGCGGGAGCAGCTCTGCCGCGCGAGAGGCGGCAGCTCGTGCGGCGGCGAGCGAGAGTGGAGGCTTGAGGGCGTGGTTGAGGGTGGGGCCGAGTGACCAGCCGACACCCCAGTGGCACATGGCGCACGATGGCGCGAGCAATTCGCACCGCTCAAACGCCTCGCGTGCGCGGAGAAAGTCGAAGCCGAGCGCAAGGCGCATGCCCTCCTCGAAGGCAAGGGTCGCGCCGCCGCCGCCGCCGCACGCGCTGAAGCGAATCTCGCAGCTGCGGCTGCCGGAGAGGTTTGCGATCGGCATGGGCTCGTCTTGCTTCGTGAGGACGCCGTTGAACAGCGCAGCCATCGTCAGCCATCGCCGAACCATCCGTGTCGCAGGCGGCGCGATCCGTGTCGCCGGCGGCGCGCGGCGAGGCTTGACGGCCAGGGGCGGGAGTATGGTGGGAGGGAGTGGGTGCGTTAGCCACGATGTGCCTAGGCGGCCGTGCGACTGGTGAGAAACGAGGCGGCAGAACAGCCAGGCACGCGCTGGACACGGTGTATGGGGGGGGCGGTTAGTCAGCTCAGCCTCAAGCGCCACGACGAATGGGGCGCGTCAGTCCGCGCCGCGCGCATTGACCATTGAGCCCTTCAGCTCCGTCTGGCTCAAGCGCGTCGCCGAGCAGGGAGCAGCGCCCCTCCCTTGGCCACGCCCAAGTCGCGCAGCGGTGGTGGAGCTGCTCCCCGACGCCGCTCGCCCGCACCTCGGCGGCGGCCCCTCGGCCACGTAGCGGCGGCACTGCACGATGAGCCGCCCGTCGGCCCGATACATTTTTCCAAGGTAGGTAGGTAGAAAGGTGAAGAACAAATTCAAAAACTAAGTGAATGTACTTAACCCTTTTGCTTCATAGTGGTCATGGTGACCAAATCTCGATATATCTCCAGTCGTAGCGGTGGAACTGTTTTTTGGCTCGGTCAATTATTTAGCCATATATGAGAGGATCACGGCACAGTGTCGTTTGAGTCGACAGTAACTCTCCCACAGCCCACGTAACTCCGTCTTTTTCAGGCACCCGGAGCCCTCCGCGGCCGCTTCTACGCCGGCGAAGCACCATCAAGCTGCTGTACGGCCCCGGCATCGCCTCCCCTGGCTTAGCTCTCAGTCAAGATATTGTGCACATGGGTGGCCTCTACAATATACTCACTGACACTGAACCTCCCAGAGAGAGCTCGTCCCGGTCCGTCACGGCCATCCTCGTCCTCCGGCGGGCCCCCGGCCGCGGCGCGGTGCGGCGGCGTCACAAATCCGACCACAGAGCACCGGGACGCGGTCGGGCGATCTGAGGCCCAGGTAGGCGAATGCATTGCCCATCCAGGGCTATCACCTGGACCTATCAACAGGCGCCTGCGGCGCCGTGCTCAGGAGTTGGTTTTCACTCGCTCGAAATGTGTACGTAAAAGGGTTAAGAGCTACATACACTGAGAGAGACGTGCAAAGCTCGCTTCCGAGCTCTCACGCCGCGCGTAGGGCCCTTAGGGGCCTAGAGAACACAACCCCCCTCTCTCTTTTCTCCCAGTACGCTAAAAGTACACTGAGAGAAAAAGAAAGGCACTCCGTCAGAGAGAACTCCCGACCGTCGCCTCCCTGCGGGGCCAGAGCTTCCGTCGCTGGCGCTGTGCGCTGGTCTGTGAGAGGTTCACAGAGCCTTGAGAAAGAAATACGTCGTATGTGTGCGCTGGTCTGTGTACCGTCGGGTACTTATTTTAAGACGAGGTAAACAGCAATAGATCCGGCCCTCAAGCGGCCTAATCGATACCCAGCCCTCACGGAATCGGTCCCTCGTTGTACAGCAATCGATCCTTTTGCAGTGCCCGTCCTGCCAAACTTGCCGAGAATCGGTCCCCCACCCAGGTCACCTGTGGCGCGAAGCTCATGTCTCCCGCCCTCGGCGCGCCGACCGCGCAGCGGCGGCAGACCACCCTCCGGTTCGAGGGGCGCCTGGGGCTGAGCGGGCTGCCTCCGCCAGAGTTTGGCTCGCCCACCGGCGGGCTGTCACCCTGCCACGGGTCGCAAGCCCTCTGCCGGCCGGAGCGCAGGCTGCGCAGGCTTCCAGCATTTGGTCCCTTGGCAAGCGCGAATCGGTCCCCCTGGCTCCAGGAACTGATCCGGCACTGCACCCGGATCTATTGCTGTTTACCTCGTCTTAAAATAAGTACCCGACGGTAGAGAGGTTGAGGTGCGAGCCGTCTCTTTCGGGCTGGCGCGCTGGCTGGCGCGCTCACACCGAGCGTACGACAAGAGTCATGACGGCCGCTTCCTCCGCGGCGCCGAGAAGCGACAGCGGCGGCGAAGAGCACGAACGCTGCATGGCGGCGGTCGAGAGTGCGCTCGAGTACTGCCCACGCGTGGCCCAGCTCCGTCAGGCGCCTCGACCGCCGCTCCGCGTCGCCCGCCCGCTGCCGCTGCTGCTGTGACTGCCCGTCTCCCTCTCTCCGCCCGCACCTCTCGCTCCAACCGTCTCTCGCTGGCGGCTGCAGGCGCTGCAGAAGCTTGGGCGGGATGTGCCCGTCTCGTGCATGCGCTGCCCAGACCCGGAGGCGGGCAAGACGGCGGCCGCGGGCGGCTTCATGCCCGACACCGGCACCATCGTCATGTGCCAGCAGTGGGCGGCGGAGCAGCCCGGGGAGGTGGCGTGGCACCGCCTAGAGACGCAGCGCTCTCTCCCGATGCCGGAGAGAGGAGAGCTTGCGACTGTCGCCGCGCCCGCCGCCTCTCAGCCCGCCCGCCGCCTCTCTGCCCGTGTGAGACGCCGTCCACTGGGCGGCCAGGTGCCAAACACGGTGGCGCACGAGATGATCCACGCGTACGACGACGCGCGCGCGCGCCTCGACTGGACCAACCTCGTCCACCATGCCTGCACCGAGATCCGCGCCGCCAACCTCTCGGGCGACTGCTCCTTTTGGCGCGAGGTGAACCGCGCAAACGTCTCGCCGCTGCGCGTCGCAAAGGCGAGAGGGCGGCCACGTCTCGGGCAAAGCTCGGCTAATCTCGTCCGAATCTCGTCTTCTGAATACACCTCGGCCCACCCCCGGCTGACTCTCGGCTAACACGCCGCTGCGCATCACCAAGGCGGGCGAGCGGTGCGTGCGACGGCGCGCGCACCAGCTGCGCCGCCGGCAACACCGCGCGACGCCGCTCACCTTGCAGCGGGTGAGTAGGCGCGCGCAGATCTCGGTCGCCATGAACCCGGCGTGCACGTCGGAGCGTGCAGCGGAGGCGGCGGTGGATCAGGCGACCACACACCACCACCGAGACACTCTCCCGAGACGCCTCCGCCTACAGACTTCCTCGTGGCGGAGCAGGCGATGAGGCACTGCTTCGCCGACACGGCGCCCTTTGAGCGCGTGCCGTGAGCGTGGCGCCCTGGACACTTGCGATGATGCGCCCATGCCTCACGGCACCGCGGCACACGCCACAGGTTCGTGGTAAATAAATAAGCCTCCTTGTGACTATTTGTTATTGAGAAGTACCCGGCTCTAGATGAAACCTCGCCAACATGGCGCGCTGTCTTTGAAAGCATGAAAAGAAGTAAAACGACTTCCACAAACATCACTCACCTCACGGTCCGACCTCTCTCGGTTCTCTTCTACGGTGTACCTGTGTTAGTGCCAGTGCGCGCCAGTCCCGTGCCCAGGTGTTGTGCGAGGGAGTTTTGTTGTAAAATTCTCTTCTACGAATGCTGGGTTTAACGGTCTCTCCAGACCCGGCGCACACGCGTTTCCTCATCCTGGCGCCGGCCTGCGCCGGCCTTCGCCTTCGAGCTCGCGGGGGGTCGTTTGAGTGTCATCCCCCATTCGCTCTTGTCGTTCAATCGGATAACAATCGTCGTTCGTTCTGCCTCTCCCCGCTTCGAGGCTCGAGCTTCGAGGCGTCTCTCCGCGCACGCGCCCTCCCTTTTCTTCTCCTCGGCCTCACGTTGTCGACGTCGCCTCCGTCGTCAGCACATGCTGTACCCTTTCTTCCGGCCCGCGTCATCTTCGATGGGGCCCTGCGTCATCTCTGCTGGGGCCGAGCGGGCATGGCGGCCCTGCGTGCTCGTGAGGGGCCCAGCGTCATCTTCGATGGGGGCATCCGTGTGCCCTCGTACGTCGCCTCCATTCCGCGCAGCAACACCACGCCCGCGTTTGTGGTGCCCGACTTCTTCAACGCCTTTGTGCTGCCGGACTTCTTTGGCACCCAAGGCAGGGCGGTACGTGCACTGCACCAGGCCGAGCTCGAGCGTGCTCGTTTCGAAAGCCGTCGAACACCCGGCCGAGTATTCGTTCGCAATTGCTCCGAGCTGCTGGCGCCGGAGCTACCCAGAGCGGTCCGCAGCATTTGGCAGACGCCCTTGGTTCTGGAGGCGCTCCGCGCCCGCACGAACACGTCGCTGCGGCTCTTCCCGCCGACGGACGAGAAGTCGGTGCACGCTCTGCGATATTCCGAGCCGGGCGATGGCATCAGCCCGCATTTCGACGGCAACCCGTTCCAAGGGAGGCGGCTGGCTGTGATCTATGTGGTGCGTGACGACGCCGAGAGCCTCCTGCACTTTGAGGGCGAGCCTGTGCAGGCGCCTGAGGGAAGTGTGGTGGTCTTCGAGGGCGATCGGTTGCGGCACTCCGTCCCCCCGCGACAATCGCAAGGCGTTCGACTGGTCGTGAATGCTCTGTTCTGCGAGCCACCTTGTGAGCATTGCTCCTGCCAGCACCGCGAGCGAGGACTGCGCCACCACAGCTCTTCCACAGCTCGGTCCGGAAGGGCCGTACACGCACGGCTGCAACACGTAAGCCGCTCTTCGGCGATCGGCGGCGCGGCTGCAGTCAGCTGGCCTGCCACGAGGCGCGAACGCGACTGACTAACACGGGTCACGGCTTTGGGGACCGCGGTAGTACCGTAGCGACGCTAGCGTGTGCCCCAGCCCAGTGCCCCAGGCGTCGCCCGCGTACGCTGAACGCGTCCCGTCGGAGTAATAAGGCGAGAGGGCACCTCTAGGGCACGTCCTGGTGATATATGTGCTATACATGTCATCGCGTCCGGATGGAGGGCCACCGGTGTCGTTCGACGTCCTGTCGACAGCGTGCCGACAGCGCGACACAGACCATGTGGGACGCGTCGAGTACCGACCTCTACTGCTTACCCAGCCTTCGAGTGTATCCTGGCTGTGGTCCCACACCCACTGGTGTCCATCTCAGAGACCGCAGGAGGTCATGAGGGTCGATGGGAGTGCCAACCCCACAATGCCTAAAAACCCAGCCCAGTACGGCTTTGATGTGTATCTCAACAAACGTCTGGCTCGGCGGAGCGTCTCAGGCAAGAGGGCCGCACAAGCCGCACGTACCGCCAGCTGTGAAGCGGAGAGGTAGCCACGTACTAATCTACACCACGGAACGCCTTCTCTCTCGCCAGACTCTCTCGCCGTCGGTTGGGCCCTCCCGCCGGGCCTGGCCCCGCGACGCTAGAGCGGGCACGCGCAGAGGGCACCGTCTGGCGGACGGAGGGTCAAGTTGCCGTACGGGGCGCCTTGGAGGGCGGCGACGCCTGCACAGGGGGGGGGGAGGAACCGCGTCGTTAGAGAGGGCGGCGGGTGCAAACGCTGTGTGTGCGGAGGTGGGAGGCGTGGCGCACCGCTTGAAGCCTGAGATTGCGCCCTTCGTGGCATCATGCTGTGGAGCTGGAAGCACCGGCGGCACGCCAAAACGGCTGTCGTGTGGCGTCTTGGTAGCAGCAGATCTTCGCACCTTCGCCTTCGGCCTCGAACTCCTCGAGCGCCATGCACTTCTTGAAGTAAGCTGCCCAGAAGCCTCGGAGCTCCTCATCGTCGCCGACAAAGTCCTCAGTTGTGATCATCACGTTGTACGCGTTCTGCCAGCCATAGCGTGGGTGCTGCACGTCCCATTCGCTCGATACGAGACACAGGTCGTTTGCGTTACCCCACCTCCAGACCCACTCAACCACAGCCTCGGCGGAATCATGCAACGAGCACTCTTCCGTCCCGTCCTCAATCTGCACATACAGGGAGTAAGCACCCTCGTCCTTGCCGACGTTCTGTTTGCCTTTGGTTGGATTTCTCCTGCTTTTGCCGATGGGTGTCTTCGGCGCCATGCGCGGTCAGGTTGCAAGAGCGCCGAGTCTGCCGTCAGTCACTCGGGTCACTCGCGCGTACTTTTTCTGTGTTTAGTGTTCGCCGGCATAACGAGGCATAACGCCCGTGCCCCCGAGTTCATTTTATATAAGTAACGCAGGTTTGTGTACTTCTTGCTTGGGCGGCACTCATGATGAAATTCTGCAAAAACCTGGCCGGCCCCTGCCCTGCCCCTACCTACCTACCTACCTACCTACCTACCTACCTACCTTACTTATAAACTAAAAAAGAAATCACTACGGGTGAAGGTGGGGTACTATACCAACTAGAGTGATGGTTGGTGGTACTCTCCTGCAACCACAGTCCTTTCTTGTGACATGGCAGGCCACTCTCAAGGCCATACAAGCATCAATCAGATCACCCACTTGGGGAGGGTTGACATCGTGATTTCGGCGGAAATTTTCTTTTTTTGCTCCGAAAATTCCAGCTTGAAGAGAGGGAAAACCCCGACTGGAGGGCCCAGGCCTACCCTACCTACCCCGTCGTGAGTGTACCACACCTGCATACGACGGTGATGCCGCCGTCCTATTCCCACTTGCGGGGCCATTCTTCTTTAGTGCATTGCTGTTCTTAACGGAGTCGCTTAGGCGGCTCCGGTGGTGAGCCGGTGTGTGTGCCAGTCCGCGCCAGTCCGCGCCCTTGTCGTGCCAGTGTGCTGTGAGAGAGGCAGGGCAAGAATTCTTTTCGCCAGTGTGCTGTGAGACAGGCTTGTTGCTCAACAATTCTTTTCGTCAGGCATAACCGGGTGTATGCCGCCGTCCTCCTCCCGCCTCTTTGCAAAGCTCGACGCGGCGCTCGGCGACGCGCTCGGGTGCGAGGTTCCGTCCGGTCGCTCGCTGGCGCTGCTTTTGCAGCATGGCACCGCAAATTCACTTCCGCCAGGTGGCGCTGCGGCCAGTGTGGCGGCGCACAGCTACGCGCTCCGGCAGCGAGGCCTCGTCAGCGCAGCTGAGGCGCTCGAGCAGACCGCTGCCCCAGTGCTCTCCGACTCTTCCACACCGGCACCGGCGCCCGCCGCTTTGTCGGGCAGCCTGGCCGCGGAGCACGAGCGGTGCGAGCGGTGGGGTCTGTGCGAGCCCGCGCTGGCGCTGCGCCTGCTCCTCGCTCTCGCGCGGTCCGCGCACCCCGCGCCCGAGGCGGCGGGCGCCCGCTCCTCCCTCCACCGGCTCGGCGCGGCAGGCCTCTGGGTGCCCTCCGGCTCTGCAGCGGGCCGGCCCTTTGGCCTGCTCGCTGCGGAGCGCCTGGTCGTCCCGCCGAGCGGCGGCGTCTGTGTGCGCAGGCAGGGCGGAGGCAGCCCCAACCAGCAGCGCCGCAGCATCGCGGGCTGCGCGGGTGCGGTGAGCGCGTCCCCTCCGGACGCGAGCAGCTTCTTCCGTGTCCGACAGCACGCGAGGGAAGGAAGGCCCCCGTCTATGGCGCGGCGGCTTGGCGCCCGCCCTGCCTCGCAGCCCCGCACTCCGCGTGAGGCCATCGGCTCGCCCGCGCTGCCAGCGACGCCGCCGCCTCGCCGCCTCGCGCCTCCGCCTCTGCCGCCTCCGCCTCTGTCGGCGGCGCAGCGAGGCGCTGCCGGCGCGCCGCTCCTCACGCCGGCCACCGGCGTGCGGCGGCAGTGGCTTGCGCCGACAGACGGCGATGGCGCCGCCGCGGCGGTGCAGCTGCTGCTCGCCCTGCAAGGGGCGGGAGAGTGGCGGCTCGGCGTGTCCCCCGCACACGCGCCGAGTGGCTGCGCCGCCACGTGGCGCGAGGTGGCGGCGAGCCGCGGCCGTGCGCAGGCGCTGTGCGAGACGGCGACGGCGCTGGAGCGGGGCGGCTGGGGCGCCGTCGGCCGCGCGCTCGGCTGCGCCGTCCAAGCTGCCCTCCGCCGCTGCACAAAGGCGTTGGCCGACGTCCCGCGGCTGGTGAGTCAGCTCGCGGCGGACGAGGCGGCGGCGGCGGTCGAGGGCGGCGGCGGCGGCGGTGCTGAGTCGTGCCGGCTGACGGTGCTGGGCGCGGCGATGCACGCGCGAGGGGCCGCCGCAGAGCACGCACGGCTCGCAGCCTCCCTCCTCGCCGCGTTCGCCTCGGGACACCCCAGCAGTGATCGGAAAGCGGGCGCGCCTCCCGCGGCGGCGGCCGCCGCCGCCCTGCGCGCTCTGCCGTCGGCTGGCGACGGCGTCGTCCTCTTGCGCGGCCTGGAGGCGCACGCCGCCTCCTCCTCCCTCGGGGCGGCGCCACGGCAGGCCGCGCTCGCGGCGGCACTCTTTCGCGAGGCGGCGCTGCCGTGGCTGCGGGAGCTCGGAGAGGTCGCCTTCGGCGAGCACGCCGCAGGCGCGACTCTGCGCTTTGAGCCGGACCTCTCCGCCGCGGCCGAGGAGTGCGGCGCGTGCGTCGCCATGCTCCGCTCCTCGGCGGTTGCCGACCGCTACGCCAGCCTTGCGCTCGCACTCGCGTCGGGCGCCGTCCCCCCGGCGTCGCCGAGGGACGCGTCGGGCCGGAGCGGCAGGCTCGCCATTGCGGCGGGGGCCGCGTTCGCCTGGCTGCCCGCTGGAAGCCGCTCTCTCGCCTCTGCGCGCGAGGCGTGGGCCGGCCGTTTCTCGCGCGGCGAGGTGGGGCCGCCCTCACCTCCCGCGCACCCACCATGCCCGCTGCCCAATCCCGCCGCCCCGGCTTTGCGCGGCCCCGGCGCTCGCGCTGCCCCGGCTACCCTCTCCTGGCTCGAGGAGCGCCGTCGTATGCCCTCGCAGGCCATCCTCGCGTCCATCGAGCGCGCGTACGAAGAACGCGACGCGGCGGCCGCCGCCCGCCGCCGCGCGGAGTCGAATGCCGCTCGATCCGCGGCTGAGCTCTCGCGGGCGCGGGCGGCGGAATGGGAGGAGGAGCTGGGCCGACGCCGCCATCAGGCTGCTCGTGCGCGGCGCGAGGAGCTCGAGGCGCAGCTGTCTGAGCAGGCGGCGGCGGCGGCGGCGGAGGCGGAGGCAGCGGAGGCGGAGGCGGCGGCGGCGCGGCAAGCGGCGGCAGAGGCGGCGGCAGAGCTCGAGCGCGCACGAGCAGCACTCGAGGCGCGTTATGCTGAGGCTGCTGCGGGCGCTGACCGCCGGCTGCGGATGGCCCGCATGCGTGCATCGCGTGCGAGATCAGATGCCTCCTCGCGGTCGCCCGCTCTGGCCGACGAGCAAGCAGAGCCGGCAGAGGGGCGAGGGATTGAGGCGGCAGAGGCGGGAGAGGCAGCGGCAGAGACAGAGGCGGAGGCGGTAGCAGAGGAGGCGGCGGTTTCAGAAGAGGCAGCAGAGGAGGCGGCAGTGAGCGGAGCGACGGATATGACTGCTGAGGTGGTGGCTGAGGCAGCTACAGAGGAGGCGGCGGGGGCGGAGGTTGAGACCGGCGAGACGGCATGGGAGGCGGCGGTGGAGGCGTCCACAGAGGAGGGGATAGCGGATGCTGCGGAGGGCGAAGAAGCGGAGGCCATCCGAGAGGCGAAGCTGAGGGCGGTGGCGGCAGAGGCGGCCGTGGATGCCACGAGCAGCGACCACAGCGCTGCCCTGGTCGCTGCGGCGTCTGCGGCCGCTCGCAGGGAGAGGGCGGCGGCGGTGCTGAGTGACGCGCTGGGAGAGACGCCCGCTACCCGAGGAGAGGCGTCGGCGCTCGCAGAGCAGACCTCGTCCCGAGGGGACGCCGGCGGGTGGCTCCGCGACGCGGGTCTGCCTGAGTGCAGCGAGGGCGGGACAGTCGAGCCGCCGCTGAGCACCGTGCTGGAGGCGGCTGCCTCCCTCGCGCAGAGTCTGGTGAGCTCAAGCTCGAGGATCACCCTGTGCCTTGCACCTTGCTACAGGCGTGCGTCCGCCGCCCGCTGATCGCCTGCTCGTCGCTCCTCGGCCGCGCCGCAGTTCTGTACTTGCAGCGCGAGTGCGCGCTCTCCGCTTGGCTCGCTTCGCTCCAGCGGTTCTTGCTCGGTTCGCGCACACGCATCCCAGACCCCTCCCACCATGAGATGGAGGCTTGCGGGTGCGCCGCGGCATGAGCCCCCCCCGTCCTTCCTGCCCGCTCAGGGGGTGATGCGGACTTTCTCGACGCCCTCTGCGCCGAGCTGCACGCAGCAGTCTCGTCCGGCAGCTTCGGAGATGGGGCCAGCCCGCCGCCCACCACGCTCCAGCGGGCGTTGGATCTCGCAATCACGCGCGCCGACAGGGCGGCGGAGGGTGAGGAGGCGGAGTGTGCCGCCGATTTGCAGCTCGTGTGGGTTTCGCCGAGCGGCAGCGGGTGGAGAACCGCTGACGCGCTTCACCGAGTGGATGCGTTCGATGGGCTTTCACTCGCGCTTCCTCTTCCACGGGCGCTGCATGGCGTGCTCGACGTTGCCGCCTATCGCGCCGTCTTCCTCTTCTCGTTGCGTCTCAAGCGTGCGTCGCTTGCAGTCCGCTCTCTGTGGAGCGTGTTGCGGCCCGCTTCGGCCGCGCCGGTCCCGCCTGGCGCTCTTCGCAGGCTGAACGTGCACCTCCACCTCCTCGGCCAGTTGCTTCGCGGCATCGAGGGCCACACCCTCCGCGCCGATGCCACGTGGGTCGAGCTGCGCTCCGCCGCATCGGACGTCGCTGCGTCGCCGACGCAGCTGCGCGACGTGCACGATTCGTGCTTGCGTGAGGTGTCACGCCGCTGCGGCATCGACGATCTGGGCGTCCGCGCCATCGTTGACGCCATCTTGGGCCTTGCGCTCACACTTGAGCGGGACGTCCATATCAAACTAGCCGAGGCCCCCCATCCCGCCGAGCGCTGCACTCAGGAGGCGGGGTGGCGGGCCATCGTGGACTCGCAGCAGGTGCAGCTCGCCCGATTATGCGAGGCTCTTGGCCGCTCTACAGCTAGCCTTGCAGCGATTGCGTCTGCTACAGGCGCAGCCTTGGGTGCAATTGCGTGATTTTTTTACCGCCCAAAGTGCCCCCAAATATTGGGGCCGGTTGCACATCGTCGCATCGAGTTTACCAACCACCAGCCCCCTCGACGCGCACTACAGTTACACACGGCTCTAGCATCTACGATCTGATGCTCGGCTTTCCACACACATGGACATGCCCCGACCGGTGCACATCTTCATCGCAGGGGGCGTAGAGCTCTACGCAGAGACCAGCGAGAGAAAGAGGGCGAGGGCCCGACCTACTCGCGCTCTCGAAAAGCGTAGAAGCAGACGGGGCCACCATGGTGTCGCGCTCCACCTACGAATTGTCCTCTTTTGCGTGCCACTGATATGTGGATCGAGCGATGCCGCCGGATGCAGTCGTGGAGGCTGTCATGCGCAGATAAGAGGTTGGGACGCTCATTGCTCTTTGCGCACCTTGAAGGTCGTCCGCCTCCTTCTCCGCCACAAGGCATCGAGCCTGATGCGGTGACTCGGACGGCATTCCAGATGTTGAGGAGAGCAAAGGCGACACGGACTTTGACGGCAGCCCTGACTACCTTGATCCTATCTCCGACGGCGATGGCATCCCCGACGCAGTGGAGGGCAGCGGGGATGCAGACGGGGATCCTGGGTAGTCGACGGGCCCCCGGGGGCGACGGGGGTGCTCTCCGGCCGCGGCGGCCGAAAACGGGGGTCGGTATTACGGTGTATTAATGAAGTGATGCACTTGATGCAAGGGTGCCATTGTGCTCTACTACAAAAGTTGTGTAAGATGCCCAAGTCTCAGACCCTGAATCCTTAGCGGAGCTGAGTTCTGACGGTGTGAACACGAGCAACCGGAGTGACGACCGGGACCGGGCCGCACGCCGGGAGTGCCCCGACTAGCAGTGACGGGCGCGGACGAGCGAATGAGAGGTCGCTATCTGTGGGAGATGTGTTATTAGAGACTAGGACTGCCTATCTCTCACTAAAAGGAACCTCTCATCCGCTCGTCCGCACCCGTCACCGCTCACGGAGTGCTCCGCGTGCCGCACCGGCCGCCGCCGGCCGCCGGCCGCTCACGGTAACGGAACAGTGTTACTACTCCGCAACGTTGAGCTGGATCATACTGAATAGTGCTCCTGAAAGCCCTCTCTGGGCTCTGCCACACACAGTAGCAGCTCACGACTAGCAGCTGGTGTGGCTGTATTTGTAGCCATTTTTAGGCTTCAACTGGTCCCAACATAGTAGCAACACCTCATGAAAATCAGTCAAAAAAGCCCCAAAATAAAATCGGCGCCTGCGGCGGGCCTCCTGGGGCTGCGCCCCAGACCCCCTTGACTGTGGGGACCCCCCCCAAGAGCACCCCCGTCGCCCCCGGGGGCCCGTCGACTACCCAGGACGGGGATGGAGTGCCAGACAACCTAGACCCCGACTCGGACGGCGATGGGATTGCCGATGCTGAAGAGAGCACAGGTGAACTCAGACAGTGACGGCATTCCAGACTACCTCGAGGACAACATCAAACGATCAGAGAGACGCGGGCAGTGATGGCCTACCCGACGCCGAGGACCCCGATGCTGACCCCGGGCACGACTAGATTCTTCCTGTGTGGGGACGAACCAGTATGCGCGGCGACGCCGTCTCCCGACCTCCCGAGGGCCCCAACTCGGACGGCGACGGCACCCCCGACAGCGCCGAGGGCACGGCCGACACGGACGGCGACGGCATCCCCGACGCACTAGACCCCGACTCGGACGGTGACAGCAAACCCGACGCCGAGGAGGGCACCGCCGACTCTGACGGCGATGGCATTCCCGACGCCAAGGAGTCCAACACCGCCGACGGCGACAGCGATGGCGTGCCCGACGCCGAGGATGCTGACTCGGACGGCGACGGCATCCCCGACAGCGCCGAGGGCACAGGCGACACGGACGGCGATGGCATCCCCGACGCCCTCGACCCCGACTCGGACGGCAATGGGATTGCCGATGCTGAAGAGAGCACAGGCGACTCAGACAGTGACTGCATTCCAGACTACCTCGAGGACAACACCAAAGACACGGACAGTGATGGCCTACCCGACGCCCTCGACCCCGACTCTGGCGGCGGTACCGACGAGTTTGGTGGTAGCATCGTTTTCGCAGATTACGGCGAAGGACCCGACGGCGACCCAACTGGACTGCAACCAACGGGCCTGTCCACTGTCGGGAACAAGAGGTACCGACTTGAAACGGGCGAGTGCGGCACCCCGGACTTTGTGTCACAGAGGCCGAACAAGGTAAACCCCTACGCGCCCGAGGGCGACTTTTGTGGCGCGCCATAGTTGGTTGGGGTCTGCAGCCGGAAAGCTATAGCGACGCACACGCGGCAGAGTGTGTGACCTATTGGATGGCACCATCGGCAGCCGTCCGCCCCTCAGAGACGTACATTGCCGCATGCGAATACACGCAAGGCGAAGGCGACGACGGGCTCTATACATGCCACATGGGGGCCGCATGTATCAGCGTTGCCCATCCGCGCGTCGCAGACGCCTCTCTCCCCCGCCGTTCCCCCCAGCACCATCGCCTTCACCATTCCCGCCTCCATTCCCGCCGCGAGAAGGTTATTTGGCCGACTAGCATTGTAGCCGAGTGCAGGAAGGAGAGGTAGCCGAATGCAGGAAGTAGAGTCGAGCTGGACGTACGTCTACGTGGTAGGGTATACGAGCGCCTCGAGAGACGAGCGCGGGTTGGCGGGATCCGGGAGGGGAAGCGCGGGTCCGCGGCGGGTGGACAGAGATTTACTTTAGAGTGAGATAGAGGGGAAGAGGTTGTCTTATTGCACACAAGCATCCCATACATGGTACCACCTTCTTCGTAATATAAGACAAGGGGTGAACTTATCTACACCATCTACGCAGCAGAGCGACTGGCGCGATTCAGCATACTGGCGCGATTCAGCAGTAAACGTCACTCGTGCGCCTTGCGAGCAGAGTCCATCGCGGAGATAGCGGCTACCCTCTCATGGCTCAGGGCCTCGTGGCGCGCGTCGCCATCGGGCGCCTGCATGTCTGCCGCGTGCAGCGCAGCAAACCTGCGCGCCTCGCCGCCGGCCGCGAGCTCGCGCAGCTCGTCGCGCACGGCGCCGAGAGTGAGCTGGCCGAGCAGGGCGGGCCGGATCGAGGCACGCGCCTGGACTCCCTTGACGCGCGTGTCGCGCACCTACCTCGGGTGACCTCGGGTGACCTCGGGTGACCTCGGGTGATCTCAAGTCGTCTGGGGTGGTCTCAGGTGAGCTTGCGCGCCGAGATGTAGAACTGGCGCCGGACGCGGTCGGGCGACTCGTTGGCGCCCCCGCAGTGCAGCACCTGCGGTGTGTGTGTGTGTGTGTGTGTGTGTGTGTGAGTGTGTGAGTGAGTGTGAGTGTGAGTGTGTGTGTGTGTGTGTGTGTGTGTGTGTGTGTGCGTGTGTGTGTGTGTGTGTGTGTGTGCGTGTGTGTGTGCGTGCGTGCGTGCGTGTGCCGCGCGTGAGGCGGAGAAGGGCGTCGAAAAGGCGTCGGAAGGGCGTCGGAAGGGCGTCGGAAGGGCGTCTTTGCAGCGCCTGCTGGTTGTACAGCGCCACGTCGCCCTTCTTGAGCAGGCCGAGCTTGACGGGGCGCGAAGCGATGTACTCCTCGTCCACGACGTTGGTGCGCAGCCCCACCTACCGCAGCCATGTCAGCCATCGTGCCACGCTGCCCTCGCCCACCTGTGTCGCCGGTGCGCCGCCCCACCGTGTCTCTTCCCACCTCGAGGTTGCCGCCGTAGAAGGCGGTGTGCTCCGCCTACGGGAGGAGAAGCGAGAGGCCTGGAGAAGGAGGGGGGGGGGGGGGGAGTCCGTCCCCGGCGGGCGAGTGCCTCCGTGTGAGTGCCGGGCAGGTAGATGGTCGGACCCATCTTTGCGTCCACGTCCTGCGGGCCGCACGCCAGGGACGCCTCATGCGGGGTGGTGGTGGTGGTGGTGGTGGCCGTGGTGGTGGTGGTGGTGGGGTCTCCTGCAGCGCGACAAAGGCGGCGTACAGCGGCGGGGTGGGGCTGTAGGGGGTGTCTGGGTGGAGCGGCTGCTGCTTCGAGCCCGGCTCGGAGATGAGGCACGCGAGCTCGTTGAAGGAGGCCTGAGGAGCCGGTGGTGCGAGTGCGGGTGACCCGGTGGCTCGAGGCGAGGCGCGAGCGGCGCCCAAGGAAGGATGCCTCCCGCCCGACAACCTCCTCGAGCAGCGACCCGAGTGCGGACGCCTCGCCGAGCAGCTCCTGCACGAGCATTGCCGACACGAGGGGTGACGGACGGGAGACTGTGGTCGGGAGACCACGTCCCTGGGTCGGGAGGTGGGGTCGGGAGGAGCGCGCGGCACGCTCCTGCATCGCGTCGAGTGGCGGTCCCTGCAGAGGCAGCAGCAAGTCGCACCTGCTCACCAACGAGCAGTGCTCAGGCCGTGGAGGACGAGTCAGCGGCACCAGCAGGTGCCGCACCGGTTCGAGAGCAGCACCAGGTTTGCGAACCGGTCGGTCGAGGGCCGACCTCCCGCCTCGACCTCCTCCTCGCACCGCAGCCGCTCCGCGTCGACAAAGTCGCGCAGCGCGTCCGCCGTCGCGGCGGAGAGGGCGCCGTCGATCCGGACGACGCCAGAGCTCTGCAGTTCCTTGGCGAGCACCGAGCCGCGCTGCGCCAGCTCCGCCTTACTGGCGCTCTGCCGCGGCCTCTTTGCGCCCTTCTTCTTGGACGCCGCCTTGCCCGCCGGAGCCGCGCCGCTTCCAAAGCCGGCGCCGCTGCTTTGCCGTCCGCCCTTTTGCTTCTTTGCGACGAGTGCGGTTCCCGGCTGCAGCAGCGCACGCTCGCGCTCGGCGCGGCGGGCGACGGCCTCGTCCTGCTCGCGTCGGAGGAGCGCCTTTGTCGCCGCGTCCACCATCATGCAGGGCAGCGCGGCGCGGCGCAGAAGCAGTTGAGGCAGATTTGTCGTATCAGCCGACAGAGGGCTGGGCAGCGGCAGGAGGCCAGAGACCGCGACGAGCATCGCAGGTTGCTGTTTGTCCGGAGTTTCTCTTCCTACTCGAGTAGAGCCGGCTGCCGCACCTTCAGAAAAATAAAACAAAAAATCGTGCGGTGTCGTGTCGGATCGCGTGTCGTGTCGTGTCGTATCGCACGGGTTTTCGTTTATGGCCGGCTATCCCTTCATCAGCTCCCCGTACCTCGCGGACACGAGCTCTTCAGACCGCATAGGACGTTTCCCGGGTCGGTCGCCTGCTGAAGGTCCGTGCACAAGCCCCTCATTCCCCCCACAAAGCACCCGTTTGCGCCACGCGCCGCCCGCCCCGCGCCCGCCTTTGGAGGAGCCTCGGCAAGAGGTTTTGTTGTGTGTGAGCTTCCCGCAGGCCCAGGGCCGGGAGCAGCTCGCCGCGCGAGGGAGGCCCTAGGGGAGGCCAAGCGCTCCGTCCAGCGGTGCGGCCGCAACGCTCCCCCCCCCCCGTGCTCTCAGGCCGCGCCGCGCTGCGAGAGAGGAGTGGTCGGCAAGGCGGGTCTACCTCCCTTGCTTGCCTACGTGTCGGCAGACGTGCCACAGCCGATAGCGCAATACCGACGAGGCCGACGCCGTGCCCCCGCATTTCCGCGGTGGGCGCGCGCTGTGGCAGCGCAAGCCTCGGGGGTGGCTGTGCTCGTGGCGCGCCTGGTCGTCACGCACCAGCGGAAAGGGCTAGGGGCCGCTTTTTGACGAGCTGCCTTGGCGCAGGAGAGAGGCCGCTTCCGCGAGCGACGCGACCGCTTGATGCTGTCGGACCACTGCCCCAAGACGAGCGTGGGAGGAGCGAGCGAGGAGCGAGGCGCCGAGCGAAGGGAAGAGAGCGATCCGACACGACACGACACGAGCGATCCGACACGACACGACACGAGTTTTTTTCGTTTTTATTTTTTCGGAAGGTGCCGCAAGCGGCTATATGTAACTGATTTGGGCTCATGCGCCTGCTCCTCCTCCTGCTCGCCGTGCGGTCGGGAGCCGGAGTGGATGGGTCGGAGCTGCTGCAACGGTGTGAGTGGCCGCGAGGGGTGGTGTGTGTGAGTGAGTATTCTTGATACGAAACCACGACGACACACACCAGCCAGTCGACTCGCATCGGTTGCCTCCATGAACGGCGGAGCTATTCTCGCGTCCACACCACACCTGGCTCAGATGCTGCATGAATGGTTGCCGAGGTTGTGAGGGACATGATCCCGGCGTGAACACGACTAACTGACGGATCCGCTCCTGACAGTCGCACGCGCCGCGCTGTGGCGCGTGCGACTGTCTTTGTTTGAAGTTAAAAGTCGAATCAGAGCGCCGTCGGCGCTGTCCCTCGTTTTCCTCCCACGGACCGCCCGTCCGGCACCGTTCCGGGACGCACGCCGGCGAAGCACCATCAAGCTGCTGTACGGCCCCGGCATCGCCTCCCCTGGCTTAGCTAGATTGAGAGATATTGTGCACACGATCTGTCTCTACAATATATACACTGACACTTCACCTCCCATAGCTCGTCCCGGTCCGCCACGGCCATCCTTGGCCTCCGGAGGGCCCCCGGCCGCGGCGCGGTGCGGCGGCGTCACAAATCCGACCACAGAGCACCGGGACGCGGTCGGGCGATCTGAGGCTCAACTAGGCGTATGCATTGCCCATCCAGGGCTATCACCTGGACCCATCAACAGGCGCCTGCGGCGCCGTGGTCACGAGTTGTTGTTCACACCTGGGCAACCATTCATGCAGCACAGTATCCGTTGTGGTCGGGCGCAACCTGGACAACCTAAACCTCGACACAGTGGAGTTTTGGAGCAGACGCCGCGCGGCCAGCGCGCCGCGCAGCTGGGCCCCGGTGGTCACCAGGACGGATCTCGACCCCTCCGGAGGTTGCTCTGCTGAAGAAATCAGTTTTTCTTCCGATGGTTTCTCTCGAGGTTCTCGAGGTGGATATCCTTTGGCCGCGTTGGGTAGCGAGGATTGGTGTGACGCGATCCACGCAGGCGTGGTTTCTGACGGCCGACCGTCAGTGCACGGAGTTGCCCCTTCTCCGACTGCCCCGGCTAGTTCACGAGTTTCGCGGGAGTGACCCCATGCGTCAAACCCGAGACCTAGCGCGGGTGGGTTGGAGGGGGCTCGCTGCAAGGAAGGGCGGTGTAAGAGGCCGATGGTTTTGTGAGGCTAGCACCACACTCCTCTCCTTAAAATCCCTGTGTGGTGGCGGCGTGCCGTCCTCCCATCCCTCCCTTGCTTAGGGGACCCCTAGGCTTAAAAGGGTGGGCCCTGGGGCGCCTGCGGCTTAAACGGCTTAAAACTTGCCATGGCAAGTTTTAAGAGCTGCTGGGCCGCCAATTCCTTAAACGGTCTTAAACGCTTAAACGGTGCGGGAGAGCTCCCGAGGTCGATGGTCCGGGAGGCTCCCGGTAGACACGCCGGAGGCCGGGAAGCTGGCTACAGTCAGCTAGCACGTGTCCCCTATGCGAGTATGGCTCCTGCCAGTGCACCAGACTTACATATGTGTCTTCAGAGGCGGGTTTGTGCCTAAAATAACGGCAGTGTGCCTAATAATGGCAGTATTGGAGAAAACGGCGCGGAACCCAGCGACGCGTGCCGGACTTTGTTAAACGGTGGTCTTAAAAGAGGGACCCCCGGTGCCTGCAATCTCTTAAATGGCAAGTTAAGCCCCCAAACCTCCTCGTTTCTTAAAAGGTCTTTAAAAAATCCGGCCCTCAGAACCCTAGGGGTCCCCTAAGCTCCCTTGCTTGTCGGTTTTTTCTTTCTTTTTTGTGAGATGAAATTCAGGCGGCCGATCTCCTTTTTCTATTTCGGAACACCTCTCGGAACGTCCGAAGCCAAGCTCCCACCTGCTCGAGCCGCTCCGAGGCGACCGTGCGTGCGTCCATACTGCCTATTTAGTTAACACCAGCCCCGACGGGGACGTCATCACCCTCGCCCAGGGATCTACAATGCTGTCTTAAGGTCCGACCTGTGGGCTCCGCCTGCGCTCGGCACCGGGCACCGACTCGGCACATGTACATGTGTACAAAATGCGCCTGCGGGCGGACCCTCAAGAAAGAAGAGAGTTGAGAGAGAGAGAGATTTTCCAGTGTATGTAGCTCTTACGATTTTAGAAAGAATGAGTCTGTGAAAGAGAGAGAGAGATTTTTGAAAACCAACAAGAAATCACGACTGTCACAGTGATTTGGGCTCGGCAGCTTGTCAGCCCTCAGCCGAAGCTGGGGCCGGTCCCGTAGCCGAGAGAACCCGCGCCGATGAGTTCGACGCGGTCGGGGCGCCCCGCGGAGAGGCCAGCGGAAAGAGAAGAAGCAAGTCAGGATTTCTTGTTGGCTCGGACCCTCACAGCTCAGAGAGAGATTTTTGTGTGTGTCACAGCTCGACTTGCGCCACTGGGATTCTCACTTATTAATAATAGAGCCTGCATCTCAGCAATAAGGAGGCGTCGTTTTTCTTCTGCGCGCCTTTAGAGCCGCCGTCCTCGGGCGATCGACTTTTTGCTGTTTTGCTCTCTCGATGCTTCCGCTCGCCCTCCTTTCGCTAGCGGCGGCGGCGCCGCCGCCTCCCGTGTCACCACCGCTGCCTCCTTCCGCGCCACTTCAAAACTGCACCATCGTGTCTTCCGACGACGGTGATGCGACCGACGGGGAGGGTTCCCTTGTTCAGATCATCGACGAGGCAGGCACCTTCCTCGCGGAATCCGAGGCCGGTCTGCGCGTGGCGCTGCAGTGCGGGTTGCAGTCTGGCCGCGCCAACATCAGAATCCCCGCGCAAACCACGATCAACCTTACCAGCGCGCTCGAGGTCGACGGGTCCCTTGCGGCGGAGGCGGAGCTGCCCGTGATTAACATATCGGGCGGCGGCGGGGCGGCCATCGACGCGCAGGGCCGCTCAGGCGTGCTCTTCGCTAGCCGTGTGTCACTGTACGTGCGCGGACTGCGGATCGCCAACGGCAACCAGGGTTGCGTACGGCTGTATCGCACCCTCGCTCGCTTCGAAGATGTGTCCGTCGAGGGCTGCAAAACGCCGGGAAACGGCGGCGGCTTCTTCATCGAACATTCCGACGTGGCCTTCGAGCGCGTCCTCATCCGCCATTGCGTTGCGGCGCAGAACGGCGGCGGTGTATTTCTCACCGGAAGAGGCTCCCTGGTTGCTCTCCACTCCTCCATCGCCCACTGCTCCGCTGGCAGCTACGAAGAATCAGCTCTATTCTACTTTGGAGGCGGTCTGGCAGCCGAGCATTCGGCGCTTTTCATGGCCCATACGAACATCAGCGATTGCCGTGTCCATTCGCGTACGAACTCGTACGGCGGGGGGGCCTATCTCACCTCGACGTACAGCCGCTTCAAGTCAGTCAAGATTGGCCGCTGCTCAGCCCGGAGCCCCGACGGGACTGCGGCCGCGGGAGGCCTCTATGTCGAATCCAGTGCGGGCGACCGCATGAACTTTTTGCGAGCGAACGTGAGTCGTCACAGCTACTGGCGGGAAGTCCCCCCATTCACGGACGAGCTGCGTGACGACCTGAGCGGCATTTCTTGGCGCGAGCTCGCCAACGACAGCGACGTTGGCAGCTGGCGTGCCGCGGAGGAGCCGTCGCTTCTCGACGCGTACGACTTGGAGGTGGTCGGTTGCGCTGCGGAAGGGCTCTCCGCGTTCGGCGGCTGCATACGTGAGTGGCACCTGTTGTAAGTATAGCTCTGTCCGCACTGTGCCAACCCCCCCTTCCCCCCCCCCCCCTGACAGACTACGATGATCCCTCGAGCGCGAGCGAGCACGGAGATGTCTCTCAGAGTGGCGAGCCGACCGACGTGCCGTTCAAGGCCATCCGGCTCGCCGCGCTCTCGCTCATCGGTTGCAAGGCAAGTGGGGCTGATTTTGCCGGGGGCGGCGGAATCAGCATCTACTCTCGCGGACTCGTTCAGATCCACAACGCCCACGTCGCAAATACGGCTGCGGAGATCCTACCGGCTCAAGATGTACCGCTTCACGGGCTGGCCTTGGGCGGCGGCTTCTTAGTGCAACTAGCCTTCACAAGCATCCTGAACTCGGCCTTCGACACCTGTGAGGCCATCTCCACATCCCCCGCCTTGGATCAGACCGTGGCGGGAGGGGGGATCTTCGCCTATGAGGCGACCACGCGGCTCAAGAACGTCAACGTCACGTCTTGCGCGGCAAGGCTTGAGGTTACCCCGGGAGCTCTCGGAAGATACACAGGTACTGGCGCCGTCAGTGGCGGAGTCCACATGGCGAGCGGCTTCGGACTCTTTGAGAACGGGGCGAGCAGTGCCCAGATCTCCCCTCCCACACACACGCGCACACACACGCGCACACGCACGCACGCACGCACGCACGCACGCACGCAGCCCGTCACGCACGCACGCACGCACGCACGCACGCACGCATGCACACACGTATTACGCATGCACCCCCCCCCCCCACACACACACACCACCACCACCACCACCACCACCACCACCACCACCCCCGCCATGAAATATCACGAAGCTTTCGCCATTCCGCCGACCCCTTTAGACGACTCGAGCACCTCGCCGCTCCGCTGCACAGGTGCTGCTCTCCAAGTCGAAAGTGATCGGTCCGCGTTCTGGTCCTAGCGGCGTGGTCACCCAACCTTGGTCTTTACACAACCAGCTTGGTGTGTACGGCGTCGTCGGGACCCTCATCTGGGTCCTTCCCACCATCAGAGGCCGCTGGCTACCGGTTTGCTCCACACCCCCCCTGCCCCCCCGCTCCCTCGTCCTTCTTCCCCGATCTAAGAGGACCACTCCCTCCCCTATCAGTCGGTCTACCTGTGCGAAGAGTTCCGCAAGCCGTGTCCGCCGGAGAAGCAAGGGACGACTTGCAATTATACGACGCAGCCGATCCTATCTGACCCCGGCTGCCCTCGCGACCCGAAATATGGGCCCGTGCCGCCACTGCGCTTCTGACCCTTCCACACCTGCCTCTTTAACTGGCGACCGCTGATTCATAGGCTGTCGATGGACGGCAAGTACGTGTCGCTCGGCGTGTCGGGTGCATACAACGAAGAGTACCTCCCTTACCGGTGCAACCTTGGCTGTTACGGGAACTCGGCCAACCCCCTGGAGCAGAACACGGGCACATGCACCGGGTCTTGCCCTGCGGGCAACTACTGTCCCAATCTGGGCACCGTCGACCCGATCATCTGCCCGTCAGGGTCATTTTGCCCAAAGGCCTCGTCTGCAGCTCGAGTTTGCCCCGCTGGCTACTTCTCTAACCAGACAGGCAGTCTACCGCCCTCCGCCTCCACCCTCCTCGCCCCGCCCCCGCCGTCGCCGCCGGGGTCCACCCTTCCCACGGTCGCGCAGGCAACTCCGATCGCGACCAGTGCGAGCCATGCCCGCCCGGCTTCTACTGCGAGATGAACAGCGCGTACCCCTCGCCGTGTGACGCGGGTCGGTACAGCGACCGCAACCAGAGCAGGACGTCCTCATGCTTCAGGGCGTGCCCTGAGGGGTACTACTGTCCAACCGGGACAGCACAACCGATCGGGTGCCCGGCCAACACGTACCGGGGCATGGTGGGCGCGCGGAACGAGTCCGACTGCGAGCCTTGCCCTCTAAACACGGAGTCGAAAAGCGGCTCGAGGGTCTGTCAGTTTGAGGCCTGTCCCGCGGGCTTCTCCAGCAGGAACGGCAAGTACAGTGCGACCCCAGGCGCGACGTGCGAGAGGTGCATCGAGCGCCCCCCCCAGCCCTCCCCCCCGCTCACCCGCCTCGCACTCCCTGTTCATGCATCCCGCTCATCTCCACTGCGACCTTAGCACCCCGCTGTTTCGCCACACAGGTGTCCGAAGGGGACGTTCGCCATCGCCAGTCAGAACGGCAGCACGCAGTGCACCGCCTGCCCCGTCTCCGAGTACCAGGACCGGACCGGACAAGGCAAGTGCGAGCCGTGCGCCTGGCAGATGTTCGCGCGGCCGGAGGGCGCGGCGGACTGCACCGCGTTCGACGCCGGCACAGTGGCGTGGCCCGTGCTCCTAGATGCCTCACGACACTTCATAACGAGCTCGTCGGGATGATGAATCAACTCATGAATCAACCTCTCGAACTGATCTCTAGGCTCGTGGTCGTTGGGATGATACCGCTGTGGGCGACCATCGGGGCGGTCTGGCGGTTCGGGCGGAAGCGCTACCAGCTGGCGAGGCACGGGCGTTCGGTCGCGGGACAGGCACACACGCGAACAGAATGTAGGAGATCGAGACACCCTCCGCACCTCAACCCTCTCCCCCCTCCCGCGCGCGCCCTCTGCCCTTGCCCCGCTCACGCTCTGAGCGTCGCGGGCGCACCGCCCTCCTCTGCCAGGTGCGCGCCGCGCTGCTGTCCGTCGAGTATGACGACTTGATCGAGGCGGACACGATGGCGATACCGGCCGTGGCGGCGGCGGTGCGAAAGCTGCGTCGGCTGATGATCGCCGCGGCGACGTTCGCGGGCTTGCTCGTCATCCCGTGGCGAGCTCACAAGGACCTTCACGCAGGACGTGTGACCAGCGTCTCTTCACACGTGCAGCTGTGAACAGGCTCCCTGGCTTGTTCGAGCTCAAGGAGTTCTGGCCGTACGCCCGAGCGCGGACAGACGCGACGAGCCCGGAGCGGCTGCAGCCGCTCTTCTCCTCTTCCCTTCGCACGGCGGTCTCCAACCTGCGGCGCACGCGGCGCTACCAGATCCTGTTCGTCGTGTGGGCGTGTATGCCGATGTGGCAACTGCCCAGTGAGGTGATCGCGTGTGCAAGAGGGAGGAAGGGAGCGAGCGGGGGCCATCTGCTCACCCACGCGCACCGGGCCTTGCACTCTGAATGCCGGCTTTGCCTTTGGACGTGGAGATTTCGGAGATGGTTGGGCGTGGAGATTTTGGAGATGGTTGTTACCTTACCTTGCCGCACCTTTAGGTGAGTGCGCCCATGCTCTCGTGCGAGGCCGCGCTCCTGTACAACGTCCTCGCGGCGCTGGGCCGCTACGGCGAGGGCAGGTTCGGGAACGGGTTTCTGTACGACGGCTCTGATCCGCCCGTGCTGCAGTACAACGCCGCCGCCCTGATCGCCCTCTGGCTGAACGTGGGCCAGTGCGTCATCACCGCGCTCATGCAGCTGATGCTGCGGCTGTCCATCCACGCCATCGACCCGTCGGCCAGCCTCCCGGCGTTCGGGCATAAGGCCGCTCGCAAGCTTCGCGTGATGGCGTCCGTCATCTCTGCCGGCGACGGGGTCTACTCAGAGCCTGTCGCTGCAGAGACCTCCTCTCGGAGGCGCGCTGCCGACAAGGTCTCCCGGCGAGATTCCCCGAGATTACCCAAGATTCCTCGAGATGTCAGGCGCCCTGCCGACAACCTTCTGCCGGTGGCGATCGTCTTTGTCCTCGCCTGCTGCGAGGCGCTGCTTCTGGCGGTGCCAGTCGTGTATAGCGAGGCCTTCTACAGCAGCCAGCCTGACCACGTCGACCTCTTCCCGCGTCCGGGACGATCTTTGGTGAGAGCCCGTCGTGGTAGACTCGCGACGACGTCTCATCCGTAGGTCAACTTCTCGCCCGTCTGGGACGACGTGAGCGACGCCGGCGCCATGCCCCTCCTCCAAGCCATGATCGCGCTGCAGCTGAGTACCATGCTAGCGACCGTCAGCGTGATGGTCTTCCTCTGCTACCGCTGGAGAGAAGGCGTGCTCTCGCCCTCACCGAGACTGGCCGAGATCAACCGAGATCAACCGAGATCGCCCGAGATTGCAGGCGAGCGCGGCCTGCTCGGCCTCGTCGAGGCGAACGACGGCCTGGACGAGCTCTCCTCCTCCAAGTTCGCGGGATCCGCGAGGCGCTCGTCAAATGGCGGGCGACGGACGCGTCCAGGACACGTCCATGACATGGCCGGAGGCCCGTCCCTCTAGGTCGCTCGTCTCGGGCGCGCCGACGGACGCGGCGCGCGGGCGTCTTCGAGCGGACTACGGGAGACGTCCCGAGGTGAGCGGGAGGGGGTCGAGGGGAGTAGGCGCGCGGGATCTTCGAGCTCATCGGTCACGAGGAGGGCGCGACGCGCGCGGCGATGGCGCGCGGCACGGCGGCCATCGTCGACGAGGTGGAGACGCACGGGTCGGAGACAGACCTCGAGTGCCTGACCTACGTGCTCGACTGCGTCGCCGGCTCCTCGGACGTCACGTTCCAGCACGGCTGGTCGCGCGACGCCGCGCCATCGCACAACGGGAAGCGGCTCGCCGACTTTGTGGCCCACCCGCGCTCCCGCGGGGCAGGCTTGCTCGAGGCGCACGTCGTTGCTCAACGGCTGTACACCACCGCCGCCTTCCGCTCGATCAACACGCCGCTCCGGAGCCTCGCCACGCCACCTCCGGCCAAGGAGGCTGTGATTAGGCGCTGCTGATTGATGAATGAATATGACTCTCTTAGGAACCTCGCCACGCACCCGGTCACCAAGGAGGTGATCCTGCCGCCCAAGATCGTGGAGCCGCACCCGATGCCGTGCACCGTTACCCTCCTCCAGATGCGGACAACACAGACCCCGCGCAGCGTAGACCCGCATAGTACAGATCCGCATAGCACACAGACCGGCGTAGCACAGACCCGCAGATTCCGAGTCGCACTCGGCGGTATGCAGCTGTATCGACCCTTTGGGTATGGTCAATTCAAAATGCAGTCCCCTCACCTCCCCCGTAGGTCGCCTTCCTCTACGACGCGCTCAAGCGGATGCGGGCGGTGGCGGAGCTGGAGGAGGGAGAGAGCCACTGCACCTCCCACAAGGCGGAGGTGGAGGCGGGAAGTGAGGCGCAGGCGGGCCAGTCTGTCGCGCTCACGGTCGAGGCGGAGGCGGACAGCGAGGGCGAGGGCGTGCTGCCCGAGAAGCGCGGCATCGACACGCCCCCGGGCGGCAGCGGCGCTGCCACCGCCGCTCCTGCCGACGACGCGGCTGCGGAGGCGGCTGCTGCGGCCAGCTGCGGCGGAGGGAAAGGGCTGGAGTCTGCGGGCCGAGTCAGGGCTCTCTGCCATCAAATGCGGCAGCTGGTCCCACACACACCCCTGACGGACTGGCTGGGTCGAGCGCTCGCAAAGGGCTTGAGCGACAAGGAGCCGAAGGTGCGGCGTTTGCTCGGCCCAGTCTCGCCGAATCTCGGCTGAATCTCGGCGAATCTCGACGGTTACTAGCGACACCTCGGCTCATCAGACTCGGCATATGCAGGCGCGGCGTGTGCTCTGGCGCGGCATCAAGGGGGTGAAGGCTCCCGAGGAGTTCCTGCGCAAGGGAGGCACCGAGCTCGCGCCGATGTCGTCCACGTGCGACCTGCGCGTCGCCGCGAGGTATGCGAGGGGCGTGCCGGACGCGCTGCTGTTCATGCTGCTCGTCGACAACTTCATGCAGGAGGGGGCAGACCTCACCTTCCTCTCGGCATTCCCGCAGGAGCGTGACCCCCCCCCCCCCCCTGTGTGGAGACGCTGACCTTTATAGCTAGCCCGGACCTCACTCACCCTGCGCAGGAGCGAGAGTTCCTCTACCCGCCGCTGACCTTCCTGGCGCCGACGGGGCGGACCCACCACCTCCGGCACGACGGCACGCACTTCACCATCGTGGAGGTTGTGCCGCATTACCCGTCGTGAGCAGAGCCAGAGGCAGTCAGCACCCACCTGGCACCCCCACCTGGTGACCAGTCAGGTTGTCCTTCTGGGCAGGCTGTTCTTCTCGCCTTCAATTCCTATCGCAGCGACCTTCATCTCGCGGTTTTCCCACTCTCGTCGTTCTCTCTCTTCTCTCGCCTGTGTGTGTGTGTTCTCGCTGGCCGTCGTCTTCTTAGCCGAAATTCTTTTAGCAGTGTTAGTGCCAGTGCGCGCCAGTCCCGTGCCCAGTGTAAAAGAAAGAAAGAAAACGGACAACCCAAGGGAGGGATGCCCAGTGTTGTGCGAGGGAGTTTGGATGACCGGCTTTTGAGGTCTTGCAACCCTAGCTGTGACAGCTTCGGACAGCTCGCGCAACCCTAGGAACAGCGGGCGGGCTAGTGTTGATGCCACTCAGCCCGGGACAAGACGGGGGTGGTGGAGGTCCGAAATCACGCCGCTATGCCTCGGCTCCAGCGCGAGGCCTCTCAGGCCCTAGCTCAGGTATATGCAGCAGCCGGAAGCAGGGAACACCCACCCCCCAGCACCAGTCTTCTAGGTGGAGGCGGGCCCGCTGGTATCGTCGGGAAGGTCGAGGAGGGTGGGTGGATGAGCGAGAATCTGACAAGGCCTGTACTGTGAGCAGCAAGTCCTCCGCCTCCCTCCACCTCCCCCACACCGCCGCCTTGTCGTGCCCGCGGAGCGAGGGCGGGACCCCGAGCTCCTTCGTCGCCGCTCCTCTCCTCGTAAACGTCGCAAAATTCTTTTAGCATCCGGAACGCTCTCGGAAGTCACACCCGGGACGTCGGGAGCCTGCTGTTGCGCGCTGGACCAGCCTGTCTAACTACAATCTCTCAGCAGCAAGCACGACTGACACCATGCATCGCCTCCTGCACATTGCCTGCTTCCTCTTCCTCGAGTGCACCAGTGCGCTCCGCGTGCACCACGCCCGCCGTGAAGTGCTCACCGCTGCCTGTGTGGCCTGTGCCCAGCCTGCTCCCGCGCACGCTCAAAGATCGAGCCTCCGCGGGAAGGCGAGTAAAGAGGCCGAGGCCGAGGCGCGTGCCTTCAAGCTGTCACCGATTCCGCAGGAGACCGAGGCTTTCAAGGCCGCAGAGCGACGACGTGCCGACTTTGATGCCGGCGTCGCTATAGTTCGTCCCAGACGGGCGAGAAGTTGACCTACGGATGAGACGTCGTCGCGAGTCTTACCCGACGGGCTTTTCCCAAAAGATCGTCCCGGACGCGGGAAGAGGTCGACGTGGTCAGGCTGGCTGCTGTAGAAGGCCTCGCTATACACGACTGGCACCGCCAGAAGCAGCGCCTCGCAGCAGGCGAGGACAAAGACGATCGCCACCGGCAGAAGGTTGTCGGCAGGGCGCCTGACATCTCGAGGAATCTTGGGTAATCTCGGGGAATCTCGCCGGGAGACCTTGTCGGCAGCGCGCCTCCGAGAGGAGGTCTCTGCAGCGACAGGCTCTGAGTAGACCCCGTCGCCGGCAGAGATGACGGACGCCATCACGCGAAGCTTGCGAGCGGCCTTATGCCCGAACGCCGGGAGGCTGGCCGACGGGTCGATGGCGTGGATGGACAGCCGCAGCATCAGCTGCATGAGCGCGGTGATGACGCACTGGCCCACGTTCAGCCAGAGGGCGATCAGGGCGGCGGCGTTGTACTGCAGCACGGGGGGAGGGGGGCGTCGCGCAGTCTGAAGCGTCTGAAGGAGGGGGAATGTGTGATGTATGGTCTTCTACGGAGGGAGGAGCGGCGGAGCGGGCGGCGGGGGACGATCGATCGGGCGACGTCCTCGTCGTGTGCGGTAACGCACGCGCTCCAAGTGCTCCAAGTGCGCTCAGCGCAGCTGGGAAGAGAGAGACACTGGAGCGGGAACGGGGCACAAACCTCCTCTCCTTGCAACAACAACAACAACACTTGCGAGAAGCACATGAAGTTACTGGTCCTCCCACGCGCCACGGGAACGTGTCCCGCAGATCCGCAGATACTGAACAAACACCTCTCGAGTAACTTCCTCACCCCAGTAGGCATCGTGATCCTCCAACGGATCCTCGCGCTGGAAGACGCACTGCAGCAGCCCTTCCCGGACGGACAGGTATGAGCGAGGGGCGGCGTTCGGTGCCATAGTCCCCGAAGCAAAAAAGAAAGCCGGATGCCGCCTGCCTTGTTTTGTTTTTCTTTCTCGGTCCCCTCTATGTAAGAGAGAGAGATTTTTAGCAATCCATGATGGGTTGTCATGTAATCCCCTACTCCCCCTCCCCCCGAGGACACCCCACGGCACCCGCTCTCTCTGTGTCGTGGCACGGTGGGAGATCGCTTGTCATCTCATGCATGCGTTGCCTTCTTGTTTTCTGATCCGCTTTCTCAATATGCCGGGTCTATCTCGTCTATTCTTTACTTTTTTATACCTCGGTGCTCGGACTCGTAAGGCATATGCGGCGGTCAATATATTAAAACGTATGGCAGTGCCAGTGGAGTCGGTGGACGGTGGTACTATGTACAACTGTACTCTATGTCACGCGTTACTCTAAGACGTGGTCTCTCTGACTCAAGAGTGTGAAGTAGACACGAGATCACACCGTCAGCCGACGGCTCGCTGGAAGAGGACGCGCCACACGCGCGCGTCGGAGACCAGCTTCGGGTCCCCCACCTCGGCCACGGAGTCGTCGACGAAGACGGCGCACGGCGCGTCGGCCTCCGGCGCCCCTCCGAGGGCGGCGAGAGTGGAGGCGACGTACTCGGCCTTGGAGCGGCCCTTCGACGTGACGCAGAGGCCGGCGAGCCGCACGCCCCGCTCCGCGAGGAAGGCGCGGATCTCGCCCTCGTGCGAGTTTCTCGTGACGACGTGGGTCGGGTAGAGCGCCGTCGCGGAGAGCAGCTCGGGGTCGAGCGTGTGCGGCCCGCCGGCGTACGGCGACCCGCCCGACTTTGTCGAGCAGAGCGTGCGATCAAAGTCGAGAAACACGGCCGCGGGCCGCAGCCGCGCGCACAAGTCCACCACCACGTCGCCGTCGCCCTGCGAGAGTCGGCAGTCGGCGCACGAGCGGAAGGAGGCGTCGCAGGCGGCGCACCGCAGTTGGTGCGGGCAGAACGCGTGCCGCGCGGCGCGGGGCTTGCGCCGCGGCTTGAGCTGCGCCTCTGCGTGCGGCTGCGGCGCGTCGTCGAGCGGACAGCGCCCCACCTGCCGCGCGCCCTCCTCGCACCGCCAGCAGAGCAGCTGCGGCCGGCCGCCGGGGAGGAGGATCGCCCACGGCACCGCCACAGCGCAGCCGCAGTCGCGGCAAGGCATCGCGCCCCGCAGCCGCTGGCTCCGCCCCGCGCCGCCCGCGCGCGACCCGCCCTTCCCCTCTCCCTTCCCCTCGCCGCGCTTCCCGTCGCGCTTGCCATCGCCCTTGCCGTCGCCCTTGCCGTCGGGCGGCGGAGGGAGCTCGACGCGAGTGCGACGAGCGGCCTACGACCAAGTTGCCAACCTAGCTCCGAGAAGACGGTCCAGGGAGGGGTCGTCTCACGTGCGGCGAGGTGCCGGCGGAGGAGGCCACCCCTCGGCGGCGATGGCGGCGCGCATCGACGCCTCGTGCCTCTCCTTCAGCTTGTTTAGCGTGGCGAGGAGGCCGGCCTGGCAGAGGGCTCCGACAAGGCTCGGGGGAGAGGGGGTGCTGGAGAGGGGGCGGGGAGAGGTACGCCCGCCAGCCGCGTGAAAGTCGCAGGCACAAAGAGCGACCGGACGCCTCGAGGCGCGTCACTGGCGACGAACATCCTGCCCTGCGGCGCCGCGCGCGGCCGGCGGCAGATGTCGACGATGTCTCGCAAGGCGGCGCGCAGCGATGCGTACGTCTCGCCTGCCCCCGCGCGAGGCACCCGCGGGCTGGGGCTCGAGGGAGGGGGGGGCGCCGGGAGGCGGAGGGGCGGCTGGGTGGGGAGGGGCGGGCGGGGAGGGAGGGGCGGCGCGGGAGGGGGAGGGCGCGAGGCGCGAGGGGCCCGCGCCGAGTGCCTCGAGCGCCACCGTGTGCTTGACCCACGACACGGCTGCCTGCAGGAAGGGTCCGAGAAGGGTCCGAGAAGGGTCCGTGAAGGTTCAGGCGTGTTTGGCGCTCAAGACGGCTGCCTGCAGCGCCAAGCTCGCTCGCTCCGCCTCCGCCTCCGCCTCCCCGCCGCCCACGGGCGCGACTGCGGGGAAGGGGCACTCGTGCCGCCGCAGCGCCGCCCGCACCGCCCCAATCCGCCGCTCGAGCGACTCGATCGCCCAAAGCAGAGCCGTCGCCGCGTCGGCGATCGCCAGCGCCTTGCAGCCGCCGCGCGCGACGAGGCTCGCCTGAGCGGCCGAGACCAGCCGAGCTCAGCCGAGCTCGGCCGAGCTCAGCCGAGCTCAGCCGACGAATCGCAGCCGGCTGTGTTGACGGGTGTTTGGAGGCGTGCGGTGGTGTGCGGGGCGTGCGAAGCCTCGACGAAACGGAGCTCGTGCGGTGCGCAGCGACTTGAGCCGCCGACCGACTTCAGCTGCGCCACCACGCGGCGCAGCCCCGAGCTCAGCACCTCGGGACCGAGGAGGCCGCCTGCAGGAGGGCTCCGACAAGGCTGCGACAAGGGCCCGGTAAGGCTGACCACGCCCGAGCTCGCACGCCGGCGTCGAGGAGGCCGTGAGGCGCGAGGGCAGAGCTTGGCGCCGCCTCCGCCTCCGCCGCTGCCACCGCCTCCGCCTCCGCCACCGCCTCCGCCTCCGCCTCCGCCGCCGCCGCCGCCTCCGCCACCACCTCCTCCTCCTTCTCCTCCTCCGCCTCCGCCGCCTCCGCCTCCGCCGCCTGCGCACTCTCCCGCCCCGCCGCCAGGGCGTCTAGGCGGCCGATAAAGGCCTCCGCCTTGTCGACGGTGGCTTGGCCCGCGAGAGAGAGGCCGCGCAGACGCGGCGGCAGTGTCGCGGTGGCGGGGTGGCGCGGCAGGGCGCAGATCGCCTTTGAGAGGTCTCGTACGTCGTGCAGCGCCACCCGCACCGCCCTCGCCCTCTCCAGCGCCGTCGCCGCCGAGGAGTACTCGGGCCAGTGCGGGGCGAGGTGGAAGGCGGTGCGAGACGGGTGGTCGCGGAAGAAGAACATCGCCTGGCGGTGGAGGGAGAGCTCGAGCCGCTGCGCGTCCTGGAAGAGGCAGAGGCACGCCTTTTTGTAGCTGATGAGCTCGCGCCGCAGCTCGAACGCCGACCGCAGGCCGCACAGACCGTGGAGTGCCTCGACCAATGCCTCCGCGGTCTTCGCTCCAAGCGCAGCCCGCAGGTCGTCCTCGATGAGCTCGAGTGAGCCGGACGGATAGCTCTTGGCAGTGGCTGGCGAGGCGTCCAGGACACACGGCGAGCGAAAGGCGGATGCGCGACGACGGATGCGCGCCTCAAAGGCGTGCGCCACCCGCAGCCGCCACAGCCGCCTCCACACGACCCAGGCCGCCGCCAGCGAGGCGGTGGCCACGACAAAGATGACTTTGGAGCTGCTGCGCAGCGTCATACACACAGTGGCGAGCGGTGGTGTGCGCGGCGCGGCAGAAGTTTGTGCGCTTTTTTTTGGCGCGTACCAAAACAACGCGCTGGCCTCTGGGTCGCCTCCGTCCTCCCATCCCTCCCTTGGGTTTGTTTTCTTTCTTTCCTTTCTGTACACACTACTTAAAATCCCCGAGTTCATTTTATTATTATTAAAATCAATCAATGAATAATAAAATCCCTGTGTGGTGGCGGCGTGCCGCCACACACACACACAGCACACACACATGCATGCACAGACACACAGCCCCTTCCCCTTCCCCCTCAAGGACGAGGACACACACAGGACGCACCTCTAGCGAGGCCCGCAGAGTATGTGGGAGACTCCTGCCGCCGCCCCTGCCACCCCTGTGTCAGTGTGCCTGTGGTTGCGAGAGACTGCCCGAGTGAGAAGCTGGAGGAAGGTCGCTAGACTGAGATGAGACCGCCAGTGGAGTTGGGAGTCCACCGTGCACCGCGCTGCGAGCCTGTCGTGTCCCTTGTCAGGAGCAGGAGAGCCCCACCTGTGCCCCTGGTCGTCCTTCCAAAATCCTGCTCGTGCAGGTGTGGACCCTGTCCTCCTCCCGCATCCCTCGTTTGGGTTTGTCTGTCTTCTTTCTTTTCTCTGCGCCGGGGAGGCGTTGTTGGAGGCTAGGACGCAAGCGTCCGTCGCCTGTATTAAATTCGAGGGCTCGTGGTGAGTGTGGGGTGTGCCTCACGAGGCGGAGAGGCCGCGTGAACTCCCGTAGAAGCTCGCGAAGTGCGGATTTGGAGCGCCGCGCCGGACCTCCGCCGGGGCCCGCCGGGGCCACGGGAGAGGTCAGAAATCGTTTTGGGGGGTAGACTACTACAAACCGGTCACGGTCCCGTCCAATTTAGTCCCTTGGCCGGCCCTGGGCCGCTCGGCACCGCGCGGGGGTGCCGTTAAGCGACCCTACGGATTTTCAGTGGTCGATTTTGGCCAAAAAGCCCAATGTGCCCCGCCCGCGCCGCCCCGGGGCACGGCAGAGTGCCTACTCTCGCCTCTCTGAGTCGGGGCGCCGGCCCTGTATCGTCCCAATAGACGCTACGCCACTCAGAGATCGTATTCAGAGAGTGAACTCCCCCCCAAAACTCACAATTTTATCACTAAGGTTCTCAGACGAGGCGAGTTGAAAGCGACCAGGGCATCAGGGCCGGTGCCGGAGCTAGCCCAAACCACGAGATCTACCTCCGTCTCCGCTCCGCGCCTCGAGCGGCCGGCTCCGCAGCTCACCAGCCGCGAGGGGCGACTCCTCCTCGCGCGGCGGCGGCGCTGCGTGCGGATCCTCGCACCACGACGAGTGCGACCGAGTGGCGGCCGGCCACGGCGTGCAACCATTCTCGCAGATGGGCAAGTCGGCCGTCACCAGCTGGCAGCACACGCGCCGCCGCTCCGCCTCTGCGGACGCGTCCCGCTGGCCGTCCGCCTCGAGGCGCGCGATGGCGGCGTGCAGCGCCTCGCCGCTCCGGTGCGCCGCCTCGACCGTCTCGTTGAGCTGCTGGTCTACGAGCGAGTTCCGGGAGGGGTCAGCGGGGTGGTGCAGGGACGCCTTGAGGGGATCGTCGAGCTGCTGGCCGCGCTGGTGCGCCCGCCCCCACTGACTCCGCATGTGCACCGAGAAGATGCCGAGCGCGCCTACGGTGAGGCCGCGCGGAGGCGTCCGAGAGGCGTCCGGGAGGGCGCCTGTTTGGATGCCGAGAGCGCGCGCCCAGCTCCCTCGCGCATCGCACCGCGCACGCGGCGGGCGAGGCCTCCTCCCCGCCAGGGACCTCCCCGCCAGGGACCTCCCCGCCGAGGCCCGCCAGGCTGCCGGCCGCGCGGTGCGAGGCCCTCTGGCGGCCCCTGCCGAGCCCCTCGCCCCTGCCGAGCCCCTCGCCCCTGCCGGCGCCCTCGCACCGCGCGACGCAGCGGGGCAGGGCGGAGACGAGCACCTCGAGCGCACGCGCCGCGCTCTGCCCCCACGAGAAGGCGGGCACGCCGATCGGCCCCACCCCCGAGCTGCCGTACCTACGGGTTGGAGGAGGGTCGGAGGAGGGTCGGAGGAGGGTCGGAGGAGGGTCGGAGGAGGGTCCGAGGCGGGTCCGAGGAGGGCCCCGCCCGACCAGCGGGCGGCTCGGCGCACATGCAGCGCGAGGTCTGGAGGTCGGCGATGCCGACCGCGCAGCCGTGGCACGCCTCGAGGTCGGACGCCGGCAGACCGTGCACCTGCGGGACATGTGCATGTGCATGTCTCGGACACGTCTCGGATGTGTCCCGGCCCAGGGTCGAGGTTCGGAGGGCGGCGGCGGGGCGGGCGGCGCACCAGCGCGCGCGAAAAGACGCAGCCGAGTCCGCCGCAGTTGGAGGTGACGTCGCGGACGTAGGCGGACATGTTGCGGCCGCGCAGGTCGACGCGGCGACCCCGCCCGTCCAGCTTTGCGAAGGCGGGCCCAAACATCGGCTGCAGCAGCTGCGCCGCCCGGCCACCGCGCAGGTGCGGCGCCACGTGTCGCTCGGCCGCGCGCTGGTAGCGGGAGTCCACGCACGCGACCGGCGGGTAGGACGCCTCGCAGCCGTGCGCCGAGAACCAGAGCGGCATCTGCGGGTCGAAGATGCCCAGGAAGGAGGCGAGGCTGCGAGGGACGAAGAAGGTGTCGTCCTCGGTAAAGAGCATCCACGAGTAGTTGGGGAAGGTGCGGTTGCCGAGCACGATCGCCGTCGAGTACAGGTCCGAGTTTCGGCAGCCCGCCACGCCCGACAGCACCGCGATCCGCATCCGGCTGCTGTTGACCAGGCCGAGCGCCGGGTCGGGCGGCCGGTCGCACACGATGAAGGCGCGGACCGCGCGGAGCCAGGTGCGGGCGTGCGCGGCAAGCGCGGCGCCGCGGCCGGCCGAGGCCATCATCACCACCAGCAGCGCGTCAAGCGGCGCCGGCGCCCGGGCGCGGGCCACGCACTGCGAGAGGGCCGACGCGGCGGGAGGCGCCGCTCGGCGGAGCGCCTCCTCGGCGAGGCGCGGCGCGATGCGGGCTCCCTCTCTCGGGACGCCGGGTCCCAGGATGCTGTTTGGCGGCGGAATGGCGGCCGTGCTCATGCCTGCTTGGGGCGCGGCGGCCCGGCGGCGATGCGATGGATGTGTCTGCACACTGAACGTAGGAAGGTGTGGCCAGCTCGTGGGAAGGCAGCCCCCGTGGGAACGCCACCCCCACTACCTCCGTTTCGGCCTGCCTGGCTGCGTCACCCCGACAAATCGCCTGCGCTCCCTGTTTCACAGCCTCGTTATGAGAAGAAAATACCTCCCATCCCGCTGTGCGCAGCCATCCTTAATACGCATGGCTGCAATTACAGGATCCTAGCCACTCCGCCCTCCCAGCACGCGCCATTTTGGCTGCCTTCCAGCCAGTGCATGCAGCCATCCTCCGGCCGATGGCTGCGATGGCTGAGTCCCAGCCATCCGCCCGGCCGCAAGATGGCTGTCATACAGCCGTCGCAGCCATCGGCCGGAGGATGGCTAAGCTTACTAGATCCTGACCAAGCGTTCCAACGCGATGGCTGAGAGATAACGACGCCAGCCATCCAGAACAAGGAAGGTGTGGTGGCTCGCGGAGCGAGAGTGGAGCCACCTGGGCTCGTGTCGGGGCGGCGAGAAGGCTGGGTCGAATTCGCGACAGCCATCCTCCGGCCAAATGGCTGCGACGGCTGTATGACAGCCATCATGCGGCCGGGCGGATGGCCGCGGCGGCGGTGGGCGTCATGTGGCGGGCGTCATGTGTCCAGACATTGTCCGAATTTCGGCGGATCTTGGGGGTGTGGTAACTAAAAAAATCGACCTGACTTCACGTGGGGAGGGTCGGCGAGCACTCACTCACTAGGCGGATGTGCACACTAGGGTGATAAGAAACAAGAATTTCACAAGCAAACTCCCTCGCACAACACTGGAAACAAGAACGTGCGACGACAGTGAGGGTGTGAGAGACAGACCCAGGGTGGCAGGGAAGGTCTTTCACTACCTTACAGCCCCTGCCTGAGCTCCCTCCACCCTTTACGTACGGATCATGTAGTCCCCACCGCAATCGCTGTCGTAAAAAAAGCCCCGATTTCTTCTTTCAGCTGTGCCTTTTGTGGTGCTAGTTCGTGCCAGTCTGCTGTGAGAGGGGCTTGTTTTCGTAGAATTCTTCTTTCAAGTTTTTGCTTTGGCCTGCTCGCCAGCGGTAGTGCTAGCCTGCACACACACACCCCACCGCTCTCTCCAGCCAGACCCCTCCACACTCTCGCTCGCCGCGTCCGTGGCCACGGCGCGCTCCGGGGAGTCGCACCTCCGGCCGCAGTCTGGGCGGCCGCGGCCGCGCGCTGCGCGCTGCGCGTGCAGACCTCTCTCATCACCGGCTTGCTTTCCTCGCAGGCCTGCGCGCGCGGGCGAGGGTTGTGCGAGGATGGCAGACTTCTCCGGGGGCTCGATGAGCAGCGGCGGCGGCTCGATGGCGGGGATGGGCGCCGACCTCGGCACGCTCGACGAGCCCGTCACCGAAACCATCATGCGGGACCTGCGGATGGTGGGCAACAAGATGCTGTGCGTGCTCAACCCGCGCAAGGCCAACATGCAGACGCTCAAGAACTGGGACCTCTGGGGCCCGCTCGTGCTGTGCCTCACGCTCGCGACGCTGCTCTCCTGGTTTGCTCCGTACGAGCAGAAATCGCTCGTGTTTGCGTCCGTCTTTGTGATTGTGTGCTGCGGCGCGACGGTGGTGACGGTCAACGCGCTGCTGCTCGGCGGCAACATCTCCTTCTTCCAGTCCGTCTGCGTGCTCGGCTACTGCATCTTCCCGCTCAACATCGCCTCCGTCATCTGCCTCATCGGAGGGCCGCTGATATGGCGGCTCGCCGTGGTCGCCGTGTGCTTCTTCTGGTCCACCTCCGCCTCGCTCGGCTTTATGGGCGAGCTCGTGCCGACCAACCGGCGCGCGCTCGCCGTGTACCCTCTCTTCCTCTTCTACACGAGCATCGGCTGGCTCATCCTCATAGCGGCGCGCACGTCGCCGTACAGCTGAGCGCAGGGCCGCGGCCGAGACGGGCCGAACGCTGCGTCGGGCGCCGAGGGCGCACCATGTCTAGTCGATCGCGTTGCTGTGTTCAGACATCAGGAGAGCTAAGTGGATATAGAACAGCCGGCGTGGCCGCGCCGCGGGGCCTCGCCACACAGCCCACACAGCTCAGGAGCTCACAGGCGCATATGGCATAAAAACCATAATTATCCTCGCGAGCGCGCGGCCAGTAAGGTCGTCTCCGATCTCGCATAATAAAAAGCCGTATCGTGTACCCCAAGAGGGTATCGATATTAAAACATATTATCGATATATCGTGTTCGTGAGTGAGCCGCAACCCCCGGCCGCACGGACCTCGGACGACGGATGGGTTCGATGCCGCATCGCGACCTCTTGTCGCTCTTGCGACGGCGGGGGAGCTGTCGATGGGCCGCATCGTGCGGGTTGCGGCATGGGCGATGGGACGCACCATAAAAAACGTTAGCGAAAACAGTAACGCTCACCCCTCCTCCTCATCACTGTCGCTGTACGTAACCAGCGCCGCCGGGGCCGGCAGCGCCAGCGGCACGGCCACGGTGGGAGCGGCGGGACGGGCCGCCGGGATGGCGGCGGCGATGGCTGTCGCTGGCCGGGTTGGTGCGTGCCTTTCCGCTGGCCGCGTCGAGATCTCCATCCCCCTCGCTCGGCGCAGCTGGAGCGCGCGGAGCGCCTCCTCCTTCTCTTGCGCCGCGCCGCCGCCCGGCTGCGCGTCGAAGATGGAGCCGTGCAGCAGCCGGACCCGCCTCTCGCCGCAGACGGCGTCGGAGCGGCGCCGCTTGGACGCGCCTATGAGGAGGAGGTTCCGAGCAGGTTCCGAGAAGGCAACGGGATGGCGTCGCTTTGGACGCGCCGAAGCGGATGGCGGCGGCGGCGGCGGCGTCTTCGGGCGCCTCGGGCAGGAGCGGGTGCCGGATCCCCTTTGCAGCCTCCTCCGCCGCCTGCGCGAAGCTCGAGTGCCTTGCCTTGCGGTGCTTCCTGCGCAGCAGCTGCGACGAGCCGTAATCGTCGAGCCAAGCCTGGAGTAGGGATAGGCTGGGGGGAGTGAGGGTGAGGGTGGCACCGCAGCTTCTTGCGCTGCATTCCTCCGCCTCGCGTGCACAAAGGCTACGAGCGCGGGCAGTCGAATAGAGTGGGCTGTGCGTGGCCTGTCGTCCGCATCTAGGGAGCCCGAGCCGAGGCGCGCGCGTCCTCGAGGGCAGAGACCCGCTCGGCACGCGCTCGCTCTACGGAGCGGCGGGCGGCCGGCGCGTGCTCCAGCCCGTAGAACGGGTCCGCCGCCCTCCTCTCCCTGTCCTTTGGGTCTGCCAGCTCCTCGACGCCGAGCTCCTCGGCCGACGGCACCTGCAGCCACAAAAAGAGTCAGTGAGAGGTGCGACTGTGTCCGTGAGTCCGCATCTACGCGGGAGACCTTCGCGCCGGGCAGCTTGTCGAGGTCGCCGACCCGGACGGCGCCCTCGGCGACGACGTAGTCCGCCGCCTTGGGGTCGGTCCGCACCTCGATGTAGTGCGCGTTCCGCGTGCGGTCCGTGCGCGACGTGCCGTCCTCGGCGGCGCACATCATCCGGAACGACCAGACCTTGGTCGAGAGGTACTTGCCCACGCACTTCTTCTCGGCGTTGAAGCGCACGCCCTTGGCGATGCGATTCCCGCAGCCGGAGCAGCGCACGTCGAAGGGCATCTCGAAGCGCACCACAAGGATGCCCTCGCCCAGCTTCTTTGCACGCTCGCGCAACGGGTGCGCCTTCCAGGCGGGCTCGCCGAGCCGGGCCGCGGCGAGCTCCGCGCGCGAGCCGCGGCGCGGGTCCCAGTCGGGCGGGTGATAGAAGTTGTCCGCGCGTGCCGCCTTGAGGGAGGACATGCCGGCCGGAGGAGCTCAGTAGCCCGAGGCACTGGCGGCGCGTGATAAATTTTCTTTTTTTAGTGATTCCAAAGCCCTCCCGCTAGATGTAGTTGATTTAGGTTATAAATATAAATAAATAAATGGACACCCCAAACTAAAGAAAGAAAGAAAACGGACAACCAAACAGAACATCCGGGCGTTTCTTCTTTCAGCTGAGCTCCACTGAGGAACACCGAGCCATGGTTGCGCGCTTGCTGGCTGGGCTCTGCCTCTTCGCTGCCTGCGCGCCGTCGGGCGCCTTCACGCCGCCGGGCGCGCTGAGCGCCGTCACGATGCCCGCGACGCACGCCGCCGTCGCCCGGCCCGCCGTGAGTGGGTGCGCGCCGCCGCTGCGCCCGCTGCAGCTCTTGGCCGGGAGAGGGCGCTGGCGCTGAGCACGCCCCCCCTCTCGTCGCAGAGCCGTGCGCACATCATTGCCGACGATTGTGATGGCCGTGCCGAAGAAGCGCCAGTCTAAGATGAAGACGCGGCAGCGGAAGGCCAATGTGCGGCCGCCCCTTGCCCGACCGCGCTCCGCCCGGCGGCCCAACCCATTTCTGCATGGGTGCGCGACTGACCCTCGTTGGCCGCCCCCGCCGCCACGCAGTGGTTCGCCAAGGCCAGGCGCCAGGCCACGCTCGCCCTCTCGCGCGGCAAGTCTGCCAAGTATGACCCCCTCGAGGACCCGAAGTACTCGTTTGATGCCGTGGAGGATGACGACGAGGAGGAGGACGAGGACGAGGAGTAGACGGCCGCCGTCCCCTACCGCTCGCTTCCGCCGTGGAGGGCCCGCACTGTGTTCAGCGCGGACGTGGCTAGGTCTGCGTGAATCGCTTAAATAGCTGCACACACGACGCTCACAAAAGCGCGCGCTCTGTCGACTCTATTCCTCGTTTTGCCTGTGTTGTACTGTAAACGACCGCGTCACGAGTGCGCCCGTCCCGCGTGTCGTCAAAAAAAGGGTCTTACACACTCACTCTCGACACACACCAGTGCGCGGTGTGCAGTGACGAGATATGTCGCGCGTCCTGCCTCTCTCTGTGTCGGTCTGCGCTCACGCCTCACCCGTCACCGCGACGCGTCCTCGTCCAGAGACGGCGGCACACGATGATGTGTGGCGGCTGGTGTGCACCCCGTGTTTACTCGCTTGCTTTTTTTTCGCTCCAGCCCTGCGGGTCTTCACACTCCTCAAGGGCCTTGACCCTTGTACGGCTAACAAGGGGCTCCGCCCCGGGTTAGCGTTACACGTGTAACGTGTAAGAGCGTTATGGGGTGGTGTGACGTTGGACATTGCTGGTGTCAGCCTGTCGCTGGGTGTGGGGGTACGACGGCGCGACGGGCATGGCGACGGGGCGGGAGCGGGAGGTGTGAGTGTCGCATGTGCGGTGCGGGGGTTTCAGCTCCGTGGGCGCGGGTTTCCGCGGGGCGGGAGGCGGGAGCGTGTGCGGGGGGTGCGTGGCTGCCGGCCGTGACGTGTGGTGGGCCGCGTTGGCGTGCTGGGGCTGTCTGACTGTGACTCGCGTGTGCGCGTCGCTCTCGCGGTGCTGATGCAACTACATCGGCTGTGTAGACGTCAGACGTCGTCTCCACGGCGTGCGCCGCGCTGCGGACGCGGGGTTATGGCTTATGCCACACACGCGTCCAGCCGTCCACAGGCGCGCGAGTGCGCCCAGAGACCAGCCGACTGGCCCTCGCGTGTCCTCGATCACTGTCATGAGCTGTAAGCTCATAACATATCTCATATGAGGTGTAGTACACGACTCGAGATAGAAGGTACCGTACTCAATAATTAACGACCAGACCACTGCCGCAGCACAGCGCGCACTGTGAACTAATGCGCGCCATGTGTGCAGGCCCATGGCATGCCAACCACCATTCGGGGAGCTAGCACTCTAGTACACTCCCAGTCGATCGTTAGCGGCGCACAGCGCACACGCCTCGAGGCACACCCCGTCGCGCTTCGTGTCCATCCGACCCCTCCCGGCTCGCGCGCCCCTTTTGTGCTGCCGGACTCGCGTCACACCGAGCCGTGCAGCGCCTTCTCGCCGTTCGCCCGCTCAAAGGAGCCAGCGCGCCGCCCTGCGTTCCGAGCGCGGGACACCAGCGCGAGGGTCACCAGAGACCCAATCAAGGCGCCGAGGGCGAGGCCCACGCCAACTCCCGCCAGGCCGGCGGCGAGGAGATCAAAGCTCGACTCTGTGGTGAGTCTGGCGCCGCCGTCGGAGATCGACGGCTCGCCTGTCTCGTTCCCGCCCGCTTTGATCTCGCAGTTCGCGGTGGGCATCACCGCCTCGACAGCACCGAGGAGATCGAGGCCCGCCGCATCTTGGTCATAGGGCATGGAACGCATGGAGGACGCAGCGGTCATGTAGCTCTCAAAGCAGTCGTTGAAGCACTGGACGAGCTCAATGTAGACGTTGGACGTGCCCGAGTCGTCCGGCGGCGGCGGCGGCGGCGGCGGCGGCGGCGGCGAAGCCGAAGGTGGAGGCGGGGGAGGCGGCGGGGCCGGAGGAGGAGGAGGAGGCAAGATCTCTTGCCCAGGCGGTAGAGGCGACGAGCTGGGGTTTGGTGGGGTAGGTGGAGGCGGCGGTGGTGATGGTGGAGGTGGCGGCGGCGACGGCGGCGGCGGTGGCAGGCTGAGGGGTGGGGCGCCCTCGTTGGGCTGGGCGCCTCCACAGATGCCTCCTCGCCCGCCGGTGCCGACCGCGGTGCAAGCGCAGTCATTTTCGTCAAAGGCGTTCCCGTCAAAGCTTGCGCACGGCGGCCCTGCAAAGAAGAAGTAGTCACCGATGACCCCTCCGTCAGCCCAGGGATAGCGGAATGCGTCCCAGGCTGCCCAGGAGATGGAGGTGAACGCGTTCAAGTCCTGCGATGTTGAGGCGTACCCGCCGACAGGCAGGGTCTCGAACGCCGTCATCCTGGGGCTGATCTGGCCAACGTCGACCGCCTGGCTCGTGGGCGTCACTTCCAGGTCGGAGCACTGTGAGTAGAACTCGGGAGGCGACACGTGGATGGCGTACCACTCCCACCGCAGAATGGCGTCGCCACCCGGCAGCCACTGTGGGAGGTCGATGCTGAAGCGTTGGCCGCTCTTGGACTTGCAGTCGGGAACATTGGCGATCTTAAACCACTGCTTCTGCGCCCGGGGCAAGGTCGTGTCGTAGGAGAGGTAAAAGGCGCAGTCGCCGACGTGAAGCGCGGAGAGGTCGTACTGGACTTCAATCGTGCTACCCGCCGTGACGGACGTTGGAGGGTACGCGGTGGGGTTCTGCTGCTCGGTCCAGCGGCACGCAAAGCTGTCGCTGTTCCTGTCGACGGGATCGTTCTCGTATGCTCCGGGCCGGCCAGAGTATGGGACGGGGAAAGTCAGACGTCCGTGGGCGATGACGGAGGAGGGGAGGACCGCCAGCACGAGGTAGGCCATGGTACAGCACGAGAACCGCCAGCTCGAAGAGGCCATTTTAGGAGGGTTCACTACAGTGCTCGCGTCCACCGCGCCGTGCCCATCGCTTATCACGCGGCAAAGAAAACGAGAGCCGTGACCAAAGAAAACGATCCGGCGGGAGTCGGCGGTCACTGGCCTCGACTGGGTGAACCCTGCCCAGCCCCCCTCCGTGTCGCGATGCGCTCCCCGCTCCCGTTCCCCTGTGTCCCTGATCGTCCTTACAAGATCCTGCTCGCGCGGGTGGGGACCCTGTCCTTCTCCCACCCCTTGTTTGGTGTGTCCGTTTTATTTATTTTATTTATACTGGCCTCGACTCACGCATGCTCCAAGTGCTAAACGACGCTCACATGACATCAAGCGATTTTACGACAGCGATTGTGGGGACTACATGATTGATCCGTACGTGAAGGGTGGAGGGGCCCGTCCGCAGAGCTAGGCGGCGCGGTGCCCCCCACTGGGGCCGAGGGTAAGAGGCCGTTTGCGTGTAGAGAACCGACTCGAGCAGCTGTACAGGGGAGAGCAGCTTCGTCTTTGCGGCGTGGCTCGCGTCCGACATCAGCCACGGGTGATGCTTCCGCTTATGCTGGTACAGGCCGCCGTACGTGACGTACGAGGCGCCGCAGCCCGCCTCCTCGGTCCTCGCAAAAGAAGCTCGCTCGCGCGTTTGGGTCGGCGGGAGGCCGGCCGCGCTTCTTGCGGCTCGCAGCGGGAGCTGGAGCTGTGGGTGTGTTGTTAGCGACCGCCGGCTCTGCAGAACCATTTCGCGCCCGGTTCTCGAGCTTGACCTCGTTGAGCACCGCCGCTCTGTCAGTCCGCGGTGCGAGTCAGTGTCACGAGCCTCCGGCTCCGCCGCTCTGGGGGGGCGCGGGGGCCCCCGGAGGCACCGTGCGCCGCGCCGCAGTGCGGAAACGTGGCCCCGGCGCTCAGAGTCGCTCAGAGCACCAACTTCCCGATTAAGCTAGGTTAATCAGAGGGAAGATTTGGAGAGATCTCGAGGAGTACATACACATAGACCCTCCAACCATCAGAAACCTCCGACCTGATTGGTCGCACTGACCGCCGACAGATCACTCCAGACAGCAGACAGGCCGACGTCTGCACACGGCCGGCCGGGCGAGAGGCTTGACACGATCCGACCCTGCGACCCTGACGCTGGTGCTCTAGTGATCAGACATGCACTGCTGACTGCTGCCACAATGTGCGACCTGTGCTGGCCCACTTGGCGGCCTTCCCGGTCAGTGGTGAGGCGCAGTTCAGAGCTGTCGATGGCGCGATGCCGCACTGGTCCCACATTGGTGACACTAGACCACCAAGTTTGCCGGTCCAAGAGAGAGGCACCGGCGCTGTCCTGAGAAGGTGCGTGGTCCCTCTTGACTGCCCATGCGCGCGAGGCTGTGTAGGCATAGCCTCGAGAGTGCCAGCAGCCAATCCGAGGCGACGCGCATTGCGTCAGAAGCGTGCACACAATGGAAGGACACCTTCCTACTGGCCGTACGATCAGGTCATCACTGAATGCCTGATACTAAGGCCGCGCGAGCTATGCAGGTGATCAATTGTGCAGCATGGCACGGGCAGCAGCGCCGAAAGGATGTTGCAAGGCGTGATAGCATGGCCGCAAGTTCGCCGAGCTCCCATGAAAACAAGTAAAAAATCGCCGAAAAAATCCGAAAAAATCGGCGCCTGCGGCGGGCCATGGGACCCCATCTCCCCCCCGCATGGACACCCCCTCTGGCGTCTGGGGCCCCCGCGCCGGGCGGCCCAGAGCTCCGCCGCCCGCCCCCGACGCACGGCGACGCGCCCTGGACGCGCCAAGAGCCCACCCAGCGCGCAGGGAGAGATCTCGTGACGCCGCTCGCAGCTCGGGCTCTCCATCACTGGAGCTGGGGTGTGTGGCTGTATTTGGGAATTGCTATTCAACGCACGAGACACACAGCTTTCGCGCGGAGAGAGACGCATGGAGCACATCATTCCACGCTCGCCATGCGGTCGGACTCTCTTGGGACATCGAGTGTGATACTACGGTGTGCCTTTGACGGCGACCGCGAGCGCGAGAGTCAAAAGAGGGAGAGAGCGAGAGAGTGAGAGATGGCGCGGCGTGCAGGACATGGACGTAGAGGAGAGCGGGAGGTGCCGTGCTACGCCGAGGGGCGCTGCCCTCAGGGCGGTGGCGCGGCTACCGACAGGAGCTCGAGCTCGTACTGCAGCTTCGCGTTGGGCGGCACCAGGTACTCTGAGCCGCCATCCTTAGTCTCGATCTTGATGCCCTTTTCTCCGTACGCCATCGCCGGCGGCACCTGGATCACGCGCTTGCCCCCCTCCTTCATCGTCGCCAGCGCCTCCTCCACACCGGGGTTGAGGATCGGCTGCTTCTTGAACTTTGCCGCGATTGGCTTGCGCCCAGGCCCCTCACTGCTGTCAAACATCTGGCCGGATGGAAGGTATGCCTTGTACTTCAGCTTGATCAGATCTCCGGCCTGCGGCACGCAAGCGACGTTGAAGGTGCCGCACTTGCCAACCTCGAGATCAAAGTACTTGACGCCGCCCTCCGTCTCAAAAAACTGCGGCGCCGCCGCCAAAGCAGGCTTCTCGAGCAGGAGCGCCGCAGCAGCCGCAGCACCAGACACGAGCTCCCTGCGCCCCACCGGCGCGGCAAATTGCTTCACAGCGGGCCTCGACTGAGGCAGCACAGCGACGGCGTGAATTAAGGCCGCATACATGCTTGCTGGAGAGGACGCAGCCGCGGCAATCGAAGCAGCTCGAGAATCGAAGCAGCTGCGCGCAGGAGAGCTCGCACAGGAAGAAAATACACAAAGGGTGCTCCAAGTGCTCCAAGGGAAAAAAAAACTGTTCAGTTTTCAAAGGCAAAAACGCCAGCCTACGCCCTCCCCTCACACTGACACTTCTCCCCTATTCCCGTCTTTAGGTTGCGCACATCTCCCAGCGAGCTAGGTTCTCCGCTTTTTCTCCCCTAGTCATCTGCCCGCGCCGCGCGCCTCTGTGGGCGTCTAGTGCAGCCACTGACAGAACTGTTCCAAAGGAGTGGTCAACGTCTCGCCTGCAGTCGGGTGGGCTCGCGCACTGCTTAGCCCTAGGGGAGGGGTGTGTGTGAGGTGTCGGAATGGTAAGGTTTCAGGCCGCCAAGGTGTGGGGGATTTGGGGGACGAGTCAGGAGCCAGCAGCCTTCCTGCTGGACCTGAGTTCACAGCTCCTCCGCCCGACGGGGTGGTCCCTTGGATTCGGGCCCCGCTCCCTTTTCCTGCGCCTGGTCTGTCCCTGTCAAGTGTGTGTTGCGAGATGCAGAGCTGGTTAGGCTGGAGCGCGGGCGGTGCGGTGGCAGGCGAGGGCAGCGCGGTAGGCGAGAGGCGGCCGCGGGGCTTCGAGTGGCGCAATAGGAGGGTAGGCTGGCTGTGGAGGGGCGCCGCGAGGCCTCGGCAAATGAGTAGTGCTTTATGAGCGGCCAGTTTTGTGCGTATTGCATATCGAGCCTGCGGTGTGGCCTAGTTGGTGCAGCGTTCGGGTCGGGGACGTTTTGGTCGTTGGTTCGAGCCCAGCTGGTGCAGTTCGTAGTCGCGTAGCGCGCGGGTGCGCGGCAGCCTCGGCAACCGAGGCGACAGTGGCGAGCAGGGGCGAGCAGGGGCGAGCAGGGGTCAGAGCAGTGCGGCGCGCCGAATTTTTTTCGATGGGCTCGGTCAGTGGGCGTGTCAGGAGGCGGCCGGCCGGGAGAAACTCGGCAGTAAAACTCCCGCGCCGGCCCAGGAGGTGGGAGTGTCACGGAGGCGGCCATTGGCCGCGCTCCTTGTCTTCGTGGGTCCGAGTTTTTTTTTGCTCCAAGGGAGAGGCGCCAGGCACAGGGAGCTCGCAGCGACGAAGGAAAAAGAATCTCGTTTTCCGCTTGTCCCAAACGCCAAACCTACACCAAACACAACCTAATCCTCTCACAGTTACATACAGTCCCACACAACGGGCTCTGCAGCCTGCGCTCGGCACCGGGCACCGCCTCGGTATACAAAATGCGCCTGCGGGCGGACCCTTACAGATCACAGATCACAGTCCCACACAACACCTACCTCACGCACACACCTCGGCCGCCTCCCCGGAGGTGAGCCACGGCCTGCACCCGTCGAGCTCGCACTCCTCCTCCCCCTCTTCCTGCCCCGCACCCACCGCCACCGTGGAGCCGCCGGGCTCCTCCCCGCACGCGCCACCCGCCAGGTCGTCGAGTGCCGCCTTGGCCGCGTCGACGGCTCGCGCGCCGAGCCGCACCAGGGCGAACGCCGCCGCCAGGCCGAGGGCGCAGGCCGGAAGCAGCGGCCGCCCATGCAGCGCGCCGCGGGCGAGGAGCAGCTGCTTGCCGAGCGCGGCAGAGGAGAGTATGGCCACGCTGCCGGGCAGGTTGCCCAGCGCCGTGGCGGCCATGTAGGAGGTGCCGCTCACGCCGGTGAGGCCGTACAGAAAGTTGATCGCGGGCACCGGCGTCGGGATCAGGCGCAGCAGGAAGACGGCACGGAACCCGCCCCTGGTGATCGCACGGTCGATGAAGGAGAACTGGCGCTCTGTCGTCGGCATCTTTTGCAGCTGGCTTCGGACGCGGTCCTGCAGCAGCATCCGGCCAATGAAGAAGGCCGCGGTGGCGGCGGCAACGCCACCGGTGAGGACTATGGCGAGCGCGGTCGGGAAATCGAACATGGCTCCGCAGAGCGGCGCGAGGCCGATGTTGAGTGGGATGAGGAGGTCGCAAAAGGCATAGAGCAGACCGAAGAGCAAGGGGCTCGTGAGCTTGGCGACGGCGGCGGCCGCTCCGATGCCGGCGGCGTGGGGTTGTGACGCGGCGGCGAGGAGGCCGTCGAGAGCGGCGATGGGCTTCCCTGCTCGGGGCACCGCTCGTCGGCTGATGAATGCGAGCTGCGGCATCGTGCTGGTGAAGGCGCGTGGAGCGGCGAGAATCGGCAGTCCCTGCACACCTCGTTGTCCCTGCACACCTCCTGGCGGCGAGAGCAGTACGGCGGCGAGAGGCGGCGCCGTGAACACCAGCATTGCCACCAAAATTGGGGGTTTCTGATAGCGAAAAAAGAGAAAACCGCGGCCTAGAACACAACGCACTCTCATGTCGTTGCAGCGAGGAGGGCGGAGCTGCGCCGAAAGGCGCAAGAAGCCGCGAGAGCAAGGGACCGGCAGGAGGCGGCGGCGCCGCAGAACGAAGCAGAGGAGAGCGACGCGACAGAAGAAGAAGCGACAAGGGAAGAAGCGACAGACTCCCTAGGGTGGGCGACGGCTAGCGCATCACACCCCTCTCCTTAAAATCCCTGTGTGGTGGCGGCGTGCCGTCCTCCCATCCCTCCCTTGGGCTGTCTGTTTTCTTTCTTTCTTTCTTTCTCATGTCGTGTCCCTTGTCAGGAGCAGCAGAGCCCCACCTGTCCCCCTGATCGTCCTTCCAAAATCCTGCTCGTGCAGGTGGGGACCCTGTCCTCCTCCCCCATCCCTCGTTTGGCTTGTCTGTTTTCTTTCTTTCTTTTCTCTCACATGACAAGCGATCCCACGTCAGCGATTGTGAAAAAAGAAAAATTAATTCGGGGTGCCTAAGCCAGCCAAACCTGCCCAGGGTTCCAACTTTTTCCGGGGTATGGTATGGTACGCTCACGGCCCAAAGGGTGGGGGGGTATGGTCCTGACCGCCCAAGGCTAGCCCTCGACAGGGGTGGGGGGGTATGGTCCCTCGGCCCCTCCCTCTACTGCCGCCGCCGAGCCCGCAGCGCCATGAGGTAGGAACAGGCGCCCGTGTCGCAGAGCTGCTGCAGCTGCTCCACACTCCACTCGCCGACACCCTTCTGGTTGCGGAGCGCCTCAATGTCGCGCGAATCAACATAGCCGTCGCTCATGGCAAGATCTCGAACGCCAGCCGTCCAAGTTGGTTGACCTTTGTGTTGTGCGGCGACGAACAGCCGAACAGGATCTGAGCAAGCTGGTGGGGCTCAAAGCCGTCGCCGAGATGGTAATGCAGCACGGCTGTGTGCTGTATCATGAGGCTGCTGAACGCTTCGTGAACCGCCGGCACACTCTTTTTGCTGACCTCAACGCCGCGCTCGACGCCGACGGCGTTGATGAGGGCGTGCGGTACCAGTCGCCGGCATGGACGAGGGAGCGCGCCGGCAACGAGCTGCTCGCCCGCCTGCCGCTCGCCAGGCGATTGCCAACTTCGCCGCCGCGCTCTAGACGAGCACCGGCCGGTGCTGGCGTGGAAGACGGCGGCCAGCCGCGCGTGTCTAGTGTGCGTGTCCTAAGTGTTGGTGTCTGCAGCCTCCTGGAGCCTAGCAGTAAGGCGGCCGGCGGTGGGGCGAGGGGGGGGGGGTATGGTCCCGTCGGCGGGAGGCTGGGTCTGTCAGCAGGCGGGGGGGTATGGTCTCGAGGTGGGCGTACCAGGCCATACCAAAAAGTCCGAACCCGGATTAGCGTTTCTCGGCTCACCTACGCTTCCTGTGAAAACAGCCTAAAAGCCCCTCCTGCTCGCCACCGTGATGCCGCGGCCTCGATCCGGCTCGCCAGCGCCGTCGTCCGGCCCCACGGCCGGCTCGCCATCTCGATTTCCACTCGCCCGACGCGCTCAGTCTCCGCTGCCGGCTGCCGCAAGAGCGGCTGGCTCACGACTGCGTCTTGCCGGTTGTCGGATGGGAGACAGGACGTCTGGAGTGTAATCGAGTGTAACTGTGTACGTGAGATCGGTCTTGGTAACAAGCACGGTCGGTCTATCGAAGCGATGCACTCGTTTCCGTTGCCCTTCGAGCTTGACACAGAGCTCAGCGCGCCGCGCAAAACAGGAAGAGCCGTCCGGCAAGAAGATCTCGATAGGGAGCGAGAACCGTTAGAGGTGCTCCGAGAGGTATCAAGACTCCGTCATGACGCGGTAAGATCACTCCAAAAATGACCGCGCAGATGTCGGATCTCGTTGAGACATCTTGCAAAATCTGCTCTTCCCGAGCCGGCAGCACGCAGAGAGTCGCAGAAAGGCTACGTCGAGTGCTCGACGAGTTTTGAGACCTGCGCGGTCAAACCTGGGGGGAACTGACCGCACCATGACGGACGTCCGAAACCTGCGTGAGCACCTTTGACGGTCCCCGCTCCCCATATCGAGCTCTTCTTGCCGCACGGCTCTTCCTGTTTTGCCGGCACAGAGCTCCGTGCAAGCCGTCCAACGTGGCGTGACGAGTATATCGCTTCGACGGATCGACTGTGCTTGTTATCAAGACTGATATGACGTACACAGTGACACATCAGACGACACATATTCTCTCACCCGGCGGGCCGCAAAACGCTCTCGAGACAAGAGCCACACGAAGCCACCCGCACGGCAAGCCGCTCGTTCGTCGGACAGGCGTGCTCGATCGATGTCGGAGAGCCAAGGACAAGCCCGGAGGGCAGCCACGCAGAGTGGCGCCACTTCCCGAGCGTCGGCTTGCGCCGGAGCGCCGCAGCCAACCGTGCAGCGAGCGAGTCGGACAGAAGCCGCTAATCCGCCTCCAGGGTTGACTGGGAAATCCGATGCCCCAGCACCGCCCCTTTCCAAAGGCAAGAATTCTCGCGACACGCCCGCACAGCCCCAAGCAGGCATGAGCACGGCGCCCGTTCCGCCGCCGAACAGCGTCCTGGCCGGCGTCCCGAGAGGCTCGAAGGCGAGATCGACACTGACGAGATCGTTCGCCGCCTTTTTCGCGGCTCTGGCGCTGCTCGGTGGCTCATGGCTGTCTCTGCAGAGGGAGACGCAGCAGGAGCCGGCGCCTGTGCAGACGAGTCTCATCGACGTGGGCGTCGCACGACTACGCGCCGCCGCCGCCACGGCGGCTGCCTCACCACCCGCCGCCAGCCGGATCATCCTTGCGGCGGCGCGGGTGGCTGCTTCGCCGCCGCCGCCGCCGGAGGCAGCAGCGACGGCGCCGCCGCCGCTGCCGACCAAGGCGGCGAAGCAGCTGACCGAAACGGTCCGGGCGGCGGCGTCCGTGCAGCAGCCGGGTGACGTGCCGCGCAAGGCGGTCGTCGCGATCTGCGCGCCCACGCGCTCGCAGACGGCTTGGCGGTCCGCCGCGGCAACGCGGGTGCAGACGACGCTCATCCCGTCGATCGAACGGACGATCACCGCTGCCGAGCGCGAGCGCTTCACCATCCGGCTGCACCTCGGCATCAGCGACGACGACGCGTTCTGGCGGCAGCACGCCGGCGCGCTCACCGCGCCCGCGTGGCTCGAGCTGCGCCCGTCGTATCACCCGGCGCAGCCGGGGCGCGTGCCCTTCAACGAGATGACGCGCAAGGCCTTCGACGACGGCGCGGAGTACGTCGTCCGCATCAACGACGACACGGAGTTTGTCACCGCGTCGTGGGTGACCGCCGCCGTCGGCGCGCTGCGAGGGTACACGCCGCCCAACGTCGGCGTGGTGGGGCCGACGTGCCACGAGGGCAACGTGCGCATCCTCACGCACGACATGGTGCACCGCTCGCACCTCGCCGTCTTCGGCGTGTACTACCCGCGCGTCTTCAAGAACTGGCGCGCGCCCAGCCGCACCACGCGCGCGCCAGCCGAGTCTCTCTGCCCGCTCTGCCCGGCACACCGCCGCCGCCTCGCCGCCGCCTCTTGCCACCACGCTACCGCGACTGCCACCCGCACCGCCTCGCCACACCTCGAGCCCTCCACCCTCGCCCTCCGCCCTCAGGTATGTCGACGACTGGATCACAAAGGTGTACCAGCCGGGCCGCTCGACCAAGCTGCCCAACTGGACGGTGCGCCACCACATCGGCACGCGCGGCACGCGCTACCTAACCCCAACCCTAACCCATGTCCTAACCCTAGGTGCGCCACCACGTCGGCACGTACGGCACGCGCTACCGCATCGCCTACGAGCAGCAGGCAGCGCCGCCTTCGCCCCGCCAGAGCGCGAGCCCGACCCCAAAGCACTCTCCCACTCTCAGCCCTGCCGCTCCTTCCTGCCGCTCCTTGGCCTATCCCCGCCCCTCCTCGGCAGGGCGTCCTCGCCGCCGAGCTCGCCAGCGGCCAAGCCAAGCTCCGCGCGTACCTCGCAGCCAACGGCGGCGGCGGCGGTGCGGTCGCTCGCTCGCTCGCCGCCGTCGCCGACGCGGAGGCGGTCGCGCCGGCGGCGGGCGAGCCGGCGGCGCCGTCGACAGCCGAGTGCACCGCGATGCGGGAGACGCACGGCGTCGTGATCGGGCAGTCGTGGGGGTCGCTGCCCGTCTCCCTGCAGCGCAGGTGGGCGCAGCTGGACTAGGAACTGTCTAGGAACTGTCTAGGAACTGTCCAGGAAGTGTCTCCCTGCAGCGCAGGTGGGCGCAGCTGGACTGCGACGCGCAGCTCAGCAGCGGACCCAAACCGCGGCAGCAGCCCGCCGCGGACGGCGGCGGCGAGAGCGGCGGTGGCGGGGCGAGCGGCGGTGGCGGCGCGTTGGACGCGCTGGCGGCGCAGCTGCCGGAGGAGCCGCCGCTGCCCGCGGCGAAGCTGGACGTGGACGCGCGCGTTGGACGTGGACGCGCAGAAGAGGAGCTTATTGCGAAGATGGACGCCGCCGGCCAGCGCGAGACGCGCCTCGTCTCCGCGCCCCTCTTCCGGCAGCAGCTGAGGGCCGTGGCGGGAGGCAGCAGCGCGGCGCCGGAGGCGGTCGGCGCGCTGCTCAGGCGGCCGGCGGTGGACGCGGCAGACGTGCAGCTCGCGACGTTTTCGTGCACGGGCAACGGTCGCTTCATGCGCGTCGAGCCGGGCGCGCCCGCGGGGCATGAGCGGTGGGTAGGCTGCTCGGGCGAGGCGGGCGTCGCCGCGCTGACCGACGGGCTGTTCGAGCGGCGGCCGCTGACCGGCTCGCGCTTCGCGCTGCTCCACGTCGCGAGCCAGCGCTACCTGCAGGTGGTGCCGCGCCGGCACAAGGTAGCGTGGGTGGTTCGAGTGCAGCGCAGGCAGCCCGGCGAGACCGAGGCCTTCGAGTGGCGGAGCGGCGGCGGCGGCGGCGGCGGCGCGGCGGGCGGCGCGGACGCGGAGGATGGCTTCCTGTACAACGTGGCGTGCGGCTGCCACGTCAACTTGCGCTTTGGCACGGTGCTGCGCGGGCACGCGGAAAGGGGGCAGCCCGCGGGCGCCGTGCCGACGGCGCGGATGCGGCAGCGGCGGTACACTGTACAGGGCGTGCGCGCTGCGCTCGCCGCCGATTCGTCGCGGCTGGCGACGGGGAGGCTGCCGCTGATGCAGCAGGTGGTGCGCATCCACACGCTCGCCGCGTCCAACGAGAAGCGAGTCGTGTCCTTCGGGCTGTACGGCGGCGACCCGCGGTACGCGACGGGCGTGCTGCGCAACGCGCAGCTCGCGCCGCTCGTCTTCCCGGGCTGGACGGTCCGCGTGTACCTTGACGGCACCGTGCCAAAGCACGTGCAGCGGCTGCTGCGGCATTACGGCGCCGAGATGGTGGACATGGACCGCCCTCCGGCCGAGCTGGCGAGCGCGACGGGCGGCCAGATCGGCGGCATGTTCTGGCGCTTCCTCGTCGCGGCGGACAGGAGCGTCGACCGGTTCATCGTGCGCGACTCGGACTCGCGGCTCAACCCGAGAGAGAGGCGCCCTCCGCCTCACCTCCCCTCCCCCGCATCTCCACCCCACATCGTCTCGCCTCATCTCCCCGCATCTCCACCCCCCCCCCCCTCTCTCGCGCCCCCGCCGCATCTCCACCCCGCGACTCGCCACGTCCCTCCGCCACGTCCCTCCGCCCCCCTTCGCTCGGCAGGCTCGCGGTGGAGGAGTGGATCGCCTCGGGCGAGCTCGTGCACACGATCCGCGACCACCCAAACCACGACCGACCGCTCAACGGCGGCATGTGGGGCGGCACGCGCAACGCCGTGCCCGACATGGCAGCGCTCGTCGCCAGCTGGCCGACACGCGACAAGTACATGGCCGACCTTTACTTTCTCGAGCAGCGCGTGTGGCCGCGCGTGAAGCACTCGCAGCTGGCGCACGACGCGTACACGTGCCACAAGCACCCCAACTCGAAGCCCTTCCCCACGAAGCGGCCGGCAGACTTCCAGCACGTCGGACAAGTGTTTTTCGGCGACGGGACGCCGCGGCAGGGCGACATCGACGACTTCATGCTGCGCATCACCGCGCCGCCACCGTGTAGGCGGCAGCCCGACTGGATACACGGCTGACACAGACTGGTCGTGACTGCTGATGGTCCGGGTCGGAGTGTCCGGGCTACACAGCTCCTTTTGCGAGTCGTGCCCCCAGAGACAAGAGACTGAGTGCCCCCAGTCGTTACAGAGACAAGACATCTCAGACTGTGCATGACGTATTACATGCACATGTTCATGTGTGCGGCGTGCGTGACAACCCGCGCTGCCCGCGTCTCTCCCCTGTCGGGACTCTCGTCTCCTCCGCTCTCCAGTGTAGTCCAGACTTCACGACACCAGACGACTCCACGCGAGCTTCCCGCCCCCCCCCTGCTCCCGCCTCCCCGGCGCCCCAGCCCTCCACCGCGCGAGACCTCCATCCTCCGTGCTCCGACGGCGACCGACGGGCGCGGCGGCCGGGGCGCCGTACAGGGAGTCGGCCGGCGCGAAGCGACGACCGCCGAGCTTTAGGTCGCCGACATCCAGCCGGAGCTGCGAGTCCACACGGAGGCGTCTAGGGCGAATTCACTGGGACAGTTTTCGCAGAGACTACCTCATTTGCTGCTCCCCCCATGAAGGGGGGTTTGTGTGGGAAGCCAAGGGAGGTTAATGGCTTCCCACATTTGTGATGGGTCGAAATCGGCCCGCCGCATTGATGGTCGAATCGGTGTAACTTAGTCAGGCTGTAACGAATCGAGAGAGAGAGACGCGAGGGCCCAAGAGGCCCGTGGGCTCGCCTGCAGAGCGTCTCTCTCTTGCCATTCTGCTTGTCTGTTTTGTGGCCTCTTCTCTCGTCTGTCGGTGTTTTGTGCCGGGGCGCCGTATCAGGTATCACTCAGACTCACCCCGCGATCTCCACGCCACGCACGCCACAGGGCTCGGGCGCCATTTGCATTACACCGCATGAACGGGCAACGGGGTCGGCGTCGTGTGTTTACTATACCTCGCTGCTACACACACCTCCCCAAAGCTGTGCCAGTGGCGGAGAACAAAAGCACAAAATTACGGCCGCGTAGGGGTACGGGGCCGTGCTGAGTGCTGTCTCCTTGTACGTACTTTTTTCTTCTAGCGTACTCGAGTACTGGGAGAAAAGGGAGAGGGGGGTGTGCTCTCTCTCTTTTGTAACGCGCTGCGCTCAATATACCGCAGTGAAACCACCCCGGGGCCAACCCGCTTCGGTTTCGTCGGTCATAGTGCACTATAACCCACGAAACCCGAATAAAAAAACGTGCACCCCCCTTGGAGTGTATCTTGAGTGTTGCTATGGAGCGTCCGGTTCAACACGCGCTTGCGCGCTCGCGTCTGCTGGCGCCCAGAGAACATGTTGCACCACATGCTCCCGGCGGAGCCCAACTGCTTGCACTCGACAAGGCAGTGCATCCACTCGCGGGAGCTGAAGTCGAACTTCCACTCGATGCGGCTCGCGCCGGATTGTGAGCTCGGCGAGCGAGGTCGGAGAGCGACCTCAGTTGGCCCAAGCCGCACGACACTGAGGCAGAGCGGCCGTGCGCGTACGACGCCGTACGCACACGGCCACTCTGCACCGACCGCAGCGCTGCATTGCGACCGCAGAGGCTCAGCTCAGCCAGGGCTCGCTCGCCCGAGCTCGGAGCCGCCGGCGGTCATGGGCAGCAAAGGTTTGACGCGTCGCTCTCGGTGCAGGAGGGCACTGCAGTAGAGGTGCAATGGCCGTCCGGCGCGCGCGCGATGGGCTACAGCTTCATTGGCAGCTACCAGAGCGCGTCTGGAGCGCTGCCGTTGTGTGACCCACGTCCAAGCGGCGCTTCCGGCCTGTTCCGCGCCTCTTTTTACGCCTTTCATTCGAGAGGGGGGGGCGAGGTCTCATCAACTTCGAAACCGCCTTTGAAAGGGGGGAAATGCGTCCGTCCCTGAGCGGGTTGAGGCGGGGGTGGTTTCACTGCGAATAATACAAACACGCGCGCTCTGTGACATGCATGTGTGCGCGCGCAGACCGCGGCATCGACCCGCAGAGGCCAGAGCAGGACCAGACACAGACACAGAGTGAGCCCAGTCCCCAGTGACCAGAGCGAGTCCAGACAGGCCGTCCACGACGCGCACGCGACGCGCATACCCGAGAGTCGGAAAACTCACTGGATCATGTAGACGCTGCCGACGTTGGCGCCGCCCAGTTGATAGGTGGTGCCGTCGTGTTCCAGATAGGGCGAGTTGTTGCAGTGGACCTGGTTGGCCGAGCAATCCTCTGTGTGGGGGGTCAGAAAGTCCGAGCTGACCGAATACAATGAGGACGATCTGTAGCACTGGCAAAGCGTTAACCCCTGCATAGGGCACTCCATGCCGAAGAAGTCGCCCACCACGTATCCTGCGGCTTTTTGCATTTATCGTTGCACGCACCGAAGGTGGCTGCGTAGCCCTGGGACGCCGTACCGACGTCGCCAACGCGGGAGCCGGTGCTCCAAAAGTTGCAGCCCTCCGAGTTTTTGCAGCATCCGTACTGCACGAAGGGCGGCCGCTTGCAGATGCGATAGCCACGCGAGCCAGTCACGGCCGGGTTGGTGCCAAAGTGGACGTTGCCGTTGTTCTTGGCACTAGTATAGAACGTTGCAAAGCAGAATGGAATGTGGTCGGCCCACGTGCCGATGCCTTGCCAGCGCCTAACCCGGGTTGGAGCCAGCGACTGGCTAACCAGATACGTGGTGGCTGCGCCGGCACACTCGGCTTGGTCCGTCACCTGAACCGAGCCGCTCGGGCACGCCGCGCCCTCTGTGTCCACCTGGAAGTAGTATACTAGCGGCGGGGCTCTCAGTGTATCTGGCGTCGTCACAAAGGGGGGCATCCATGACCGCATGAGCGTCATGAATTCAATACTGTGACTGACGTATAGAATAGGGGCAGGGGCGTAGAGAAAAGCAAAACTCATTAGATCAGAGCAGAACCCTATCCAGCCTCGACACAGAGGCGAGCCGATCGCGATGCCCGTGGACCGTGCCCCAATGTGCTCCATGTCGACCGACCTGTTGCGCGCGTGCGCGCGCGCAAGCCGAGGTTGACAAACGCCACGTTCCCCTCGAGCTTTCCGACCAGCTGCGCGCGTCTGCAAAGAGCCAAGCTCCTCGTCGTCCGACACGAGCAGCGAGCGGGGGGGGCCGTCCTTCCTCGGCGTGGGGCCTGCGTGGGGCGGCGCAGAGGCCCTCCAGCTGTGCATGCTGCATCGTGCATGCCGTCCATGCGCAGGAACAAAGTGTGTGCGATTTGTGGCGCACTGGTGGTGGTGATTAACCCTTTTCGGCGAAAACGGCTCGCCATAGGAGAGAACGCAGAAGCCCGCGTTGTCATAGGCACGTCTAAGGTTCGTGTGTGGGTGTGTGCGCGATGTGCAGTGCGGCACACAAGCGGCGGCTCACTCCCGCTCGTCCGCCCCGTACGACCACAGCCCCTTGCGGGCGAGGTCGAGCTCCTCGGGCGTGCTAGGAGCCACGCGGGCGGCGCCAGTCGCCTGCTGGACGCGCCCACCCTTCTTGCCCTTATTGCCAATGTTCGTGGGCACGACTCGGATGTGGCCACAGGTCGCCCCTGCCCCGGGTGCTATGTTCTGATGCTAATCTCCAAGCAGCGGTCCATGATTCTATGCTCCGCTGTGCACAGTTGGGGTAGGGCCAGAGCTAGTGGCATGGCTAGTATCGTGTGAAGCGCTCACGAGGATTGGGGCACGATGGGCAAAAAAGGGCCCAAGGTGGGTCGTTATATATACAGTAGTCCTTATGTCGGTACGGGTAGTCATGTCGGTAGTCCTGGCGGGAATTTCAATGACAATGTGCTGCACGCCGCGCAAGCTAGGCCAAGGGGCGGCCCCGGCGGCGCGCGCCGCGCCGCGGTTTCGCGCGCACAGACGACACTCGACTCTCCCGTCTGAGGAGCGAGAGCAACATGAGCACATTGGCGAGAGTTTGCCCCGCGGCGCTGCCGGACGAGTGCCGGTGCCGCGCGCCGCACCGCGCCGCGACGCGACCGCGTCCGAGTCCCCGGACCCCGCCCGGCACGCCAGCCGCCGAGCCGCGACCCGACCGGAGAGTCGTCATGCGTACGATGCCTATACGATGCGTCTCACGTCACGTCAGTCCTCGTCACGCTCGAGAGTCGAGACACGCGCAGCCGACACAATAAGTCAAAACCGCGAACGCGTCCGACCCAATTGGTCCCGGAGCCGGACCGGACCAGCGACCACGCACGGAAGTCGGAACTCGGAAGGCGACGCCCGGAACGGAAGTCGGAACGTGACTGGTTGACAAAATCTAGAAAAATTAGACCAAAACGAAAAGGTACGTCGTACGATATTACACGGCATTTAACAATCATATGCATGGGTCGTATACCTGTGTTTGAGAAATCGCATCAGACTGTGAAGCAGCATCCAATGTGATTCTGGAAGTATGTGCGGCTGCCCCAAGCATCGGCCCAATCCGCCCTTCCCCTCAACCCATGGCAGACGTCGTCCGAGATCAGGCAGCAGTCATCCCGCGGAGAAGTGCGCGTGCCGATCTGCACATAATCTTTGAGTACTGAGGGGCCCTTGACTGGGATCCACTCATCTTGCGACAGCTGGCCGAAGGTTGAGTCGATTTGGCGCCCACCAGGGCAGAGGGCAGCGTAGTCACAAAGGTCACCACCCTTACTCTGACAGAAGCTCCGCGCACTATCCCATTTGCCGTTCCATCCTGGGTTGGCTGCATGGCCATAAAGGACTTGGGGGGAAGACACCTGCAGGTTCGTGACGTACTGGTTGGTGCAGCCGCTGATGAAGCGCACTTTCCCTCTCGTTTCTGATACACTCGCTGTGTATTTGAGCGTGCCGTCCAGTGAGAACCTCGCTTGGCCGCCTGTCACCTCAATCTGGACTGTTCGGTAACTTGTGATCGTCCCGATGGTCTGCCGGTTGTCACCAGGGAAGATGCGCAGGATGTTGCCCCACCCACCAATCTCGAACGAGATGATGTCATTCTTCGAGTCGCTATCCGCGAACAGCGACATGGTGATGCACTCGGAGTTGGAGTAGGAGCGCATATTGGCGGAGACGATGATAGGGGCTGTATACATTGCAATGGATCGGATGAACCCTCCCCTACCAATATACGTCTCGGTGCCCCACGTGACGGTGCCACTGGTGTCCCATTCCGCTGATGAGAATGCCGAACTCCTCAAGGACGGCGGGCTCCCGTGATGCACACCTATGTTGGGCTTCGCAATGAACTTCCTCTGGGCCCCGCCCGATGCTGCGTCAAACGAGATCTTCTCGACGTGGGCCATCCGGAGCATGTACCTTCCGTAGGGGTGCTCCGCGCCCTGCCATGGGTCGTAAGAAGGGCCGAGGTAGCTGTCCCACGATACACCGGACGGGCACACCGACAGCGTGCCGGCCGCTTCAAACGTCAAGCAGCCCACACAGAGGTCGAGCAGACTCGCGCTCGTGCCCATTTCCCACCCGACGCGCAGGCTAATCTGAGGGTACGGCGCGTAGAGCCAGAAGCCAAGGGCGGCATACCCGTTGGCGGTCGAGCCCGATGAGACGGGAACGGAGACCTGGCTGTCAGAGTACTCGACGTACGGCGTCAGGCTCGTGTGCAGACGCTGGCACTGGAAGGAGGGGGCCGCGTTGACGCCGGTGGTGACGCAGGCCGAGGCATCGGAGCCGCCCATGACCTCCCACCTCGCGGCTGCCTCTCCATACAGAGTGATTGCCGCGGCGATGTGGGCGGACAGCCGCAGCTCGATCTCCACCCTGCAGCCAACTTTGGCAGAGAGTGAGGCCGCGACCCCGCCCGACACCGAATACTCCAGCTCTGAGTTGTCGACAGTCGTCAGCTGCGTGCTATCGATGCTTGGTGTCAGCTGGCTCTGGTCTAGTCCCTGCTGGTCCGTGTTGACCTCCCACTCCCTGTCGTACTTGACGAGCAAGTTTGCCGTACCAGCGGCTTCGAAGGTCGCGCGTACTGCGAGCGGTAGCCGCAACCTGACGCGGGCGTCGAGTGCGAAGGTCAGGAGCACGCCGACCGGAGAAACAGGCATGATTTTCCTAAATGCGAGGTCGACCGGCTTGCCCAACTCCTCAAGGAGGTCAATCTCCCTCGCCTCGTCAAACGCGGCCGCCGCGTCTGCCTGAATCTCGATGCTCGCCTCGATTGAGAAGGCGAGTCTGAGCTTTCCCAGCGAGGGCGTCAGTTGCGTGTCTTGGCTGCACTGGCACGTCTTGTGAACGCCAGGCACAGGGTCGCGGCCAAAGCTGAAAGCTTGGCACGCAAGGTTGTCCGAGCCGGGCTTGGTGACCCACTTCGAGCCGGAGCCAAAGCGTACCGTGCCGAAGCACGAGCAGAACTCACGTTCGTGGGCACAGTGAGACCAGGAGCCTGCCAGGCGGCGTCCACTGGCCTCATGCTCCGCGACTAGCCGGCGGCGGGACGCCTCCTCCTGCTCCTCGACAAGCCGCTTTGCGACGGCATCGACGATCCGATCCCGGGTCATGTCGAGAGCCGCCGCAGTCGCATGAGCAACCACCCGCTGAGAGAAGGAGTCGCTCGTTCCATTTCGCTTCGCCGCGTGCAGCGCAGCAGTGAGTCGGCGGTGGCCGCCGCTCACTTGCTCCACAGCTGCGCCGGCAATGTCGCGAATGACGGAGTGCTTGACCGGCGCTGCATTGAGCTGCCGCCGGCAAGTCGAGGTGAGGAATTCGCTAGCAGGCCCTTTTATGTTCGTCTCTGCCCATTCCCGGGCCATATTCGTGAGGAAATCGGCGAGCCCATCGCAATCGACTCGCGCGTCCTTCACCTGGGCGCAAGCTTTGAGCGTAGCCTTGCCGCTCACCGTCAGCTGCGCGGCGTCGCCCTGTGACATCGAGAAGAGTTCGACCATCTCGCCATCCGACGGGTTGAGCGCGTCTGGGAAGCACTGCCCAGAAGGCTCGACGCACAATTTGCCTATCTTCTGCAATGCGTCCGCCACGGGTGTCGCGATATTGCTGCAGAGAAAGTTGCCGAGGGGATTGATGATGTGATCGAGAACGGCGTCGACAACGGTGTCGACGATCTCTGCCGCAACCTCTCCCAGCTGACAGGCGAACCATTCCGCGCCCTCCTCGATCAGGTCCTTGATTTTGCTGACGACGCCGGCAAGCTCGTCGCCCAAGTCCTCAAACTTGCCTTTCATGGTGTTGCCCAGCTTTTTGAAGGCGTTTCCGATTTTTTTGAAAAACAGCCGCCGTCCATGAGAGAGCTGACGGCGCGTTTCGTTTGTTCCCGAGACCACCTCGGAGCTGATGTTGACGAGCTCGTCAAACAGGCCCCGGCCTCTGTAGCCCAGCTCATTCACGGCGAAGGTGATGGCGTCGCTTGCGGTGCCGTTGGCGATAAGGCCCGACCTTGGCGTCGCCAGGAGCCACTTGACCGTGCTCGTGTCGCCTGAGTTGAGCGGGATGAGCGACGCAATCTTCTCGTCCTCGAGGCCCTCCACGTACAGCGCAACCGCAATCACGCCTGGGAAGGCCTCGTCCGTCGTGGTGAGGAGAACCATCTTGATGAACCTGGGAGGGAGGCTTCTGGCTGGGGACGGGGCGCAGGCAGGGGCGGGGCGGGGGGGCGGGGGGTGGCAGCTGGGCCGGGCGCGTAGGCGAGAGGCGCGGCGAGCGCACATGGAGTACTCCGCCAGGTTGCTCTGGGGGTCCTCCACGAGCACCCACTTTGCGCCCTCGGTCGAAGGCAGATTGGGAATGACGGCGGCAACGTGGAGGTTGCGCGTCATGTACCCTTTGATGCTGAATGAAAGCGACTGCCCATCCGATGGCCGGGTAAAGTAGATCTGATTGAGTGCCCCAAGATGCCGGCCAGTGTACGCCAGGATCATCCTCGCCGTGACATCGCTCGGGGACTCGAAGACGTACTCGGCGACCTCCGTCTTGACGGTCTGCCCGTTTGGCGAGGTGATGTGATTGTCGCCATTCGTGGTGGCAAAGGTCTTGACCGCCGCGCCGCCAGCGTCGACGAGAACGCCGAAGCTGTCGGTCGCCGCCGCCGTCGCTACTGCGCCACCGTTGGCGTCGACGAGCACGTTCGTCGTCGCGTTCGGGTCGCCGTGCCACACCACTGTGGCCGCCTCGTCCGACTCGACATCGGGGTCAACAAGGGGCGCGAGAGCAAACTCGGCGCTGCCGGTTTTGAGCACCTCGCCGTTGTCGGCGGAGACCAAGAAGTTGTTGGTCGTGACCCTGGTGTCCTTTGCCAGGAAGGTCGCGGTCAGCGACGAGGCGAACGTGGTGCCAAAGAGCAGCACGAGGAGCAGCACCGCCACGAAGAACGCCTTCTTGTACCGGTCGGCCGCCTTCTTGTGCCGGTCTCTTTGCACCAGCGCCTCCTCCTTCTCCGCCGCCTCCTTCCTCAGGTCTTGCACGAGCTGAACCAGCTCGGCAGCGTCCAGCCGGTTGTCCTTGTTCCGGTCCAGCGCTCGCAGCCGTTGAAGGCCAGATCCTTCGGCGGTGATATCATCGAGGCTGATACTCGGTCGGCTAGTCCTGCCAGATGCCTCGTCATTACCCAGAGTCGACGGCTTGTCGGCGTCGACGGGCTCCGGCGGCGAGGGCGGCGCCGAGACTGGGTCGGCCGGCGACGCAAGGCGGGCCTTGGGGAACACACGCCGCCGGTCCGCGGCGAGCAGCGCGAGGCCCTGGGTGACCACCACGACGGTAAGGACGACCACCACGACAGTAACGACGCACGTCGACGTCGACATCCCATCCGTGAGCCGCGAAATGGCGCTCGACGAGGAGAAGCCCTCGGGCGCCGCCGCTGCGCCTGGGAGGCAGGCCGCGGCGAGGCCGAGACAGACGGCAGGGGCCCGCACCGTGCCGCGAGCCTCGACTCCGCTCCCCACGGGCAGCCAGGAGGCACCGTAGGCGACAGCGAGGAGGAGGAGGACGAGGGCGGGGGGGAGGAGCGAGAAGCAGCTGCCGAGCGAGGACGCCGCCCCCGCGATGGCAGAGCCAGAGGAGGCTGCAGATCGCACCTTGAATGCGCCAACGACGGTGACCAACCCGCCGGAGACGGTGGCCAAGCAGAGAAGAATGCCGAAGCGGCGGGCCTTTGAGTTGCGGCGCCACATCACCGTGCCAATGACGGCCAAGGCGGCGACCGCGGCGGCGACCTGCAGCGGACCCGCCGCGAGCCACGAGAATGCGCTCGCGAAGAAGCCGGCAGGCGCCGCCGCCGCGCCGGTGAGGCACGCCGTGGCGGCGCCCGCGAGGCAGGTGGCCCACGCCGCGCCGCGAGCCCCCTTTCCGCTCGCCGCGGTCGGCCAGGAGGCGACGCAAGCGATGGCGAGGAGGATGAGCACGAGGGCGGGCATGAGAAGCGGCGAGCAGCTCACGAGCGAGGACGCCTTGGAGGCGACGGCGGGCGAGAAGGCCGAGGACGCCGCCGAGGCGACGCCGGATGAGAAGGCCGAGGACGCCGAGGCGACGGCAGACGAGAAGGCCGAGGCCACCGCCGTCGGGCTAGGCACGGCGGGCGCGCAGTGCCCAAAGGTGGGGATGCAGACGAGGAGCAGCCACCGGAGGGCGCCCTCGGCCTTCGTGTAGCCGCCCTGCACGCAGTTGGCCGCCGCCTTGAGGGCGGCGCGACCGCCGGCGCCGCATGTGCCAGCGACGGCGCCGAACGTGCCAGCGGCGAATGGCGCCTTGCCGGACGCGGGCGGCTGCGGCTCGCGGCGCCGGTCCGGCGACTTGCAAGGCGGCGTCTGCGGCCCGCCGCGCGGCTTCGGTCGCCGGTGCGAGCCGCGGCCGCGGCCCTTTGCCTTGCCAGACTTGCGCCTGCCCTTTGCCTTGCCAAACTTGGGGTTGTTGCGGCAGCGCCTTGCCTTGCGCCGGCACTTCCCCGAGCGCCGCGACTGCAGGTCCGCCCACTTCTCCCGTTGCTCGGCAATGAGATCGAGCGCGGCCTTCGCCTTCTTGAGCCGCCCCTCCCAGTGCTCGCGCTCCTTGGCGACCTCGGCCTCAGCCTGCCCCGCGCCCGCGACCGCGCCAA